TTCATCGATTCCCAAGAAACCCAGAGAACGCTGCAGGCCCAGCTGGATTTGTGGCAGGCTGAGCACGGTGATTTTTACGCATCCGGCATCGAGCCGGCCTTTGACTCGCTAAAGGCACGTGTATACGACTCGTCTTGGAACTGGGCCCGGCAGGATGCCCTGAGCATGTACTATGATATCATCTTCGGCAGACTGAGGGTTGTTGATCGCGAGATTGTGAGCCAGTGCATCCGCATCATGAACCGCTCAAACCCCCTTCTTCTTGAATTCATGCAATACCATATCGACAACTGCCCAACCGACCGGGGTGAGACGTATAAACTCGCCAAGGAACTGGGCCAGCAACTCATTGAAAACTGCAAGGAGGTCCTGGGTGTGTCCCCCGTGTATAAGGATGTTGCCATCCCTACTGGCCCCCAGACCACTATCGATGCGCGAGGAAATATTGGATACCAGGAAGTTCCTCGAGCTAGTGCTCGCAAGCTGGAGCACTACGTCAAGCAGATGGCAGAGGGCGGCCCCATCTCAGAATACAGCAACCGGACCAAGGTGCAAAACGATCTTCGGAGCGTTTATAAGCTGATCAAAAGACAACACCGCCTCTCGAAATCGTCTCAGTTGCAGTTCAACACGCTTTACAAGGAAGTGATCCGCGCCTTGAGCATGAACGAGAACCAGATCATGCCGCAAGAAAATGGCAACTCCAAAAAGTCTGGCCGAAACGGTCTGAAGCGCAATGGAAGCCCACGTACAGGCAAGGTTGAAACGATCCCTTTCTTGCACCTGAAGAAGAAGATGGAGCACGGCTGGGAATACAACAAGAAGCTTACCGGTATCTATCTCGACGTCATGGAATCGGCTGCTCGATCGGGTCTGACATTCCACGGCAAAAACGTTTTGATGACAGGTGCTGGCGCCGGCTCGATTGGTGCCGAGGTTCTGCAGGGCTTGATCAGTGGTGGAGCCAAGGTTGTGGTGACAACTAGTCGGTACTCGCGCGAGGTTACCGAGTACTACCAGGCAATGTACGCCCGCTACGGGGGCCGTGGCTCGCAATTGGTTGTGGTTCCTTTCAACCAAGGTAGCAAGCAGGATGTGGAGGCTCTCGTTGATTACATCTACGATGCCAAAAAGGGCCTCGGCTGGGACTTGGACTTTGTCGTCCCGTTCGCCGCAATTCCCGAAAATGGCCGCGAGATTGATTCCATCGACTCCAAATCAGAGCTTGCCCATCGCATCATGCTGACCAATCTTTTGCGACTGCTGGGCTGCATCAAGTCTCAGAAGCAAGCCAATGGCTTCGAGACTCGCCCTGCCCAGGTTATCCTTCCCTTGTCCCCCAACCACGGTACTTTTGGAAATGACGGCTTGTATTCTGAGTCGAAGCTCGCTTTGGAGACCCTGTTCAACCGCTGGTATTCCGAAAGCTGGAACAGCTACCTGACTATCTGTGGCGCCGTGATTGGTTGGACTCGTGGTACCGGATTGATGAGTGGAAATAACATGGTTGCCGAAGGAGTCGAGAAGCTTGGCGTCCGTACTTTCTCCCAGCAGGAGATGGCTCTCAACCTTCTCGGTCTGATGGCGCCTGCAATCGTCAATCTCTGCCAGCTTGACCCGGTCTGGGCCGACCTTAACGGTGGTCTTCAGTTCATCCCTGACCTCAAGGGTCTCATGACCAACCTTCGCTCCGACATCATGGCGACGAGCGATGTTCGGCAAGCAGTCATCAAGGAAACGGCCATTGAAAACAAGATCGTCAATGGGGAGGACAGTGAAGTGCTCTACAAGCGTGTTACTGCAGAGCCTCGCGCCAATATCAAATTCGAGTTCCCCAACCTGCCTGACTGGGATCAAGACATCAAGCCCCTCAATGAGTCCCTCAAGGGTATGGTCAACCTGGACAAAGTCGTTGTCGTCACCGGTTTCTCAGAAGTTGGACCGTGGGGAAACTCGCGGACACGCTGGGAAATGGAAGCGCATGGAAAGTTTTCCCTTGAAGGGTGTGTGGAAATGGCTTGGATCATGGGTCTCATTAAACATCACAATGGCCCGCTAAAGGGCAAGGCCTATTCCGGCTGGGTCGATTCCAAGACCGGTGAACCCGTGGACGACAAGGATATCAAGGCGAAATATGAGAAGTTCATCCTTGAGCATTCTGGAATTCGCCTTATCGAACCCGAGCTGTTCAAGGGGTATGATCCCAAGAAGAAACAGCTGCTTCAGGAGATTGTGATCCAGGAGGACCTGGATCCGTTTGAAGCTTCAAAGGAGACCGCCGAGGAGTTCAAGCGCGAGCATGGCGACAAGGTTGAGATCTTTGAGGTCCCCGAATCTGGAGAGTTCACTGTCCGCCTCAGGAAGGGGGCCACTCTCCTCATCCCCAAGGCCCTCCAGTTCGACCGCCTCGTTGCTGGACAAGTCCCGACCGGCTGGGATGCGAAGAGATATGGTATCCCTGATGATATCATTGAGCAAGTTGATCCGGTCACGCTGTTCGTTCTTGTCTGCACCGCAGAGTCAATGCTATCAGCGGGTATCACCGACCCGTACGAATTCTACAAGTACGTTCACCTGTCGGAGGTCGGTAATTGCATTGGTTCTGGTATTGGTGGAACGCATGCCTTGCGGGGTATGTATAAGGATCGTTACCTGGACAAGCCCCTTCAAAAGGACATTCTCCAGGAGTCTTTTATCAACACCATGAGTGCGTGGGTCAACATGCTGCTGCTGTCCTCCACGGGACCTATCAAGACGCCTGTTGGCGCTTGTGCCACCGCTGTCGAGTCCGTTGATATTGGTTATGAGACGATTGTCGAAGGAAAGGCTCGCGTCTGCTTTGTTGGTGGATTTGATGACTTCCAGGAAGAGGGATCGTATGAATTCGCCAACATGAAGGCTACCAGTAATGCCGAGGACGAATTCGCTCATGGCCGCACTCCGCAGGAAATGTCTCGACCCACGACCACCACTCGTGCTGGGTTCATGGAATCCCAGGGCTGCGGAATGCAGCTTATTATGAGTGCACAGCTTGCTCTGGATATGGGCGTTCCGATTCATGGTGTCATTGCTCTGACGACCACAGCCACCGACAAGATCGGGCGCTCAGTTCCTGCTCCGGGCCAGGGTGTTCTTACCACCGCTCGTGAGAACCCCGGCAAGTTCCCTTCGCCGTTGTTGGATATCAAGTATCGCCGCCGACAACTCGAATTGCGGAGAAAGCAGATCAAGGAGTGGCAGGAATCGGAACTGTTGTACCTCCAGGAGGAAGTTGGAGCCATGGCCTCTCAGAACTCCGACTCCTTTGACGTGTCAGAATACATGCAGGAGCGAGCTCAGCATATTGAACGGGAGGCTATTCGGCAAGAAAAGGATGCACAGTTCAGCCTCGGAAACAACTTCTGGAAACAGGATTCCCGCATCGCCCCTCTTCGGGGTGCTCTTGCTACTTGGGGTCTTACTGTTGATGATATTGGCGTTGCCTCTTTCCACGGAACCTCCACCGTGGCAAATGACAAGAACGAATCCGACGTCATCTGCCAACAGATGAAGCACCTGGGCCGCCAGAAAGGTAACGCTCTCTTGGGTATCTTCCAGAAGTATCTTACGGGACACCCGAAGGGTGCAGCGGGCGCATGGATGTTCAACGGATGCTTGCAGGTCTTGGACAGCGGACTTGTTCCGGGCAATCGCAACGCCGACAATGTTGACAAGGTCATGGAGAAGTTTGATCACATTGTCTACCCCAGCCGCAGCATTCAGACGGATGGAATCAAGGCGTTCTCGGTTACCTCTTTCGGTTTTGGCCAGAAGGGTGCTCAGGTCATTGGTATCCACCCGAAGTATTTGTTTGCGGCCTTGGATCGCGCCCAATTCCAAACCTATAAAACCAAGGTTGAGGCCAGACAAAAGAAGGCATACCGCTTCTTCCACAACGGCTTGATCAACAATAGCATCTTCGTCGCCAAGAACAAAGCGCCGTATGAGGATGATCTTCAAAGCAAGGTTTTCCTCAACCCCGACTACCGCGTGACGATGGACAAGAAGACTTCTGAGTTGAAGTTTCCCACAGCACCTCCCAAGCCCACAGACCAAGGTGCTGAGAGCACTCGGAAGATGGTGGAGTCGTTGGCCAATGCCAACATCGCTGACAACTCAAAGATCGGCGTAGACGTGGAGAACATCGAGGCGGTCCCCATCGATAACGAGACGTTTGTCGAGAGAAACTTCACTTCCAAGGAGGAGCAGTATTGCCGCCAGGCAGCATCTCCCAGGGCGTCTTTTGCTGGACGTTGGAGTGCAAAGGAGGCTGTTTTCAAGTCTCTCGGCGTCTCCAGTAAAGGTGCCGGAGCTCCACTGAAAGACATCGAGATTGTGAATGATGCTACCGGGGCACCCGTGGTCAATGTAAGTTTCCACTCCTCAGGTCTTTGAGACAATGTAAACTAATATATGGTCCAGCTCCATGGCGCTGCGGCCGAGGCCGCTCAGCAGAGTGGCGTTAAGCAGGTCACTGTCAGCATAAGCCATACCGATTCCCAGGCCGTTGCTGTTGCTGTTTCGAAGTTTTAAAAATCGGTTGATGAGCAATGTGTTTACAAAGATACATAACTACTGCGCTTTTTAGAATCTAGTACAAATAATATCTCTTTCTTCTTCCTCATTCTTGTCAAGCCTTACGAAATACCGCAATCTGTTAGTTGTATCAAGTTCGGTTGTAAACCTTCACAATAGACACGCGTGAGGTACATAGCTTTGCAGACCAGGATGACCAAGGATCTGGGATTGAATCTTGTCTTTCACCGGCCCTCTCATACTTAGGGATTCTACGAAATTTGTGCGTTAAGCACGTCTTCTCGAATTGGGGACATATCATAAGAGACCTACATTTTGGAATGCGATTATTTTGTCACGTCTCATTGATCCTGCAGATAAAGACTAAGGGCTAGTGTGCAGATTTGTTTTCTTTCCTTTCTGCTTCCCCTCCCCTTTTCTACTATTCATTTTCGCCCACCACCAGATGCTCGGTTCAGAGGACCCCAATTGGCTCGAGGGTTGATCTGGTACCTCACTAGCCGCTTTCTACCGGATGTCTTTCTACCCAAGCTTTCGTCGAAGACCACCGGCGTTGTCTTATTCTGTGACGTTGATGTGTCCACCTCTCCGCTCGTGCTTGATGAATTCTTCGGTGGTAGTCGGGCTCCCGAGCGGTACAATGCGGCCTCCACCTTGGTTATCATGTCGGAGACATCTTTTCCGCCTTCAGCTGCAGATGCGACTTCTCTTTTCAAGGTGTCTAGCAGTTCACCTTGATCAGTGTTCTGCGGGCTTTCTCGACCCTTGGCCATGATGGTCGCGCCCGCCGTCCCGGGCTTGAGAGCACCCTCCTTGATGGGAGACCTCTGTCTCACCCATTCCCTCATGACTTCCCAAATGACTGCCCAAGGAGCATCGGTGCGCACTGTATTGGGCTTTGCATGACTACGAGTGGTCCGGTAGCCCATATGCCGGAGCGCCCCGCAGAAGGCGTCGTAGGGAACCGTCGACGTGCGCAGGACCTTCGCCAGCACATTGAGACTAAAATAGAAGGGGTGTGGCTCACGAAGAGCGGGATCCATTCGGGGGATGATATCTGGCTGCTCTTGCGGTGAGTCGCTGTTATTGGCATCGACAGGCTCCGGAGACGAGCTTTCCGCGGAGTCGCTGAGAGTCAGGTCCTCTTCGAGGGCTGTCATTAGCATGCCTTCAAGCCGGCTCAAGGTCTGGTATGTGTCTGCATCAGTCCCAGGGAGCATATCAAGAATCTTCTGGATGTACTGGGGGTTGTGAAGAGGACCGGCCCACATTGGTCCACCTATGTGCGTCTTGGAACCACAATGTTCACAGTGCGTCCCTGCAACTGGCCCTTGTGCAAACCCATAGTGGTAGAAAGGGTCACCTTTTCTATCAAGCTTCTGCTTCGTCTGGGTCAAAGGTTGTGTTGACCAAGCCCCACACCCCGAATCGCAATTGTAAACTAGCATCGTATTTCCCGAAGCAAACTTTACCTCGGCCGGAGATCGATGAATGCGGACGAAGACTCTAGCGTAGAAATCAATCGATAAGGACAAGAGGGGCTCGATCGATAGTCCATATCTGGCAGCAGACGCCGCGAGTCCGTGCAGAATCAGGCGCAGCCCAGCCTCATGTGAATGTGAACCTTTCGAGGGTACGCCGCCATATAAGGCAAAGGATTTTTCTGGGTACCCATTCGAAGCCCAGACCCCAGCATCAGTGCAAGTCACGCATAGTAATCCTCCATCCTTCACTCCCTGTACCGCCGCATCCATGAAGGGCGCAGCCGTGCCGTAAGGGTCTAGATCGATGACGTCGAACGCGTGGGGTAGATTGTACATATAAGCCCGAGCATCGCCAGTGTTTTGCTGGATTAGCTCCCCTAGCTTATTGTACTCAATATTGGTCTTCATGGCCGCGATGGCGGAAGGCGATAAATCATTGGCAACGACACGTGTGGTAGCCGGGATTTCCGAGGCATATCGGAGTGCTCGCAAGCCGGTGGCCGAAAGAGCATCTAGGATCGTGAACGAGGGCGGGTTCGCTTTATTGATCGGCTCTTCGGTTTCTTGTTCGTCCCTCTTTCGTTTTTTGCCATTGGCCTGTTTCTGCATCTTCTTGTCGGCCTTTTGTTTCCTCAACGCCACCACATGTTCGCTGTATGCCTTGATCGCAAGCACGCTCAGGTCGCGATTGAACTGCTGTATCGGATTGTAAAACACAGACTGGGCCTCATCGTCAACCTTGAGATCCTTCTTTGTTCCTTTCGAAGCTGCAGCCTCTGCAGGCGCATTTAGGATGAAAGCCAACCCCTCTTTCACTGCTCTGTATTCTTTCCCATCATATTGGACACGATCGTCGGCGATCCGCGATTGTGAAGATCCCTCCATTCTGGAGGACGGGCAATGGAAGTGGCGCAATGAGTCTCGGTTTAGGTGATAGCGAGAAGGACAAGGATGGTTTTTCGGCAATACGAAGGTGAGGAAGACGTTGCGATCTAGGAAGCCAGGTGCACGAGAAAAGGTCCAGGTACTCCTTAGAACCATCGATGATCCGGTAGACGGGTGGCGGGGGGGGGGGAAGAAGACAGTCAGGAGAGAGTAAACTTGTGGGTGTACTCTGTAGACTTATGTACACCGTAGGCAGTTGATGCTATCCGGGGCAACAGAAAAAAGGAAAGAGAGAAAAAAAAAAAAAAAAAAGGGCCGCGGCGCACGGGCCACGTCCTGCTGCTTTCTTTTCCAGAGTCCAGACTCTCTCAATCTACTCTCTACTCTACCCACATGTCAATTGTGGTCAATCAATGCAATGTACATACATAACACATTAGCTATCGTTGAATTTATCATCACACATTTCCAACACCAATGACTATTTTACAACAGCACGTTAAAACGCCCCTTCTCTTTTACAACCAGGAATCAATAATGGGTATTCGGTTGTATATTTCGTTCCAAGCGTTGACCTCCCATCCAGATCCTTGCCCTGATCGCCCTATTATCCCCAGGGCTCCTCCCAACCAAATAGAAAAACCCATCACTGCAAGACCATTTACCGTCCACCACATCTTCCTTTGCCTCCTAGATCGTTGTTGGTTTTCAGGTTCGTTGAAATAGCCCTCGAGAGAGCCCTTCTTGGGCTTTCGGTCTCTCCGGACTGTCGTAACCCTCCAACCCATCCAAGCGGCCCATCCTCCAACGATATGCCAGACCCCGACGGCGACAAACGCCAGATAATAGACGTTCCAGAAAGTAGGATTCCGAGTAAACGCATGCGCTACGTAGCCTAAACCCACGCCGGAGCTCCCACCGTCATAAACCAACGGCGCGACACGGTTGACTAGGACATGAAAGCCGAGCAACGGAACAAGGGCATAACCGAATTGCGCTTGTAGGCTGACGCGGGGCCAAAAGCCCAACAGAGACCTCTGCGACCTAGTCTCTGCGCCGTACAATCGAGCTCGACGAGAGGAGCGAATGCCGCGGAGAGCTATCCCCGACGCCACGTGCACTAGACTGGGAATTGTAAGGACTAGATGCTCAAGCGAGGGGGCCTGGTAGATAGGTCGCGTCAGGAGAAGGTAGGTGTCGCTATCGGACACCGAGCGGGTAACTAGGGGAATCAGGGCTGTGTTGGTGAAATGTAGCGCTAAGAACAGCGTCGGTGGGTATGTTGAGTATTTCTGAAGTGCAGATACTGAGAGCATGTGAGTAAGGTCTGTACAATCAAGTTGTTAGGAGGGGGAGTCCATGCATACACCAGGAATCCCAGTTATATCCGCGGAGCCCAAGGTTTGCGGCTGGGAGGTTGCTCGGGCACCTGTCGAACGATGCGGGCCGAGGGTCCTGCATTTTGGGAAGGGATGCGCCATTTTCAAGATCAGGGAACTCCTCGTGCACCGGAGATGGATCTAGTTCCTGTAATGAGAGCATGGACCGAGTATCGATGTCATCGGGTTTCTGGGACCCATTGGGTTCACCGGAAGACATGGCTGGAGGCGATATCACAACCGCCGCAACAGTTTTAGCAGGATCGATTTTCCCCCCAAGATGCATCCAAGTTGATGATTATTGCGCACCAACCGAGAAGGTCAGTGCAGAAGCAAGAAGGACCTCTCGAGGATATCCTCTGTAAGTCAAGAAAAGTTAGGCGGTGGGATACTGCGGGCAGAAAGACTTAGTGGCCTTGGCCAGTTCCCGCTCGACTACGCAGGCACCATTCGGCACTTGTGACTGCCCGGCCTCTGCAGGTCTATCAAGCTCCAACAAAAGCCCTTCTGCGATATCCGGGCGACCAAGATGGCACCTGTACGTCTGCGTTTTGTCGCATCCTTTGGTTTCTGCCGACGGCGTTGCTAAATCATCCCGTATCTTGCAATACAGCGAGGATTCATCAATCCAACTCCTAAAGTATGTACCATTCCTTCTTGCAATCCCAACCGCAATACCGATACATGGACTGGCTGCCTGACTCCTAAAACTGTGTCCAGACCGAGTCTGCGCGTTCCGCCTTGAGCTCTTTCACCTGCACCCTCTGCAATAAGTCTTACTCCCGCCATCCAGAATACGAGGCGCATATCTCTTCATATGACCATCAGCATCGCAAACGTCTCCAAGATCTAAAACAGTTGTCGCGAGACCCCAATGCCGCCGAGAAAGCAAGGCGAGCGGAAAAAAGGGCCGATGCAGAGGCTGGGCTAAGAGTAATCGACACTAATAAAAATGGGGCATCTCTAGGGACAGGAACTGCGGGTGGAGGAGGAGGAGTTGGTGGTGTAAGTGGCGGCGGCATTGGCGCCAGCGGTGCCGGAGGCTTCAAGAAAGGTGGATTCAAGAGCTCCTTTACTGCCGTCAAAGGCCCTGTAGCACCTACAGCACCGACAAGGAAGAATGTGCTCGGGGATGACGATGACGATGAAAGCCTAGGTCTCGCTGATGCAGGCGAACGAGCTGGTGTTCCATCACCGGGTCCCACCGGCGCCATCCATCATGAGCCCGCAGAAAGCGACACTGACGAAGAGAATATGCATGGCACGCTGCGCGGTGACTACTACAACCCTCGCAGACCCACCGACTGCTGGTCCGAGTGTGTTGGTGCTAGGACTGTCGAGGCTACCTCTTCTTAGAGATCGGTTCCGGGACAGGCTGAAGCTCATTCGGCCTAGAAATTGAAAGAATTGCCGGCGTTACGATTGGGCGGAGGGGTTGAACTGGTTTCACACCTCCAAAGACTCGGGTTTACGTTCGTTGGTGTAATATTGCTAGCCCGACGATAGATAGTTATTGATAAAAGTCCGACGGTAAATGTATTATTGGCTGTTGAAAAACAAAACAAACCCACTCACAGGACACAAACGAACCTTTCGCTGTGCTGCCTGGATATGACCATATCAAAAATGCTTTCCACCAAGTATCTGCGAACAAACTTCGTTCCTGAATCTATAGATGCAAATTGTGAATTGATTCTTTAGTGTAGTTGTACAGATTCCAAAAAAAGGAAAATAAGAAAAGCAATAGAAAGCCTTGGCGAGGAATTTGAAAGGGGGCTGGGGAGAACAGGTGGTCGCGACGGTCAAATGGGTACTAAACATGACGGCTTTATTTTAGATCTTGAACTCGATCCGTTTGTCGCTCGAGAAAGCCGGATTACAAACGAAGCAGCTTGGCAGCCTGGCTGACAATCGTGTCCTCCTGGGGGAAACTCATCTGCTCAAGACCAAGAGCATAAGGAGTAGGCACCTCGGCACCGGTGACACGGAGAGCAGGGGCAGTCAGATAGTCGAAGCCATACTCCATGGACAGGGCCAAGATTTCGGAGGAGACGCCAAACATGGGGAATCCAGACTCGACAGACATGAGTCGGCCGGTCTTCTTGAGAGACTGGATGATCGTCTCCACGTCCAAGGGCTTGATGGACCGCAGGTTGATCACTTCGGCTTCAACTCCATACTTCTGCTTCAGCGTGGCAGCAGCTGTGAGAGACTGTCCAACGCAGCGAGACAGGGAAACAATGGTCAGGTCCTTTCCAGGACGCTCGATCTTGGCCTTGCCAATAGGCAGGACGAAGTCGTCCTTCTGCGCCGCCTCGCTCATGGGGAAGGCCTGGCCATACATAAGCCTGTAAACAATCAGCCTCAAACGGTTCTTTTCCTTTCTCCGTTCTCATTTGAACGAGATTATTGAATCCATAGTCACGTACTCGTTCTCCAAAACCACGACGGGGTTGGGGTCACGGATAGCGGCCTTCAACAAACCCTTGGCATCCTCAGAGCTCCAGGGCGAAACGACCTTGAGTCCGGGAATGCTGCCGTACCAGGCCGAGTAATCCTGAGAGTGCTGGGCGGCGACACCGGCGGCGAAACCATTGGGTCCACGGAAGGTGATGTTGCAGGGTTGGATACCTCCGGACATGTAGTGGGTCTTCGCAGCCGAGTTGATGATTTGATCAATGGCCTGCATGGCAAAGTTGAAGGTCATGAACTCGCACTATCCGATGATAACACTGGTTAGCTTCGACAGCTCTCGCCGGATCATCTATGGGTAGTAGCCTTTGAATATGAGTACGAAAACAAACTTACAATGGGGTGTAGGCCAGCAAGAGCAGCGCCGACAGCCAGACCGGTAAAGCCGGCTTCCGTGATGGGCGTATCAATGACTCGCTTGGGGCCAAATCGGTCCAACAGACCCCTTGTGACCTTGTAGCTGTTGACAGGACGAAGATCAGAACGGCGAAACTTTGTTGGATGCGGGTTGGGAACAGGGATTCATACGCTCCGTTATACTGTGCAACCTCCTCTCCGAGAATGAAAGTCTTCTTGTTGCCCTCCAGCTCCTCAGCGAGAGCCTCGTTCAAAGCATCTCGCACGGTGACCTCCTTAGAGCCGCCAGCCGTGGCATAGCCCCGGAAGCGCAGGATCGAAGGGGCACATGCGGATTGCGTGAAGGCCGGACGGAAAGAGGCAGAGGAAAGGCGCGAAGAGAGCAGGCGAGCTGCCGGGCGGAAAACTCGAGGAGCAGTCATGGCCGGATGGGAGTGATGGCAAGATCCAGCGATATGAGGCTAGGAAGATGGAGTGCACAGATGCTCGACTGTGGATGCGGATTGATAGAGAGAGGACGAGAAAAGTCTCCGGGGCGCAACTCCGTCTTTGGATGTCTTTCGTCAACGGGTTTTCACTTTTTGGTGAGCGCCGGCGCGAGTCTGTTGGGTTGGCCGCTGACTAAGACGGGGACTCACCGGCGGCTTCTTCCGTCCTCCTGCCGCCTTTGGCCTTATCCTTATCAGGCACTCCGTTTACTCTCTTCTCTCTCCGCTGCTCTCCTTCGGTCCTCTCCTTTAGAGAGTACGACGCCAGCATGCTGCGTCTCCTACTCGGCTCCCTCTCGGTCTCGTTGGCGCTCGCCGTACAACCAACGGCCCCGGATCCCATCGCGGCCCCCCTACGCGATCTAAAATGGGGACAACTCAACTTCCTTCACACGACCGATACCCATGGCTGGCTGGCCGGTCATCTGCAGGAGTACGCTCGTGAAACTCTTCCGGCGTTCTTTCCCCTGGTTCTGTGCTGATCAGCTCGCAAACTATAGACCCTCCTACGCCGCAGACTGGGGTGACTATGTCTCCTTCGCGACCAGGATGCGGGAAAAGGCAAATGCACAGGGCGTGGATCTGCTGGTGGTAGATACGGGTGATAGAGTCGAGGGCAACGGCCTCTACGACTCATCGGAACCGAAGGGCGTCTACATCTCGGACATTCTGCGCGAGCAGCAGATTGACCTAATCACCGCCGGAAACCACGAGTTATACAAGCGGAACACCTCCGAGGCTGAGTTCTTCACCACGGTCGTTAACTTCCATGGGAACTACCTGGCGTCGAATATTGACATCTTGCACCCTGTGACTAATGACCTCGTGCCGCTAGCTCCCCGCTTTAAGAAATTCACTACCGAAAACCAGGGAATCCGCATCGTTGCCTTTGGCTTCCTGTTCGATTTCACCAAAAACGACAACAACACCGTGGTATATCCCGTCGAACAGACCATCAAGGAGGACTGGTTTCAGGATGCCATTCGGGACCCAGATGTTGACCTCTTCCTCGTGACTGGCCATGTGCCTGTTCATTCACAAGAATACAAAGCCATCTTCGAAGAGATTAGGTCCGTTCGTTGGGATACACCAATTCAATTCTTCGGGGGTCATTATCATATTCGCGATTTTGCACGCTATGACTCGCGAGCCTATGGCTTGGCAAGTGGGCGTTTTATGGAAACAATTGGGTTCATGTCCATCGACGGTCTGTCTGCCAAGAAACGACAAATTCCTGCCTTGAATGCCCCCAGCTTTCAGCGGCGATACATCGATAACAATCTCTTCTCATTTCTCCATCACACCGAGCTTGATCAGGAGTCATTCCACACGGACCTTGGGCAGAATGTGTCGCGGTTGATCCATGAATTCAGAAGTGCACTCCGGCTAGACGAAGTCCACGGCTGCTCCCCCCGTGATCTTTGGATGTCCCGGGTCAAGTATCCGAGCGAAGAGAATATTTACACTTGGCTTGAAACCCAAGTCCTTCCCGATCACCTGAGGGATGAATCTCGCGCGGGACAACCAGCTCTTGCTATTGTCAACACCGGTGCCATACGGTTTGATATATTCAAGGGACCCTTCACCCAAGACACCACCTTTATAGTTTCCCCATTCACCAGTGGTTTTCGATACTTGAAAGATGTTCCCTATGAAAAGGCCAAACTCGTTCTTGAGGTGTTGAACAAACAGCCACAGATATTCACCGATTCTGCTCGTCAATCCGACTTTACTTCGTCTCTTGCCCCGCCCGAACGGTCGGCGTATAACACTGATGTGACAATCGATGATGGGAAGCTTCTCCAGCATAGCCAACTAACGGATCAAGCCGCTGCTTTAAGTGGCGCCGGATCCAAACCTAACTTTCAGCCTGGATATACCACCATTGACGACGGAGGTGCGGACGGCGACGACACCATCCACTCTCCCATCCCTTTCTATCGTATGCCAAACTGTATCCAGGCACATGTATCACTCAATGCCTCGTCAGCCCCAGATCATGTTGATCTCGTATACATTGATTTTATAGAACCCTACGTGGCACTGGCAGCCAAATTTGCAGACCTTGACGCTGATTTTTCGCGGGACAGTGATGTGTATATGCCATCTATGACGCTGACCAACCTTATCTTGAATTGGGTGAAAGAGAACTGGAGATGTGATGAATGATGCCCTATGTTCTTCAATAAACCAGCGTGTGATCATTTCCCCTTGTGTTGCTGGATAGAAAGAGAGAGATATATATATAGTTTTACTGCAGAGATTCGGATTTGTTACCCTGGTGACCGTTCTAAGCTGTCAGGGAGCATCCGTCCGAGACTTGACTGGTATGATAGATTGAATGTAGTACAGCAATATACAAAGGACAAGAACACCTAGTCTCCGCCCTCAAACTTGAGAAGGCCCTTCCCATCTCGGTAGCCACTAAGAGTCTCCTGTACTCCCGCCGTGAGGGCAGGGCCCTCCGTCTCCCAGTTCCATCGGATCTCATCCACAGGGATGTCCTTGAACTTTCCGGAACGAGTCAATTGTAGAACATCGTTGATGGTGTTTTCCTTCAGCTGCGGGTTCTTGTCCCCCCACTTGCTAACCCAAAACCCATCAAACGCCAGATTCTTGAAGATGAGAAGGCCCGAAGGCAGAGACACGGGCTGCTTCGACATAGCCCCGTAGGTAACCAGGTGTGAACCCGGAGCAAGCGTTTTCGCCAACGCAGTCGCACTTTTACCGCCAACACAGTTAAGAGCAAGCCGGATTGGCTCCTTGCCGTTGCGGGTGAGCTCGTTCACTTTGTTCTTGAAGTCACCCGAAAGGAGTTCTGCTTCGGTGACGACGGCAGTCGCACCCAGCTCCCGCAGCTCTTGCTTGAGAACCTCCGTCTTCTCCGGGGTCTCCCTTTCTCGAACAACATTCAGGGTTTTGATGCCCCATTCCCGTGCTAACTGGATAGCAGCCCGGCCCACACCGCTGTTCGCACCGTTTTGGATCAGCCATTCTTCACCGGTGCGCATCCAGTCCCAATTGCAGAAGTCCTTGATCATGCGGTACGCGGTGACGGGGTTCACGCTGACTGTACTGATCTGAAGTGGAGACAGACCATCTTTATTTTCAATTTTGATCAATTGCGATTCATCCATCTGCGCATGCGTCCGCCAGGTACCCTGGCCGGTCTGCTTCATAACAACCCAATCTCCCTTGCTCAGGTTCTTGACATTTGCGCCCGTTGCAATGACTTCGAAGGCGCCTTCATTTCCCGCGACAGCAGAGGGTTCCGATGTACCAAGGTTTGACTGGAACGGCGGTTTGCTCGGATACACACCCTGAATTTGGTTGACGTCGGCCGGGTTCAACGGTGCAGCCAGAAGGCGAAGCGTAACTTGAGACCCGTGGGGAGGAGAGATAGAATGTTTGTGAAGCCTACACGAATGCCGAGAGTGAGCCTTTAATTTCCTTTCTCGTCTTCTCTTCTCGTCCTCAACGATCCCATGTCGAGGGAATTCTAGCAGCTCAGAAGGAGCACTCACCGTAGCACATCCTTTGGCTCTCCATATCGAGAATACACCAGGGCTTTCGCTTGCGTGTAGCCATAAACAGCAATAAATCGTTTCCCTCCCATGAAAGCATTGGGCAGAGGCCCCTGGCATCGACGAGTGGCCGTTGAGACCAAGGGGGAGGCAGCTCTAGCTCTCAAAGAGAGTGTCGCATTGCTGCCCGCAGATCGGACCGCGGTGCGCGAGAACATGGTGACGGTTGTTTGGTAGACACGATACGGCGACTAAAGCAAGACGAGTTGGGTCAAGTCATGGGGTGACTTGGGGGGAGAGAAGGTGTTTTGGGGTTGGAAAATCCGGATGACGTCGTTCTTCACCCGTCGGGCCGGCGGAGACGAGCAACCGGAGCTGTGCGAGCGGGCGCCCATTACATTCTTATCGTAGGAATATATCTACATGCCTGCGGCAACTTCCACTGCACCAATGGGCCATCTCATGATCATTCTTGATTTCAGGTCTCTCATGCACCTGTAGAACCGAGAGATAGAGATAATTGTTCCAAAAGGAAGCACGGGAATCCCGGGTACGGCTGTATTAAGCGCGGGTCTTCCGTCGGGATTCTTTTGGCTTCCTCCCAACGTCTCCGTTGCCTGCCCGCGCGCCCACTCTATGCGTACTCCACAACTCTAAATGTCCCTACTGCGCGAGGCCGAAAGGTATATCGCCAAACAGCAGTCGCAAGCAGCGCTCAATGCCTTTATAACTCCTCTAAAACCCTCGGGCCCGTGGCTTGACCGCGTGAAGGACGCGGATCGTCGCAGGGAGAAAGGTTTGTGATGCTCCCAACTCGCTCCATTTTCGATCTTCCTGGCTAACGCTTCCCCTTTCTGTTCAGGAAGGCCAAAGTCCGGGATCGATGGTCGCTTAATCTCCGTCAAAGATAACATATGCACTCGCAACTTGCCAACGACATGTGGCTCTGGCATTCTAGAACAGTTCGCCAGCCCATCGAACGCGACGGTCGTGGAGCAATTGGAGAGCGCTGGGGCCATCGTGGCGGGGAAAACGAATCTTGATGAGTTTGGGATGGGGTCTCATTCCATCCATTCGCATTTTGGTCCTGTTGGGGACCGGGGCAATGCAGACGCCCCGTCCGTGGGGGGCAGCTCAGGAGGAAGTGCCGCCGCTGTCGCGACGGATCAATGCTATGCGTATGTCAGTCACGAAGCCCACATATACTGAAGTGCTTGCTGAGAAACAATGGTGCCTGGCTTCTAGAGCTTTGGGGACGGACACAGGTGGTTCGGTTCGACTCCCGGCCGCGTACACGGGGACGGTTGGCTTCAAGCCTTCTTACGGACTAATCTCCCGGTGGGGTGTGATTGCTTATGCTAACTCGCTGGATACTGTCGGGATTCTGGGGAGGAATACCACCGACACCCGCGAGATCTTCAGTAGGTCTCCTCTCACTATTACTCCGTGTCACCCCTCGGAAGACCGAAGGGTCGCCATGTCACTAATCGGCCTCAGATATTCTGAACCAACACGACCCGCGCGACCCGACGAGCCTCTCCCCGCCCTCTCGCTCTCGTATACTTTCCCGTCTAGATACCCCGTCTCTTGCATCTCGAATGAAGTCTGCACCGCTGAAGATTGGCGTGCCTGCCGAGTATAACATCTCGGAACTTGCTCCTTCAATTCGTCGGGCCTGGTCTCGCTCCTTGGCCTACATGCAACGACAAGGCCATACCATCCACCCGGTCTCCCTCCCAGCAACCAAGCTGGCCTTGTCTGCGTACTACGTACTCGCGCCTGCCGAAGCATCCTCAAACCTGGCCAAGTACGATGGTGTCAGGTACGGGACTCGTCCCGCGGGCCCCGATGGTGGCACGCAACCGGACGATTACCTGTACGCCACGACTAGGGGTGACGGGTTTGGCACCGAAGTCAAGAGACGGATTCTGCTCGGCGCATTTAGTCTGAGTGCCGATGCCATTGACAACTATTTCATACAGGCCCAACGCGTTCGGCGACTCGTTCAGCGTGACTTCAATGAGGTCTTCAATGCAGAGCAGCCCTTGGCTTCTCGTCGAACAGAGGCTGGCCCTAGACCGGGGACTTTTGGCGTAGATGTTCTGATATGCCCGACTGTGCCGTCATCACCACCGCGCATATCAGACTTATTGGAAGGCGATGCGGCGGCATCCCCTTTGGATGCATACATGAATGATGTCTTTACCGTGCCTGCCAGTCTAGCCGGTCTCCCCTCAGTGTCCGTCCCAGTTAAGGTGGATGAAGGCGCTAGTTGTACTGGACTTCAGATAATCGGTCAGTATGGTGATGATGAGCTGGTGCTGAGAGTGGGGGAGTCGTTGGAAGGACAAAGTCTCTGACCCTCTTGTATGAATACGCGGAATATGATTTGAACGGCTCCAAAGGACGTCATTCCATGCCGTTGAAAATAGGCAGACTACGACCATTCTAGTCATCTTAATATACAACTTAGTTTACATATGCCTTAACACGAGAAACATTCTTTTCCCTGGAGAGCAAATTCTCCGGAACTCAAATTTGTAGGAAGCGCAGAATGGACCCTGACTTGTCCGGGGAATGTGATAAGCCGGGCTGCAAAAAACGATTCATACTCCAATTGGTGTCTAGTGATGGGGGATTTCCTATGAATTCAAGTCATTTCAGTATCCTCCCCAACCGTCGTGTTTTCGGGCACAGTCGAGGGAGTTGCTGCATTGGGTGTGTCCGCGGTATCGACATGCATTGCACCGTCGAATGTGATATGGCTAGGACCTAGCCCGGGATCTAGCTCTGGTACCTCGCCGGTTCTTTCTACCACAGGGTTGTCAATAGTTGCGGATTCAAGCTTGCCACTCGAGGCTAAGGCGGATTCATATGCCGCGCCGACCCCTGCCTTGAGGACTTCAGAACCCCCTACCGGTCCAGAGCTGGAACCATCCATCTCCGAGTTGCCGACAACATCGCCGTCAATGCCACCCCACAGAAGCATTGCTTCGACCTCGTCGACAATGTCGGCCACGACGTCCTCCGCTATCTGCTCGTTGAACCGGTCCCCGAAAGCTCGAATCGGCGCTCCGCTCTCCGTGTGAGAAGGCGGCCCAACCCACCATGGACCCTCGAAGCGGCATTCAACTGCACCGCCACCGTAACAGCTGACAGCAGGGTAGTAGCCAATCATCCCGTCATCTGCGTTTTCTCGCTCCCCAAGTCCAAGATTATTAGTACCGTTGGCGAGACGACTGGCTGGGGGAAGGAATGCGTATAATTCTTTGAAGGGCGTGCCCATCTTGACGCCATTTTTGAATATTGTGATGCTTGAACCTGGAAGCGTCCGTAAGGATGCATCCTCTGAATTCAGCGGAGACGGGGGCCCGAATGTTGGGGTTTCTTTAAGGTTGAAGGCATAATCGCGCAAGTGTTTCGTGGGGAACACATTCGATTGTTGCCAGCAGAAGTCGGATTTATAGTGGAATGGAATTCGATCACGAATGATGTTGACGGCAGAAGGTGCTTCTGCGTTGGTGTTTTCATCGGTAGCGGGATCATAGGTCCCCTCGACTATTTTCTTATGAAGCGATAGTGGTGGAAGGGAAATGAGCATCCCAATGACATCGCCTTCCCGGATTGCCTCTCCCTTGGGAAAGAAGTACTCGCAGCGCATCCGATTCACTACCTCACCGTTCACATCCCGAATTCCATACCCATAACAATCCACGCCAACGTTCACGTCAAGATCTGCTTCTCGCCGGGCAAATCCAAGACGAACGTGGCCCCTCGAAGGCCGTCCGATATTGCCGCTAGAGGAATCGGTTTTTGTGTCGCTCACCACACCGCTTATTACTCGTGCTTCATAGTAAAAGTTCCCTTCCCGTGCGCAAACATTGGCACGGGCGGTGTGCCAAGGATCACTGGTCGTGACTGCAAGCGCATCTTCGCTGAAAAGAATCGCTGCCGGCGAGTCTTCGAAACTGAACCGTGCCTGGTATGGCCGAACATCGGTCTGACGGTATTTGATATGGGGAAACCCCGGGTCAGCTATGGCATAGCCGTAGCGAAATCCATTCTTATTAGTGAGCTTGTCAACAACCTCATAGAAGGCCCGAACCTGCCCAGTTACATCGGAGGCTTTCTTATCCACAAGGTTCAGTTGGCGAGGTTGAGGAGGGAGCAGATCGGATGACCGGGGCTCCGCAAGCAACAACGGTCGAAGTATATTGAGTTCCGAGCTGGGAAGAGCCGTATTTTGAACAGCCACTGCTTTCTTCTTGGGTGGAGCTTCTTGGTCAAGCCCTTTCGCCTCGCGCTTCTTGCGACTGTCACGTTTGTTGCGTTTTGATCTTGCAGAATCAGCTTGAGACGATGCATTGCCTTGGGGTATAGGCGAAGATCTCGCATTCGCGTCAGACAACGTCCCGTTCAACCCGTTCAACAATGGAGTACTACTGGGCGGTAAGATTGGCGAGTTGATGTTAGACGAAGGCGCAGAAGACCCTGTCGGGTTTGCCGATGCCATAGCGAATAAATATGTGGTTTATGACGAGAAGCAGGATGTCAAGATCCCCTGAATGGGTGAAAGCAAAAGAATCGGTCGGAATATCGTATGGCAAACAAGGATATTATGGGGTCAAGTTAATCGTCGCAATCACATGGCATTACAGGCGAACATTGAGCAAGAGAGAAAGCGGCATCTGGAACAAGGCGCATCTGGTCAGAGATCGAACAATATTCCTAGCTCTGAAGCACAACATGATGCAAATTGTTTAAACGTCAAAGAGGGTGACGGAAGAAGTGCATTTTCTCGACTCACGGCATTACAGAAGCAAAAGCGGCCGATGGATTCGGGATTGTTTCAATCGCATTGGAAAGGAGGTTCTGTACTTACATTATATGTTCACTAGCGTCACTAAGGCACAGCATAGTTAGCCTGGTTTCTACCATTGCAAATATAAATCCATGTAAGCCACGCTCTTACCTGAAACCTGAAGAGAAGAGGATGGAGATTCCAGGAATGGGTTGGGGGTCTTGTCATTGTTCGCTGCGGCATAGGTTAGTTTTCCCCGAAGGCGGTCAAGAATAATGCTGGCTTGATCCGGAGGCGGCGGTGAGTGTCCTGGGACGAGATTTGTTGATCCATGAGCGGGAGGGGTTATAAGGCGGTGAGCAATCCCACCAATGAATAAGGATGCCTTCAAAGCGGTCTACAGAGAAGGTCGGGCATTAGCGGGTTTAAAAAAAAATTCCCAGGTGGGGTCACATGATCCAAAAATTTACACACAATTTCTAGATCACGTCTGTATGTACAGAAGCCACAAGATTTGAATTCACTGGCAGGCAAACCGCACGATAGGAAACCACTTTGCTGTTCGACAGCAGATACTTGTCCCGTCCCTGGCCGATTGCTCCCTTGGATACCTTTCCCCCAAGGACTCGAGAAGGGCCGTCCGTCATCATGCCGAAGGCTACGTCTTCTCGCTCCGCCGCCGCTCGCAGGCATAACCCGTTGGCTGAGGATATTATGTCCGTAGGCCATTTGCGAACCCAATCCAGCAAGAAAGGCAAACGCAGCTCCGGGGATGACCAGGATCAACAAGATGGCGAGCGCTTCGTCGATGCGAAAATGTCTCGGAAGATTTTGCAGATTGGGCAGGAACTGGCAGATGAGGATGCAGCGGAGCGCAGAGCGGCAATGGGCACGACTGGGGAGAATGTGAATTCGGCTTTCAACTTCGATTCTCGATTTGAAGATCACGAGGCTTTATCAGACGACGAGGACAAGTTCAAAGACGATCAATGGGACGACGAAGAAGAAATTGAAGAAGTGGTATGTGAGCAAATGCGTTCATGTTTATCTTTGTTTCTATAGTCGCCAAGTCTTCTCCGGGACGTCTGTCTAATTCTTTGTAGGAGGTTGATCCGAACGACCTTGACATGTTTAACAAATTCATCCCTGCCGGCGATGAAGACCCGATTTTCAACCCTCGCGACCCGGAGTCTCAAGGCCAGACCACAAACTTGGCCGATCTCATTTTAGAAAAAATCGCGGAGCACGAAGCGAAGCAATCCGGGGATGGTGGCCCATTTATTCAAGGTGGGGGATTACCAGAAGATGCCGTCCAGATCCCGGCGAAGGCAGTCGAAGTATATGAGAAGTATGTGATCTGTGACATCACCGTCAATACCTTGGCACCTAGAGCTAATCATGCACAGAGTCGGCATGATCCTTTCGCGCTACAAATCTGGACCTCTTCCCAAGCCGTTCAAAATTCTTCCTTCCGTACCCAACTGGCCGACTCTCCTCTCTATCACCCGCCCTGAGTCATGGTCCGCCAACGCTGTTTACGCCGGGACCAGAATCTTCATCTCCTCCAAGCCGGCTGTTGCGCAAGAGTACATCTCTACTGTTCTTCTTGACCGCGTCCGTGAAGAGATCCACGAGACCAAGAAGCTTAACGTGCACACTTACAACTCGTTGAAGAAGGCACTCTACAAACCAGCCTGCTTTTTCAAGGGATTGTTGTTCCCCCTTGTCTCCAGCGGTACCTGCACCCTGCGCGAGGCTCACATTGTCTCGTCGGTCATTGCACGGGTCTCCATTCCGGTCCTGCATTCTGCAGCCGCTTTGCTTCGCATGTGCGATCTCTCCGCCGAACAATCCTTGAGGTCCCTGGAGAGCACCGGTGCGGTAAACATGTTCATTCGAGTCTTCCTCGAGAAGAAATACGCACTTCCCTATAAGGTGATCGACGCTCTTGTGTTCCATTTCCTGCGTTTCCGGGCCAGCGACGGCGCCGAAGATGCCATGATGACCGATGGACCCTCCAAAATGTATAAACTTCCCGTCCTTTGGCATCAGTCACTGTTGGTGTTCGCCCAGCGCTACCGCAATGACATCACGGAGGATCAGCGAGAAGCACTTCTAGATTTGCTCCTGGTCCGTGGGCATAAGGACATTGGGCCCGAAGTTAGGCGAGAACTGTTGGCCGGTCGAGGGCGAGGTGTCGTGGTACCGGATCCCGAAAAGCAAGGTGCTCTGGATGCCGGGGATGACACGATGGATGTCACGCTATAGCTGGGAACGTTGGTAGTTCTTCGAAAAGCGAAATCTTCTTTTCTTTTCTTTTCTTTTTTTTCATTCTGATCTTTGGGAATATCGTGGCATGGATTTTCTGCGGACCGCTCACTGGGTATGATTTTATCATGAAGTTCACTACGATTGGAAGAGGCGTTAGCTCCGTATATACTGCTTTTTCTTTTTCTCTCTTTTTTTTTTTTTTTTTTTTCTCCCTTGCATTCCTCGATTTTCCATACACCGTATGCACATATTCGAAAAGCATAATAACTGCGGCTGTATGCCATTATGATCAGAACGGGCTCGGGAAGTTCTCAAGGCTGGGCACGGAGTAATCTGTAGCGTGTCCGACCGTCCGACACCGGCAGCTGTGCTGGTAAGGAGGGCCTGCGTGGGGCACCCTTTCCTCAATTATGCATCATGCAATTCTCCGGGCCCCAGATTACTATTAATACTGACCATCCAGAGTAGGTAGGTCCGGAGTCTGGAGTCTGGACTTCGGAGGTATTCAGAAGTAGTCATGCAGTGACGTACACCGTAAAGTGTATGTACTCCGTCAAAGAGTACCTGAGTACCTATGAGACTTGTGGTCATGCTCCAAGGGAGACTCAGGGGGCCTTGGTATGATATTAATATTAATTAATCCGGCCGGAACGGGATTAAAAATGGAAGAAAAGTCTCAGACTCCGCCGAGAGTCGCTGACGGACGCCCGACGGTCTCACCCTCGACATTCGAGACCTTGAGAGAAGGTGGATCCTCCGTGTCGCAGGTTGAGGAAAAGGGCGAGCCGCCGGGTCCAAAATTACGGCCCTTTACCCGGTCTATACCGTCCAGGGGGGGCCAAAAGGGGGCAAACAAAGGGAAGCACAAAGGGACGCCAAGGGGCCGGGGGCGAATTCCCCGTAAGATTACGGTTTCGTGGCTGACGACGTCGACTCCGCCCCCTTAAAACTGCAAGGTGCAAGGGGGCGCCGGGCGGAAGTGACCACGCTGGCCTTTAAAAGAGTCTCCCGTTCCCTCCCCAATCCGTTCCTTGAAGACACTCTGGCTTCACTCTTCCTGCCTTCAGACCACTTGTCCTCTTCCCTTCCACCTCCAAATTCAGGCACCAGTTTAGGCAACCCCGAATTACCCCGTGTTCCGGGGTTGTCCACTATGACATCCTGGCTTCTGCCGCTTTCTTTGATCTGATCAACTCCCCACGATCTCTATACTACACTACACTACACTACACCACAAAGACACCGGAGACCTCCACAAATACCTACTGCCTGTTGATCGGGTCTTTATATAATCTTTCTCTATCTCTCCCTCCCTGATAGACCGGTTCATCATGGAAGACGATTTCTCCTCGGTTGACTCGTTGCCCGGGACCCCCGCCTCGGATGTCCCGGTGCTCACCGTCTCCCCGGCGGACACCTCATTAGAAGATCTACATGAAGATGATGTCAAGTCCGAAGATAAGAAACCTGCGAAGAAGAGGAAATCGTGGGGCCAGGAACTGCCGGTCCCCAAGACCAACTTGCCTCCTAGGTATGGCTCGCCCGCCAAATCCACCCGATGCCTAGAACCTCGCGCTAACGAATGCATGCAGAAAACGGGCAAAGACCGAAGATGAGAAGGAACAGCGCCGTATAGAGCGGGTTCTTCGGAATCGCGCGGCGGCGCAGACCTCCCGCGAGCGAAAGAGACTCGAGATGGAGAAACTCGAAAACGAGAAGATCCAGATGGAGCAGCAGAACCAGTTCCTGATGCAGCGTTTGTCTCAAATGGAGGCAGAAAACAACCGCTTGAATCAGCAGGTCGCCCAGTTGGCTGCCGAAGTCCGTGGCTCGCGAGGAAACACGCCGAAGCCCGGATCTCCCGTCGGCGATTCGCCGACCCTCACTCCTACCTTGTTCAAGCAGGAGCACGAAGAGCTCCCGCTTGAGCGCATCCCCTTTCCGACGCCATCCCTTACCGACTATTCTCCCACTCTGAAGCCTTCTACTCTGGCTGAGTCCTCCGACATGACACAACATCCTGCAGCGGTGTTGTGTGACCTGCAGTGTCAGTCGTTGGACTCGAAGGAGAAGGAAGCGCTCTCCCACTCTTTGACCTCGCCTCAAACGTTCAAAGTCACGCTGCAGATGACGTTGCAGCTCCTCTTTCTGATGACGACTTCCACCGCCTATTCCACGGTGATTCGTCCGCTGAGCCTGATTCTTCAGTCTTTGAAGACGGGTTCGCCTTTGACGTTTTCGACGGCGGAGATCTATCAGCATTTCCCTTTGATTCTATGGTTAATTTCGACTCCGAGCATGTCGGTCTCGAAGGCACCGAACCGTCAGACACCCTTCCGGATGAGGCTTCTCGCCAGACTTCTAGCGTGCAACCCAGCCATGGCGCGTCCACTTCGCGATGCGACGGGCAGGGCATTGCAGCTGGCTGTTAGCGAGAACCCGTGCCGTGATCCCGTGTCGGCGGCCGGCGCCGGAGCGACCGGCTGGACTTGGGAGTACTTATTAACCTTGGCGTGGGCGATAGACCGCCTCGAGAAGTCGGGACGACGCAAACGAATTTTGAGTGGTTTGAAATCAGCGCAAAACGGTCGGCGAAATCGGGTTGGAAAGCCTTCTCGGGCTACATGGAGTTTTAGGAGTTCATCAACAAACAACAGCGAGACGTTGACGTCTCTGCTCATGGGCAAGGAACGCTGAGGAATTGGTTCTGTACAGTACAATATTATGCTTTAATCAAGTGTCTTCATTCCCTGAATACCGTTCGGATTCAAATCCTGATACGTACTCCGTACATGTACAACTAATACGTAGTAATCTGTAGGGGAAGAGGAGCTGTTATGTTGTTATTATATTCTTTCTGTCACTCAGCCATACGTACACCGTAGGGCATAGGTGATGCGATGCGTACAAGGCCGCTCGGCCATGCGACTGAGAGAATTGCTTTCCTAGGATCCCGTTCTATGTCTATAAGGTGGAGCAACTGGTGGTCCCCTACGCTATGCTCGCCGTTTCCCTCGGGAGACAGGTCTTGGGGACTGACAGAGGAATTAGCTGTATGGCTCTCTTTGTATATAGAACACTTGGAAGGTCTACCATTGCGCCACAGGCGGGCAGCGGAAGAGGATCTCGAACCGTCAAGGCGGTCTGGATGTGACGTTGCCACGCGAAGCCCCGCCCATTTCCGTCTCCCCTTTTGCCGCCCTCCATATTTCCCTGGTCTCATTTTCCAGGATAACAGTCGCTCCCTTTTCTCGTAGCCCCGCCAAATCGCATTCGCCCTGCTTCTGTTTCCTCTCCATTCTCTCATACAACCTCCGGCAAAATGGTTCGAAAGGATCCCATCTTTGAAGCCCGTACTAACGTGAAAGTGAGTGGACCCTTTCCCGCCGCCTGGCCTCCCTCTCTTATGCCCAGAGTCTGCCTTGATTAGGCACCGACAAATATATACATATCTTGGCTGACTATCGTCATTCTAGTTACACTCCAACCGACTTAAGAAAGAAGCAGCCCGTGCCGAATCTACCTTCAAGTCCGAAAAAGCCAAGGCCGACAAGGCCATGAAGAATCGCGAATTCCAGATTGCTCGCATCCATGCTTCTTCGGCCGTACGTGAAAAGCGAAGGCAGGTGACGCTCAAGGCGGAAGCGGCTCGTGCAGATGTCATTATCAACGAACTGAAGGCCGCGCAGAGCACTCGGGACACATCACGTACTCTTGCGCTGGCATCGCGAGGCTTAGATGCGGCGTCCAAGAGTGTCAACCTGGAGAATTTGGTATCTCATGCCAATAACTTCCTGGCGCGCTCGGAGGACTTCAAAATCGCCAGCGGTGCGATCGAAGACGTTGCGCAGGGTGTTTCCATGCAAGAATACGGGGCGGAAGGGGAGGCGGATGTGGACCGCCTCATGGAGCAACTTGCTGACGATGCGGGTGTGGATATGCGCATGGCCCTAGAGGCCGACACAGCACCCAAGGAGGAAGTTAAGGATCAGAAACAGGCCGATAGCGAACTTGAAGATGGTCTAGGAGCACGGCTCCGGGCTCTAAGAGCTGCTAACTGAGCCTCTTTTATCTCGTTCAGCTCTCCTCGCCTTTCATGTCCTGTTCGCTTCCTTTCTTTGCTCGTCCCCCTATCGCTTTTTGACATAAAGAACCTGGGCGGCTGGGAATGATTGTGGCGTTGTGTTATTCCGTTTCACTTGCATGGCCGTGAGGCTGCACAGTGCAGTGGCCGATGCAAGAGTTCCCACAATAATGGTCCATGGACATTTACGAAGTTATGCCCTCGATGCTTACTAGCCGCGACATCATCTTAGCTTCCCAAATCCATTACATCCAGTGCGATATGTTGCGCTCGGAAGTGGTTGTGGCGTTTGAAGGAAACATGTATTTATTTATTCATCCTGGTAGAGTCCTTTCTGTCTCTCTTTCTTCCCGGCGCATTTTTGAGTAGAACATAAATCAGAATGAAGCAAGATTCAGAATTTCAATCAAATAAGTACTGTATGAGGAGTCGATGAGAACCCGCACTCCTGTTCATGCCAAGTCATGGTTGCCTGTCGCCGGTCGCACGTATCCTTCGGGGCGTCCACCGCCGGGACACTTCCCGCGGCAAATCGCTTCCCCATGATATGTCAACTTGTGGTGCATATCTCGAATTCATAACTATTCCCTACACTTCCTTCTCTCGTAAAACCGCATGACAAGTCGCGACCCTAATTACTTAGTGAGTGGGGACGATCTTATACGAATGTGTCATATGGAGATCGTTAGAGACTCGTGAGGAACCGATGCATGTTTCTCGTCGCAGAGGAGATGGATGGTCCACTGGCAGCATCTAATCTCGACAAGACACCCCACGCTAGGCGCGCTGCATGCCTGAACTGTAGAAGGAGCAAGATCCGATGCAACCGAAGTCAAGGGGATGATGCATGCTGTGACAAATGCAGGCAGGCCAAGCTAGAATGCATTGTGCCTAGTCACCATGTCGGCAGGCAGAAGGGTGTCAAAAAGTAAGGGCCGAAGGGTTTCTTCTACCCCTCTGATCGCTACCCAGAATGCGCTTAAAACAATTACTGAACATCCTGAGCTTCTAGTAAACGAAAGGGCCTTGAAAAGGCGCTGCATCAGATAGAAGAGGCGATCAAGCGACCCAAGACCAATGATACAGGGTCCAGCGGCGCTCAGAACATCATCTCGAATCTTCAAGACCTGCTCAACAAAATTCAGGGGCAGCGGCTTCCCAGTGAAACAGACGACCAGTCCGAAGATCCCGATCGATCGCGGGCTGTCCAATCTCCAGATGAGACCAATGCCGACGACAGTCTGTCCTTGGACGATGCGGAAAATCCGCTGCAGTTACTCGCACGCGCATCTGATCTCCAACTATCACCTCCAGTGGCGCGTGGGACGGTTAAGTGGCTGCCATTGGCTCCATCGGAGCCTGCAAGCGCACCAAGAGACAGCCTGGATGGTAACTCAACCGCGGCGAGGTCCTTCTTTGTTCCTGCTAAGACAAGGCTGGATACTGGACCAGAAATAGATCCCATTGACTTGGGGCTCGTGACTTCAAATGAGGCCGACACATTATTTTCATTGTACGTTCGACAGAGAGAAAGAGAGAGAGTTGAAGGTCCTAGTCCGGAGCCGAGCTGACATCCTCCAGTTTCTATCAAAATTTGGCACATACTCGATGGGGCCTTGACCCCCTTCTCCATACGGTGCCATTTGTGCGCGCCCAGTCTGCTTTCCTATTCACTTCGATCATGGCAGCCGCTGCATTGTTTCTGCCTTCTGCTGCTGCGTTGTCCAAGAGGCTATCCAGACACTGCAAATCATTAGCCCAAAGAGTTATTACTGAACGCCTTAGATCGGTGGAAATTGTTCTCGCGTTCATGGTGAATGTTCCGTGGATGGCACCCGGAAGTTGTCTAGGCGATGACGATACCTGTTACTACATAGGAATGGCTCTTACTGTTGCCCTAGACCTGTCTTTGAATAAGATCGTGCTTCCATCAACTAGTTTTGAAAGCGGTCTTCTCAAGAGACTGGCCAAGGCGGACAGTATTGACGCCAGGAGAGCATTGAACATTGATGGGTTTGAAGACGTGGAGCCAGCATCTGAGTGGGGTCAGAGACTTTTGAGGCGAAGAGAAAGAACTTGGATTGCCCTTTTTGTGCTTGAAAGAGGGTATGGCAGCCAATTCCTGAAACACTAGAAAGGGAGGAAGGATTGCACGCTGACCATTTCGAATATAGAGTTTGCTTAGCCCACGGGAGAAGCTACACTGTTCCGCCAACTTCCCTAATTGAAAACTGCGATGCCTGGCATGTTTCCGACTTTGCCGACTCTCGTGATGGGCCATTGAATTCAATGGCAGTTCTCCGTCGAAATCTGGTATGTGGATATGGTTTCTTATAGTACTGTTGCATACTGCAAGCACAGGTTTAGCTAACCCACCAAGGATGAATTATTCCTCAAAGTCAAGTCTGTCTGCGATGGTCACCAGATTGCTGATACTGGATCTGAAGCTGCCCGATCGTAGGTTGTTCTGGATAGCGTCTAAGCATATCATAGACTGATGCCTGCTCTTAGGATCCAAGCGATGATAGAAAGCTTCTATAACAAGTGGTATGAAACATGGGCGCCGGCGATTGGAGAAGGCCAAAGTAAGTTCCGTTTTTCTGAAATATACACGATTACTACGGAATTAAAGCATACTGACCTCTGCGACAGTGCACTCTCTTCCGCCATACGTCGAAATCTTGGTGACCCATACCCAGCTATCTACATACGGAGGGGTGATCAACCATCCAACGGCGCCTCTTGAGGTCAAGCGATTCTTCCGCGCCGCTGGCCTCTCGTCGGCATTGAATGTCTTGAGAGCGGCCATTCAGGGCGAATCACGCCTAAAATCCATGCCAAACAACACCGTGATCATGATATCCTATGCCGCATGCTCTGCGCTGAGCCTTAGCGAGATGCCGGCAGACAGCAGGTCTAACCTGGCCCCAAGTGTGCGAAACCTGATCGAAGAGGCCGCTGGAGTCCTGGAACGGATTGGGGCAACTCCAAACCACCGGAGTGGCGCGTCCTTCCTATACGGACGCTTCTTACGAGAGCTCGTTCGGCGGTCGCCAGCCAACCCCAGCACTGTGGCTCAAACCGACTCTCACCCCGTCACCTCCACCGAGACCCTTCCGCCTCCATCGACATTGAATGGATATGGCCCCGTGGCATCCTCGACGCAGCCACCGTTTGAAACGCCGCTGTTCTGGTCAGAGCCACTGCATTTCTCTGCGATGTCAGATGACCAGATCATTGACGCCGTGAACCGAGCGGGAACGGCATTTGGAACGAGCGTTCCCGACGTGCCTCTAGACGACATGATGAATTGGGAATGGCTTGACCTTGGCAATACCACGGACTTTAGCTTCTGAGGCGTCGGCACTGGCCAGCCCTGTGTAGTTAGTGTATGTCTCATAATCGGAATCCACGGAGTTCCCCACCGGTCGGCGTCCAGAAGTAGGACCGACGGCCCGAGGGACTGTCGTCATCTCGCGATCGCAGAACAACTTAACTAGCCGAAGCAAGACAAACAGGAAAATCACGCAGTGAATTTTACTCATTCGAATCTTTCTGCTTCCTTTGGTACTCATTGTCGTGGGAAGGCACATATTTTCGCATTACCTCTCTCCTCCCCTTGTTGTGTTCCCTCTTGACCAGATTTCACCCATCTACTCTCCACACAACAGTGATGGCGACACTCCGGGTTTCGGCGTCGGCGTTGTCGCGAAGGGCCCTCACGGTGGCTCGTCCACAGATTCAAGTGGCCAAATATCACAGACCCAGTACGCGGTCGTTGCTGAGAGTGAAAGCGACTGGATATCCTAGATACTCGACCGCGGTCGACCAACCTTCGCGTGCGCCCAAGATCGACCGCAGTGCCTCGAAGCTGTTCAAAAATGCCGACGAAGCTGTCGCCGATATCCAGAGCGGATCGACGATCCTGAGCTCCGGGTTCGGTCTCTGTGGTGTTGCAGGTAGGCAGAGCTCATGTCCCTTTAATGCATTGTCGTCAAGCTAGGACATCTAACGCTCGCCTTTACTAGAAACCCTGATCTCGGCCATGCATCGCCGCGGAGCCGAGAATCTTCATTCCTTGACTGCGGTGTCCAACAATGCCGGTGCCCCTGGGAAAGGTGGACTTTCTACCCTGACACAAGCGGGCCAGGTCAACCAATTGATCCTTTCCTACCTCGGGAACAATAAGGCGCTTGAGAAGAAGTATCTAACGGGCAATATCGGCATTGAACTATGCCCTCAGGGCACCCTAGCGGAAAGACTGCGGGCTGCAGGAGCTGGCATTCCCGCGTTCTTCACTCCTACGGGCGCGCGTAAGTCATCGTCCCCTTCGACCTTTCCCCAGACAAAAAGAAGAAGTGGGAAAGACGGCATTGCATGGGTGCAGACGCTAACCCTAGAAATTGGCCTTTGAAATGCAATAGACACCTTCCTTCAAGATGGTCAAATTCCTGTCCGGCTAGATGAGTCCGGCAAGGTGATAGAAAACGGCAATCCTCGCGAAACTCGCGTGTTCAATGGCAAGACATATCTGATGGAGAAAGCACTGCCCGGCGACGTGGCTATCATTCGGGCCTGGAAGGCTGACGAGGCGGGCAACTGTGTATTCCGGTAAGTGGCTGAAAATCTGGACGTTGGCCTCACGCTGCTAACCGTTGCGTGAATCTAGCTACACTACCAAGGCCTTTGGCCCAATCATGGCAAAAGCAGCTACCTTGACCATAGTCGAGGCCGAAAACATTGTCCCGCTCGGCTCTATAGATCCGAATGACGTCGACTTGCCGGGTATCTTTGTGGACAGAATTGTGCCTGCTACTGACGACAAACACATTGAAATCAAGAAGTTGCGATCGGCAGACGACGAGAGTGCCACCAAGACGGCGAAGGATGCCGCGACGGCCCAGAGAAACCTCATTGCTAGGAGAGCTGCGAAGGAGCTCAAGCAGGGCTACTACGTGAACCTGGGCGTCGGTAAGTGTTCCGAACAATCACAAAGCAAAGCAAAAGCTGACTTGGAGGTAGGAATTCCCACACTGGCTCCATCATTCTTGCCCGAAGGTCGTAAGGTCTGGATTCAATCGGAGAACGGTATTCTAGGCATGGTAAGTAGTGCGCTGGGAGTTATGACGTTCGACATGGGCTGGATGGCTAACGGAAATCCAAGGGACCCTACCCGACGGAGGACGAGGTCGATGCGTGAGTGTTTGTCCCTTGCAATAGTGCTATCAGGCAATTATTCTCGGTTGTCGCCAAGGCTAATTTGTTCTCCTTCTCCGTTAAGGGATATTATTAATGCCGGCAAGGAAACCGTTACCCTGGTCCCGGGCGCCGCAACGTTCGATAGCACCGAGTCATTCGGCATGATCCGCGGCGGACACGTAGATGTGTCTATTCTTGGGGTTTGTCAACCCCAAATCCTAGATCCAGAGGATTTGCTAATTAGTCACAGGCGTTGCAAGTCAGTGCCACCGGAGACCTGGCCAACTACATGATTCCCGGAAAGGTCTTCAAGGGAATGGGAGGAGCCATGGATCTGATCTCGAATCCCGACAAGACCAAGATCGTGGTGGCCACCAGCCATACCGCTAAGGACGGTTCCTCTAAGATTGTGTCCGAGTGTGGCTTGCCTTTGACGGGCGCCAAATGCGTGAGCACGATCATCACAGATTTGGTGAGTCCCTATCGTCTCGACTACAACTGTCCCAGATCCACGATTTAACGTTGCTAACAAAACAAAAACAGTGTGTTTTCCAGGTGGACCGAACCAAGGGCGAACTATTGTTGACTGAACTCGCCCCCGGAGTCGAGGTTGAAGAAGTCCGGAGCAAGACCGAAGCCCCCTTCACCGTTGCCGAGCAGCTCGAGCTTATGGAGTAGGAGATGGATTTTCCATGGTAAATGTAATTATAGAATATATATATTTTCTGAGGTGAAATTGAATAGACGAGGAAGGCGGGATATTCCTCCAGACAGAACATTGATTGATATAGGGCACCAAGCGCGGGATCGTCCCCGGTGGCTGACGGGGACAGCGCGAGTAAGAAGAGCGAGAAAGATAAGCACGGTTGGCGGCGCAGCGCCCTGGAAGGAGCAAGCGGAGACGCGGCGCCGACTAGATCGGGGCTAAGGCGCAACCGACCAGTGACACATGTCCGCCAAGCTTTAGGCCCAAGCCTTGGAATCCGGGGCTGGTCGAGTCTTGGTCTGGGGTAGGCCATTTTGACATTTGGCGTGGGAACTCAACCATTTCTCCCCCCCTCCCCCTGGTCAGAGTCAGCAATTCCTTCCCCCCCTCTTTCTCTTCCCCCCTCTTAGTTGATGACAAAATGCCTTTCTGTCGAAGGATTCGTCCGGTCGGAGATAGAAATGGTGCCCGACGCGAGCTGAGCTGTTTGCTCCTCAACAGCTTTATCTGTCTTGCCTTTCTCAACGATTTCCCATGATTGCTGGCTGCACAGATCACATTCTCCTTCTCCTGCTCTCACCCCTGAATCTGGCAGACCCAAAGTGCTTTCCTCTCTTTGGTCTCTCCCCGTTACACAGCCATGGATTCGATCAGTACCCCTAGCGAGAAGATCGAATATGCCCGACAAGACGCCCCCGAGAGCTTGTCCAGCGGCTATGCTTCCGACCAGAAACTGGTTCGAAGTCTGCTGCTCAAATTAGATACGAGGTAGGTGTTCGCTTCACCTGAACACAAACGCAACCAATGCATCGACGGTAGACAGACTGCTGACTCCGGATCTTTTCCGTCAAGAATCCTCCCCATTCTAGCCGTACTTTTCCTGTGCTCCTTTCTTGACAGAACAAATATCGGCAATGCCAAGGTGCTGGGCTTTGAGGAGGACCTCAACATCACCAACCATCAGTATGATATCGGCTTGACGGTATACTATCTCACCTATGTCCTCAGGTAGGCCCCTCCCTCCGTCTCTTCTTTCTTTCTTTCTTTTTTTTGTTCTTGTTTATTCATCTCCTTCCATCTCTTTCTCTTTCTTGCCTCCTGCTTTGTATAATGTGGCGCTAACGCTGTCTCCGTTGTTTCTTTCCAGCGAGCTGCCAAGTAACCTGATAATCAAAAAAGCCTCTCCGAGAATATGGCTGCCATCCCTCACTATGGTTTGGGGCATCATCACCATGTGCCTGGGGTTTGTCAAGAATTTTGGAGATTTCGTCGCCGTACGCGCTCTTCTCGGGGCTGCTGAGGGGGGGCTGCTACCAGGAATGGTGAGTGATCAGGACTGTTCTCCTCGACCGAAAACTCTCTAATTCCGGACAGGTGTTGTACCTCTCGTCTTTCTATCGACGGGGTGACTTGGCCTTGCGGATCGGACTATTCTATACGGCGGCGTCTTTGTCGGGAGCGTTCGGAGGTATGTCTTTTCATAAAGAATCCAAGCCCCTTAGAGACCCTGCTTGTCACAGCATATTGCAATGACGTTGCGACTGATGCATAGCAGGACTCTTAGCCCGTGGATTGGCTGAAATCGGCCCGCGGGGCGGTTTGGAGGGATGGCGCTGGATCATGATCATTGAAGGGCTGCTGGTTAGTTGGCCTGGCCGAATTCTTTCTCTTCTCTTTCGCAGCTACTGATCGATCTGTCAGACGTTCGTATGTGGCGGTCTGAGTTATTTCGGTCTTCCCAACAGTGTGGAAACGGCGTCCTTTCTCACACCCGAGGAACGATTGGTTGCTCGCCAGAGACTCAACCTTGACAGCCCGACTGTATCTGAAGGGTAAGCATGTTCCATGTCCTTCTAGAGTCTATTATGATCGACAGCGGCACAATGTGGCCCTCCTTTCAAAATGCTCACACATGACAACAGTTCGCAAACGGACGGACAAGAAACGATGAGATGGTCGGAAGTGCGCCGAGGCGTTTTTGATTTGCAGATGTGGCTCTCCGCAACTGCCTATTTTGCCATTCTATCGGGGTTGTACTCCTTTGGATTATTTGTTAGTATCTCTCGCCAAGTCAATGAGAGTTTGCTGGGACTGATGAGGACGTGGCCTGGCTAGTTGCCGACCATCATCGATGAAAGTGGTTTTGCGACAGATGCGAACCAAGTGCAATTGTGGACGGTCATTCCGTATGCCGTGGCAGCTATTCTGACCGGTACGTTCTCTGCCTCGCTTGCCTTCCCTCAACCCTGAGTTGCCCAGCTCACAATATTGCGTGAACCCCAGTGGCCGTGTCTTTCCTGTCGGATCGTTTGAAACTTCGAGGGACCCTCATGCTGTTTACTCTGCCGATTGCGATTGCTGGATACGGCGCAATCGCCAACATTGAGTCCCCCAAGGCCAAGTACGGAATGACATTTCTCATGGCCACGGGCATGTATGCAAGTGTTCCCTGCATCTTAGTGTGGAACTCGAACAATTCGGCCGGACACTACAAGCGAGCCACCACGTCGGCGATGCAACTGGCCATTGCAAACTGCGGTGGATTCGTTGCCAGTAAGCACCATTTCCTCGACGGGCTCCTGCAGTCTTAAGTATCTAAAAGGCGATCGATCAACTGACCCATATGGCTCCAGCGTTTATATATCCCAACACGGATAAGCCCCAGTTCCACCGCGGCCATTCAGTGGTCTTTGGGCTTCTCATTTTCGCCTGGTTTATGTGGGTTCCTCGTTACCCCTGACGAGCGAGATGCACTTACTAACCGCTCTCACATAGGATTCTGCTGAACGTGTTATACTGTGCCAAGCTCAACCGCGATAAGAGACAAGGCAAGTTTGCAAAGTACGAGGGGTACAACGACGACCGAGACCCCGAGTTCAAATTTGTGCTGTAGTTCGTCGTAATTGCCGTGGCAGGAAATGCGGGTTTGGCTCGGGAAGGATTGGTTTCCATGCAGTGGTGGGTATATACTCAGGATTCTGTATGTACGTATGTATATATGCATAGCTGCACATCTACTTACCCATACCCATAGTATAGCGAAATTCTCAAAATTCCAAGAGAGTCAAGTGAGAAGATCCCCCACGATTTGCCGAGAAAAGTTGGCAGTCGGCAAGGACAATTTCCGCCAAGTAGAAATCGCACCAATGGAGGGATATCGTTCTATCGCCTGGTGGATCTCCTCATCGCACCGTCGCCTTGTCTAGAGATATGGACTCTCCTCTTTGCAGCGCTCCCCCCGCCGGAAGTAGTCTTCGAAAAGAGAGGGGTATATAATGCTCCCCCCGCATCCTAACAATCTGGAGTCAGTCGGGATGCGCATATCTTCAGTGCTGTGCTTCATCCCATCGCACTCCTCCCACCCCCGGAATAGTTCGCGAGGATGTTGAGCCCGATAAAACGAGCCGGTCTTACGGCGACAGCGTGTGTCGCCCTCGTCGCCGGCAGTCCGTGTCTTTCCTCATGGTCGTCGAACACCTGCGGGCTCTTTTCCGAGTCCATGGATTATCTGGACCGCATATATGATCCGAGTGCCGGTTATGTCTTCGCGCCCAGTGCTGCGACGGCGTTGCGACACGACACTCGCGCGTCGGCGTGGTATGCAGTTGGCCTGCTGGCTCGCAATCAGGGTGACGATGTATCCCAGGCCATGACGATTATTGAGAACATCATATCCGCCCAGTACAAAGATCCCGAAGACCAATGGTTTGTAACGAGCTGGAAATTCCCCAGGTGATGCTGCTTAATGCCAACGATATAACCAGGTACGGCGACTATGAGAAATACCCCGAAGAACCGACAGTAGGCAGCGCGGCGTACCCTCCGCTCATCTACGACACCTGGGATCCGAACTGGCGAGGGTTCATCGGAACGGCATTCATCATCGCTTTGGAGGAGTTTCCTCATCTGATCGGTAGCGACATGACTCGTCTTATGCACGCGTCTCTTTACAACAGTACGGTTGGGGATAGCTACCGGGTCGGAGGCGTCGATGGCGACAACCTCTACCCGTCGTATACCAATCCGGTGAGGAAGCCCTCGTGTGGTCATCATGTGTGCGATGCGGCTGTTTGCTAACCGCTCCTCCATTTCAGGCATTGATGCGAGCCTTCATCAGCGGCTGGACGGGCCAGAAACTAGGCGACGCCAACATGACCCAAGCGGGCGAAGCCTACGCGAACGAAATTATTTCACTCTTTGACCGGGCCGACACGTTGTCCGAATTCAACAGCGCCACATACACCGGTGTGTCGCTGATTGCACTCACGACGTGGGCCAAGTATGCTGCTGAAGGCTCGGTAATGAAGGAAAAGGGCAAGGAGATGCTCCGAGCCACATGGACCACGATCGGACAGTTGTATCATGCGCAGTTGAAGAATCTCGCCGGACCGTGGGATCGATCGTACGGATTCGACATGCAGAAATATTTCGGCATCATGTCTGCCCACATCTGGACGTTGGTGGGCAAGGAGAGATCTCCGGTGATTGACAAGGTAGAACCCCCCCCCGGCTCTTACCTCCGATTTACTCGTGTCTTGTCGATATCTGGAACGTCTTTCTATGAACGATGGCATGCTAATACACTTCTCGGCCAGGTATATATGATGTCGCACAGCGCAGACTTTGCCACCTCCCCGCTCGTGGCCATCTTGTCTGATTTCCATAACTCCCTTGTTCCTCCCCAAGCCATTGATGCCCTGAGGGTCTTCCCGGGTGAGCATTCGGTGAACACGTCCGCCTACTCCATACCCTACGACTCCTTCCCTCGGCGTGTCGATGCGTGGCTGGGAGAGAAGATTAGCATCGGCTGCGAGAGCTTCAACGAGACCGTTGTTGGCGGGCCGGCGGAGAATCCATCTACTTTCAACCCGGCGGTTATTCAGTGGGACACCGGTGCAGGGATTGGCTGGATAGCGGTAAGCCACACGCACACGCAAGAAATAGAAAGCCCAGAGAATCGAGAAAGCAATCGAGCAACCTGGCTGACATTCCTACGTTTGCTTAGCTGTATGCAACCGAACAAGCGCTTGACGCTGTCGCTGGCCCCGGGTATCTGAACCTCACGTATCCCTATGGAACAGAGTCCTCCCAATTCCAGTTCCTGGTCTCTCCTTTCTCCCGGAAGAAAGACGTGACTGGCTGGGGAGATCTCCCAGGGCTGAAAGTCACTGTGTCCGGGACTGTGGTGTCGGAACCACAAGTGTCGTATAGTGCAAGTGATGCTGCCATCAAGTATGTGTCCTGTGTGTTGATTGTTTTATCGTGAGCTAATGCAACTAGTGATTTCCTGTACTGGAATTTGACCCATACGATGCCTCGTGATAGCGCCGCAGCGCCGAACATTATGTTAGAGGTGGAAGTCGTATGACAGGCAGATTTGTTGACTTGTACGAGAAAGTGGGGTAGCTAGGGAGACCGGAAGCATAGCTGTGTGCTCCCATGCTGGACTCAAAACATCTAGTCATCACTTCAATATAGATGTCTATATATATATAAAACAAAGTATATAATTTGCCTACCTTTTTAGCATCCTGTGCTCTAAACCCACCGGCATCATCCTCACGGTCGCGTGCTCAAAACATCTAACATATACATATATCTCCAGTCATACAATCAAACATCTTTCACTCACCTCCCCAGCATCTCTACCTAGCTCACGCAGGGGAAGACGCTGCTGTCCTTCGCACATCTTCGCGACCGGCAAAACTCAGCAACATGCCCAGATCGTAGACGCATTTCAACACTCCGGCAATGGTAAACGAGACGCCGAACAGACCGTGATTAGCCAAGATTCCGGTAATCAACGGTCCCAGGCTCTGACTGCACGTTTTGACCACGTTAATCGATCCCATGATGGCGGTGCGTTTGTTGGCCGGGAGCGCTTTGGCAAGGAAGGCCGAGCGTGGGGCGACGTCCATATTCTGGGAGCAGGCGCGGAGGATCAAGAATGTGAGAGCGAGGGGAAGTATGTTGGGGACCGGGATGAGAGCCAGACAAATGGCGGACGGGAGATGGGTAAAGACCATAGTCTGTTGGTTGGTGTATTTATTAGTGTTCTTTGCTAAACCAGGAGTGGCGGCATGCAAATAGGAAAGCGCTCGATCTTACCTTGACATTGCCGATGCGCTTGGCGATCGACGAGGCGACTAGCATAGATGCAGCGGCGATAATGCTGGTGGTGAAGAAGATGGAGCCGAGTTTCCCCTCAGGAAGGGAGAACTTGCGTTTGAAGAAATAGGTCATCCAGGACCTAAAGCCAATTAGCTTTGCGCTGATCAATCTGGTCACGTATCATATATATGGACACGAAACATAATGGGTGCCAAAGTAAAACATACAACGACGCCAAGCCCGAGGCGAAAGAGTCCAGGCCGAACAAGATGAAGAGTCGCACAACCAGCGACAGAAGCTCTTTGTCTCCGAGGAACGAGAAGAGGGACTTCTTGGGGGGCGCCTCTGGAGGGGGCGTCGCCGCTCTGTCACCCAGCAGAGGCTGCGTTTCTCCGCCTCCCTGAGTCGGAGAGGATTGTGTTGGTTTCTTCTTCTTATCCTCAACTTCGACCTTTTTGCTTAGCGCGACGGCTAGCAAGAACTTGATCGCACCGATAGACGCATAAGCAAAGAAGATCACCCGACAGGCGACAACGAACTCCCATTCTTGAATGACTTGCAGCATATTGATGGCCCATCCACAAGCCATCATGCCAAGAGCCGTGCCGGCCGTGCCGATGAGTGAATACCAGGCGAAGATGTCGCCTAGCAGTTCATGAGGGGTGAGATGAGCCAGAGTGGATTCCTCCACTGCCCGGAAGGGACCAATTTCATTGCCGCTGCGAAAGTGTTAGCGCTGAGATAGTAGTGTTGGGATGCATGTATGACGACCGCGAGATCATACCTTGGACTGATGACCCCGAATACCGCCGCAGCCAGGAGGATCCAGAAATTCTCAAATGTAGCAAAGATTACTCCGCTGCCCACCATCAAGGCCGAGCCCAGCATCAGGACGGATTTCCGACCCATTGCATCGGCAAAAAGAGTGAGGAAGAAGCTGATACCCACGTCTCCGACCAGGGTCAGGGTCATAAACAGACCGATGCGGGCATCCGAAATACCTAGGGCCGAGAGATAAGAGGCCAGGACGAGCGTAGAGCCGCCATATGCAAACAGGCGCACGAATCGCTGGGCACAGAGTAGTTTGACGTCGCACGAAGATTGCCATACCGACAGTAAGCCCAACTCTTCTAGGAATTTCCTAGGCAGCCAAGTTCTTGGCGAACCCGAGGTGGAAGACATGCTGATGGTGAACGACTCCCTCGGGAAATGAATTGGTGGGGAGGATAAACCTTGTTGGTAGACTAATAACAGTAGAATACTAGAGACAAAAAAGGGAGTGAAATGATGAAAGGTGAATCAAAAGAGAAAGAGGAAGAGACAGAGAAAGACAGAAAGGAGGGAGGAAGAGAAAGAGAGAAGAAATCGGGGATGTATTTTTATCTCCGAGATCTGCGGGTCCTTCTTGGTAGGGCTGAGACCGGGGAGCTTCTGCCCTTCGGATATACACGACTGTACTACTGTACAGAAGATGGAATCCTATGGAAATGTCAGGGTTCAAGGAGTTACAACTAATTAGACGACCCGAAGATTCGGAGACATTCTCTGCTGTGAGAGGGAGAGGAGATATGGTACATCCATGGATCTCGGGCGGACCTACCGAATATTGCATCCAGCCCCGACGGACTATACGGACAGAGAGAGGAAGTAGATCATATCATATATCTCTGTTTTTGTGATGCCCTCGATTCTTTCGAGGTCTTTCGAGGGTTGATTCCTTTGAGAGTCATCGAGCCATCTTCCGCCAGAAAAGGGACGTCCGCCGGCGAGTCACGGGACTTGTGTCACCCTAACGGCCCCCTTTTCCTCTCCAGTCGGGCTTTGACTTCATCATGACCAGCTGGTCCGGCCCTTCCCATGGTTGGCCATGATTTGTGACTCACTTAAGTGCTAGGCAGTAGGCTATCGCATCTCCCTCTCTCTTCTCCTCCACAACTCCCTGACCATCGATCCCACGCCTTGAGAATCAGGACCTGAAAGCGCCAGCAAGGCAGAACTAAACTTGATACCCCCATTTTATAGCCTTCCTAACAAAGCAAAAGGCTCATCGCCTTCTATTACTTCCTTTTCCTCGCTCTTCTAGAGCTTTTACTAGGTTCTAGACCAAATTCAAGATGCAAGCTCTCTCGCTCGCCGTGTTGGCATGCGCCTTGAGCCATGCTTCTTCTACCGTGATAGCTCGCGGCAGCCCAAAAGGAACCCCTAAGGCCAGCGACTTCGCGGCCGACTCTTCTATTCCAGTTCCGCAGATTCAGTCGGCGGCTGCCAACGCGAGCGTCGAGGCTGCGCTCTACCCCCTGAGCCAGGATAACCAGAAGACCAAGTCGGCTATCTACAAAGACTGGTCAGAATTCAAAAAGGCAAGTACTAATCAACAGTCTACTGTAATATCTTCATTTACTAATCATCCCGAATAGGGAGCGGCCCTGTTGTGGATCGCAGACATGGATGTCGACTGCGATGGGATGGACTACCGCTGCAAGGGTAATCCCGACGGCCTTTCGACAACGAACTGGGGCGCCTTATCGGCCTACAATGTCCCCTTCATCGTCATCCCGGACGATTTCATGGTGGCTAACAAGGATGACCTTCCCGGCAACAACGTCGCCGCCGTCATCTGTAACGGCAAAATGTTCTACGGCATCCTGGGAGATTCTAACGGCGACACTCCCCTCGTCACGGGAGAGGCTTCCTGGTTGATGGCCAGGACCTGCTTCCCAGACGATAACCTGGATGGAAACAAGGGCCACTCAGAACCGGATGTCACTTGTAAGTCACCCGTCGGATATTTAGGATCATGACTGACTGGTCTATCACAGATATCGTTTTCACCGGCAAAGACGCCGTTCTGCCCAGCAGCGCCATAAACGAGCACTACATCACCAACTTTGGCACTCTGAAGTCTATGGGCAATAAGCTGATGTCTGATCTCGCCTCCAGCCTGGCTCTACATAAGTCGGGGGACTCTACTTCTCCCTCGACCACATCGGGCCCTACCGCCACCTCGACTTCACATCCTACCTCCACCGATGAGGATCAGGAGAACTCCTCCACGACTCTCTCTCCGCCATCCTTGACAAGCCTCCTCCCGACCAGCTCCTCTCTGTCGAACATTGGAAACTGCTTCAAGAAGCCGTCTGCTCTGATAGTGACGGTTGCGCTGATGGCCTGGTCTGCATGTCTGGGATGGTAAGCACGACTTTTCAACTTTTTATTTTGGACTTGATTTAAGGAAGCGAAGCTAGAAATCTAGACTTCATGTGATTTTGTTTGCTTGGGATATCTAGGGGGATTAGAATGATTGGAAATGATTGAATAGAACTTTGTCTTGGATTTGGAGGTTATTTTTTGTGCTTTTTGTGAACGGCTTATATACACGTTCTATCTTTGTATCTTAGATGAGACTTGCTTGGAGGGCCTAGCAGTTGGACGCTGTCCGGCACTTTGGAATACAATTTGGCTACAATCAGCTTCGTTAGCAGCCCCACCAGCTGTGAAGCATGGCCATTTGCTTGATGTTTGATATGATAATAGCTGTATCTTCACCGTAGCGGGTTTTTCTTACATCTCCATCGTATTGCGATTAAAGTAAATACAGCACTCGAATAGGCGCCCGTAATATCTTAAGACAGGTGATGGCTGATACTCTGTCATTCCAATGGAAAGTATTCGAAATCTATCTAAATTTTGGTCCTTGGTATAAACTAAAAGACAAAAGAATCATACACAACTCCTAAGGAAAATCCTAATCCCCCTTAAGCTTACAGCGAAGCCGTGGGCGCCGACTCCGTCTTGGGCGGCCACTTGACGCGTCTTTCAGCGCGGACATATATATTGTTCGGTCGAATCAGCTGGAACATGGGATCGTACTCGATGGGACCATCATTCTCCTTGATGAACTTATACCGGTACACCAGCTTGGGCAGGAAGACCTTGACCTCCTGCAGAGCGAAGTTGAAGCCGATGCACATGCGCGGGCCCGTCGCGAACGGAATATACGCGCTCTTATGCCGGTTCTTGACCTCCTCGGTATCCCAGCGGTCCGGGTCGAAGCGGGTGGGGTTGCTCCAGACGTCCGGGTTGTTGTGCAGGTGGTGGAGGGCGCCGATGACGACGGATTCCTCAGGCAGCTTGTAGCCACCCGGAAGAATCATGTCGACACGGGCGGTACGACCGGGCTGGTAGGAGGGGTTGTGGCGGCGCTGAGTCTCCTTGATCAGCTTATCCATGAAGGGAAGACGGTCGGTGAGCTCAGCGGTAATCTGCGTGTTCTCGTCGATGTCGTTGTCGATGAGTTCCTGGAGAAGGCGCTCCTGGACGCCCGGGTAGGTGACGAGACTGTAGATCAGCCATGATAGGAGGGAGCTGGTGGTTGTGAAGCCGGCACCCGTAGCGACGAGAAGAGCCTGCATGAGACTCGTCTTGGGGAGTTTTTCGCCCTTGTTGTCTGTGGCACGGACAGCGTAGTCTACAAAATAATTATTAGCTTTCGTCAGGGTCAAAAGATAGGACATTCGGGTATGTACCGATCATGTTGCTGGCTTTCAATGCGGCATCCTGTAACGGAAGGTCCTCGACACCACCGCGACTGGCGTTTTGAATGGACTCGTCGATGATCACAAAGACGCGATCCCGGATGGTAAGCAGGCGCTTGGGATCCCCAAAGGGCAATTTGGCGTACCAATCGCCGCGAGCGGTCACCTTCTTGTTGAGCGTGAGCGACTCGGCGATGAGGGAGATCAATTCATGGGGAGGCGCATCGGGGGTTGTGAAATGTTTGAAGTCAATCCCCAGGACCAGTTTCCCAACAGCCTGAGAGCCCAGCTTGAGCATGTACTGGTAGACGTTCCAGGCTTCACCTTGCTCGTCCAGTTGATCAAAGACCTTGAAGGCATCTTCGACAGTCGCCTGCATGGTTGGCGCATAGTGACGTACGGCCTTGGGACCCAGAGCAGGAGGAAGGAATTTGTGCGCCGCTCTCCATTCCGGGGTGTCCGTGTCCGCCAGGAAGACACCTGCTTCGGTGTTCTTAATGGAGCGGAGGGGGTGAGCATCATTGATCTTCTTCGTGAAGAAGTCAGTCTCTGCGAAGATGATAGATGAGAGCTCCGGATCGTTGGTGTGGTAGACGGTGCGGCCCATATTGGTGGTCTTGAAGATAGGGCCATATTGCTCGAAGAGACGCTGGTGGTTTCCTAGATGATCGGGGTAGATCTCAAAGAAATTTCCAATGATTGGCAACCCCGAGGGACCGGGGATCTCCCGCACTGCTTTTCCATCTATCGTAATGCTGATCGGATCTTCGCTAGCAATAAGCTCTCCCACATCAGACAAGATGGCGTCTTGAGATTGGAAGCCAATGCCTGCAGTGTTTCAAGGCGTTAGACCAAGATAATAACCAGAGTCAGAATTTGAAATCGGTAAACAAACCATTAGGTTGAACGATTGCAAAATGCGCAGCAATGAGGTTTCGTAGTTCATCACGGTTCAGCGCCGGGTCAAGTTCGATTGTCCTTGCGCTCTCAACCGGTTCCCCCAGCAGATAGAAACGTTGGTATGGCATAACGGACAATGAATGGAATTTTAGCGCATAGAAGCGACCTTCTCGATGACACAGGATAGCTCTGCAGATTTATAAGAGCCATCTGTGGCTATTCCAGGGAGACCTTGTGCCATAGTCAACGAATCAGGGTAACCAGCTGGTCTCGTCGCGAACCCACATCGGAGGAATGCCCACATCTTTAGTGAGAAGGGGTGATAACCGTCATTCTGTATCATAGTAGCTGTTTGTGTTCATTTCGACTCTGGCGTGCATAACATGGTTAGAGCGGCATTGCCAGGTCGTCAACCTCGGCTCTTTCAAATCCAGGCTAACAAGTTTTTTTTTCGCACCCTCTACTCCATGGGCCAAATAAAACCGTAGAAAGAAGAAATAGATCGCCATCGGAGACCCACCGCTAACGGCCGAAGCCATGTTGGCGAACCAAAGCCAGTGTCTCGGAATCCACACCACTGTCAAAATTCGAATTTAATCACGGCTGTGCCGTGCCGACTTGTCAGTTCGGGCCGCTTGGACATGGAAAGGAGCCAAGTTTGTCGAGATCCCGAGGTACAAAGTGAATTATCGCTCTAAAACAAATTGAAAAAGAAAGACAAACTAGTGCCGGTGGGCCAATACCAGATGAGTTGTAACTTGTCGCAATAGCAACTGTGGGTATCAGGTTGACTTTTATCTCGCGTGTCACTGGTTTGAGCCGGCAGTATGGCGCCTGAAGACCCGGGTTGGAGGATAAAGCGATGAGGCATAAGTCCGTCTCTGCATTAGCATAAAAACACAAAGCTCTCCTTTTCTTAAAAGTGGTTTTCGTTTTCCATTCTTCGTTGCCCTCTGTCCTCTGTCCTTTAAAAGGGATTGGCGAATCTTAGATTCATAGCCGATTGGCACATATTTCAACACAATGGAATCGAAACCGGAGAGCTCCATGGAGGCACAATTGCCTCAGTACACGGTAGCAGACGTCGCATCGCATAACCGCAAGGACGACCTCTGGATTGTCGTCCACGGGAAAGGTAAGAGAAACACATCAACAGTCCAGTTTGATGCCGGTCAGTTGCTAAGTCAGAAGCAGTTTATGATATTACAAAGTATCTTCAAGACCACCCTGGTGGCGCTGATGTTCTCATCGAAACCGCAGGCACCGATGCCACGGAAGCCTTTGAGGATGTTGGTCATTCCGACGACTCTCGGGAGATCATGGAAGATTATCTGATTGGCACTCTTCAAGGCGCCAAAGAATATGTTGCGCCAAAGGCAGTTCGCGTTATTGCTCAGAAACCAGTGCCAGTTCCTCAACAGTCTTCAAGCGGTTCGATTGGTGCGGTGACAGGTGTTGTGGGTGCGGTGGCATCACTCATCTACGCATATAATCGCGGAGCGTTGGGTTCTCTGAATTTGCAACGACATATCGGCAACGGCGTGCCCCAATACTTCAGTGGTATGCGACTGCCGCGCGGAGGCTTCGCGATTGGGTTCCTCACGGCTACCACTATCTCCGCGGCGGTTGGAAGTGCAGTAGCACGACAGGCTGCTAAATTTCTCAAGATCGAATCTGGATTTGCTCGCTACCCGCTGCACAAGAAAGCGCGCAAGGTGGTCAGGGCCGACCCGCACTCAGTTAAGGGATTCCTCGATCCGAAAGAGTACCAGCGCCTGCCTTTGGTTGAGAAGGAGCTCCTGTCCCCCAATGTGTACCGATTTGTGTTCGCATTGCCAGATGCCCGAGGGGTTTTGGGACTCCCGATCGGCCAGCACGTTGCCATCCGCGCCGAGATCGACGGCACTACGGTGACGAGGTCCTACACACCCGTATCCAACAACCTGGACAAGGGTCGCATCGAATTGGTCATTAAATGCTACCCCGACGGACTGCTCAGCGGCCGATACCTTGCCAACCTGCAGGTGGGTGACGAAGTGGAATTCCGGGGGCCCAAGGGAGCTATGCGCTACAGCAAAGGACTCGGTACCAAGCTGGGGATGGTCGCCGGCGGCACGGGGATCACGCCGATGTACCAGCTCATCCGTGCCATCTGCGAGGACGAGCGGGACACGACGAAGATCAGCCTGATCTATGCTAATCGATCCGAGGGCGACATCCTGCTTCGAGAAGAACTGGAACGGTTTGCGCGCCAGTATCCCCAGAATTTCAAACTGTGGTACATGCTAGACACGGCGCCCGAGAATTGGCAGTACGGAACGGGGTATGTGGACCAGGCCGTGCTAACTGAGCGACTACCAGAGCCTTCGGAGGGCACCAAAGTCATGCTCTGTGGGCCGCCTGGCATGATCAATGCCTGTAAGAAAACGTTGGTGGGAATGGGATTCAAGGCGCCGGGGGCGGTTTCGAAGATGAGCGAACAGATCTTTTGTTTCTAGACATGTACAATAGAATATAGAACAGCAATTCTTTTTTGTTGGGTCACCATGGATCAATCCGTTAAGATGCGTACGTAACAGGCTAGAGAGAAATAAAGGCAGGGAGAAGTCAAAGGGAAGCAAGTCCGCGGAGTACGAAAAAGGAGACCAGGACACTAGGCCCGGACGGGACTGGCGTGGATAGTGGTGCTCGGTCACTGCCGAATCGGGCAATCCAGCCTCGGTTAGTTTTGACTTTCCATTGATTGACCATGATTCAAGCGCGTATAAAATTAAGACCCATGAAGAATAATCATTCTAGAATTTCGTTCTATCCCGAGGTTCACCACGAGTGGATTCTATTCGTTATTCGTTACAGGTAAGTTATTTATGCAAATCATAAACTGTCAGAAAGTAGTGCATAGGCGCTATGACCCGTAATATCATTAAGCATTATCCCACCCCATTAGCCTCGATCATCCATCGCAGTTTGAAACAGGCAGAGGGCATAGTATATGGATATTGTAGACCCTTGACCACTCGAGCATCATAGATGATGCCTAATAAAAGAATTTCAGCGCCGCTCCGGCAAGAGCGACGGCAGCAGCACCGCTCACGCCGCCATTTCGCGCCGCGACATCCGATTTTTCCGTCGCCTGGGGCGCATTCAGTTTTTCTGCGCCCGCAGTAACCGTCATGGGCTGATAGTAGATATCGTCGGAGGCGAAGGAGGTGATGGTCGAGGTACCCGTAGAAGTCGACTGCCCGCGCACAGTGAGTTCCATGCCGACGGAAACCGAACAAGAGGCGCCTTGTGTCGAGGAGGTGATGTCGCAGTCCTGCACCATGGTGACTTTGGCGTCCGCGCCCCTCGTCTTGGTTGAATAAACGGCGCTCATGGTGAATGTCGAGGGGCCTTCGGTTATAGTAATCGGTGAGTTGAGTGGGCATACTGTCACCGGGGCGCCATCTTGACAGTCCACGGCATAGGTAGTGGCGTCTGCGTTGGCACCGACGATACTGGCGCGAACGCTAGTCAGGCTCAACGTTGCCTCTCCGGCATTGAACATTTCGATGGTAGTGCTCTCCGCAGAGACGACGGTGGCCAGGGCCACGGCCAGTAGGGAGGACAACACAGACCGCATAGTTGTGAGGGTGGTGTCGAGGTGTCTGGTTGCGAAGAGGGATGGAAATTAGCGGTCGTGGAGGTCGCAGTTTGCCACTGAAGAAATCTGCTCAGCAACAGAAAAGACGCCAGGGGAAAGCATGCTAATATATCTGTTTATAAAGCTCTTGTTTTCACTATAGTGTTTGCCCCTATACCCACGGCGGGCTACATCGGGCATCGTACTAGCACCCTTGGATCCTTGGATTGCAACCACAAGGCAACATGCGGCTCTCTCTACTTCCCACATCTGGCTAGCAGTTGGCCTGATGTCTGATGAAGAACAAATCCGCGATGGCCATTGGTACGTACAAACCCGTCGGATGCGGGTCAGTTTGAACGGGCCAAAAGATCGTGAGTCATCTGATAGTACTGGACCAGGCGAGACGGGGAATCCGAAGCATAGTATTGGTTCTTGGAGATGAAAATATGCAGGGTTTCTCCTCTTCACCGGCACGCGATCGTATTCAGCCTTGGGTGTTCTTTAGCGCAGAGTTCAGGGAGTGCATAGCCGAAGGCAAGCGCCAATGATAGAGGCTCGATGTGGGGATATACGAGAAGGAAGGCCATAGGAAATTAGGCATCTAAAGAGATGCAACTACCATCTCCATAGAACGGAAGGCTGTCTGTAGCCGATCTCAGGGTCTGGGGTGGGCACGTTATGATTTGAGAGTTGATCATTTGCTGGAGATGGTCGCTCGAAACAGCAACTGAGAGGCGAGTTAGTCAGCTCGGCTTTCTCTTTCTCTCTTTCTCCATATGGTTACACCAACGAACGCTTTGTGCTGCTCACTCTGTTCCCCTTGCATAAGACAGGGGATCATCGGCTTTGGCCCGTGATGCTGAAACACCCGCCCTATTACTAGTATATCATTAATTCGAGGCGTTCGTATCGAGGGCCTACCTGAATTGGAAGGAACGAAAGGGTTCTAGACACAATGAAGTAAATTTGGCAGAGTACATGTCAGCGTCACTGAAGCCATTTTGCTCGCCGTTCTTGTAATATGTTGATGGTTCTTTTAGAGTAGATTTTCTCAACTTTATGAATAAAACGGGTAGATCTCGGGCCTCCCCGTCACGCATCAACATTGGATTGGGAAGCAATCAAGGACCTGAAGTACCCAACTACAGTAGCTGTATTTCCTCATAGGCTCGCATCAATGCCTTGATTGCAGTAGCGATTAGCGAACAGCCGGCCCGCACATGAAACGTTCCACTTCCGTAGCTTCTTCATTGCTTACTAACGAGGCTTTTCTCTTTCTCACATGTTACTACCTACACCTAACGCTATTTGATAAAGGCCAATCTAAAGCCAGAATTGTTCTTGATTCAGATAGGGTCCTTGAAATGGACCTGTAGTGTAAATCTACATAAGCACTGCCGCCGGAAGAGGTGTCAATCGCCTCCAGGTGCCGTATATACGGAATCAATCCTTTGATTTACTTGCTCATGACTACATCTGAGACAAGTGTGTTCATCCTTGATGTATCCTGGGACTGGCTGTCCCCCGTAATGGAAGGAAGTTTGTTAAAAGAAGATGTCTGTGAGAAAAATTACTGAGGCAGTAGAATGCTCATCTAGCCACAACACCTACACGAGTCTTCAGATACTCCTTTCAGCGATCAGCTATACGAACGTCCCACCGCAGTCTCGATTGATCAGTGGAGATGAGCGATAAGTAGTCAATTTTGAAGCTTGTAACTTGATAACTAAGCGCGCATCCAGAATCCAGAAAGAAAGGGGTGTCTAAAGGTTGGAAAAAGTGTGGTCCACCGTGGCTCTATTCCGTATTACAATGCGAAGCCGAATTTCCATCTGCAAATGCTCCATAGTGCGTTAGAGATCGCCAATCCTGCATCCTCATATTCATGTCCAATGTCACCGTCACATTCGTTTTCTCTTTTCATATCCAAGTATGTCGGTGGGGAGAAGGTGTGGCCCATCGTAGCTCTATTCCGTACCTATTAGTTCACGCGGAGCCGAATTGGCATCTGCATATGTTCCGTCGCGCCGTTATTCGCCGACTGTGCTTTCGCAAAGTTATGTCCTCTGCAGCAGCCACATTCGTGTTCTCTGATCATCTCTAGGCACGTCGGTTTACTGCCGTAAAAGAGTAGACATTGGCCTCCGCTTCATTCATGGGGTGCGGACTACATAGGATTGATAAGCGTGATCCTTTAACCAAGAGAGGAAGAAAGTGCGATGTGGATTAACTTACCTTGCAAATGTTTACCATTATGCATTTCTCTCCATTCGGGTGGGCAGGACAAGTTGTTTTTAATGTGTTTCTATCATAGTGACCCGGAGGATGCGCGGAAGATGTAGTCGAGGCTTCAGCGGTCATGGACCCCGAAGGAGAAGGCGTAGGCGCGCGTAAAGCCGCCGTGGTAAGACGTGCTTTTGTAGATACAGGTAACGACGCCGAAGGTGCAGAAGAGACTGTGGGAACCGGGAAAGTCGCAGTAGCCGGCGATTCTGCCGTTGGCAGGGAAGATGACTCCGTCACTGAGGATGGTGTTGCATTTGTGGAAGTCGTCGTACATGAAGTTGCTCTGGGCAACGATGCTAAGCGATGTACTCGGAAAGGGACCACCGACACGATTTGCCTCGTTTGCGTCGAGAACTTCGGCCCGGTGAAGTCACCCTGTATGATATACAGGGCAATGATTGATAGTTGCCCAACTCAGGGAAGGAAGAGAGCTGAGAAGTGTGACCTTTATTTCCTGGCCAAACTCCTTGAGAGGGTCTCTACCCTTCAACTTCTGCAGGATAAACCTGATCGATGGCGATTGAGCGTACGTTAATGTCGTTCGGTGAAAGAAGTCGTTAGCAACCGAACAGTTTTCCTCATTCCGGACCACTTCGGTATACTTAGCTCTCAGATCGACCCCTGGCAGAGAGAGCCACGCTTGAATGGCATTATAAAGAAATTTAGATTGAGTTTCCAAAACCTCACTAGCGTTTTCTTCTTCATCAAGCTTGGCCCGATGGGTGGTCCAGACTTCGTCTCTCGCACAGCCCCCACACTTTCTGAAATTCCTTTTGCCCCCATGAATGTGGGATTTCGGAAAGCAGAAACCTGTGTAGTCTTTATCACAGCTGTCATATTGGAAAAAAGCGTGTCTATTTCTAGGATTGTTAGGGTTGGCTGATTCACTATTCACTATTGTGATAATTTGTCGATAGCAGTTTTTATACAATGCGTTGCTTACTGCATCAGATCCATCGGAATAGTCGTCAAATTGGGAGTTGACTTCGAAAGGAGCAAAACATAACGTAGGATGTTGGTTTTGAGCTTCCGTAAAGACGTTGAGAGCCTCTAGTTTTCTTGCATCTTTCTCGATCGCTTTGGATATCAATCTTTGCTATGACGTTTGATTCAACGAATCCATGTAGTAAAAAGGTCTGTGGTTATTGAAAAAACTTGGATGGAGAAAGATTATTTTAGTGAGTGCAGTATTGAGAAGTGAGTTTCTGCGCAGCAAGTGGGCGTGGCTGCGCACGAGATATGGAAAATGCTTTTCAAATTTGCTTCTGGAGGTACATTCTCCGTTCTGATTCAAATCTGATTCCATCCTTGAATTATAGGGCCAAAAGTTGATGTTGAAATGTGTGTCATTACCAGTTGACCAGTCAAGAATGCTGTGATTGTAATCTCTGTCGATCTTGAAAAGATCTAGTGTGAACGGCATACAGTAGATTATTCTGAGTTCTGCAAGCAATGAAAAATCTTTGAGTCGCGTGGTTCGGATCCATTCCGGACTCATGTAGTGAACCCCGTGTAACTCGATTGCTCTCATGGTGTTAGAGAACTTCAGCATAGTTTCGAGTCCATGAATTATGGATTCAACAATGTCGTTACGAAGGGGACCACTGGGACTGAGGCTTGTATTTTGCCATGTGAAAACCACAGGTGTGGAAGTATCATTTGGAGTGTAAGGCGTGTAATTTGGTTTGACCCTACCATTTTCCGTGGAGTAAGTGACCCGGTGTAAAGTCTCATCCGTAAAAAAGTAGAAGAATGGAATTACTGGACACCCATTGGGCGATCTTTTCGCTGATCAAACTGAACCGTATGCGTTCGAGCGGTATTAGACCTGGTAGAAAGGTGACTCGGAAATATGGAGGCTCGGAAATGACGCGATAGAACTTCGTAGCCATAGTCTCTTTCACCAGAGTGTCCGAATCAATGTTTCCCTGTACCGGAATGCCCTATTATAGGTCGAGGTAGTTCATATATTGTGAAGAGGACCTAATAAGGGTAATAGGCTAACCATATGCGTGGTGGAAGTAGAGAAAGCATTTCTCACCTCAGAATAGACGACTTTGGTCGGCCCGGGAGTGGCAGAGACTTTCGACTGAGGAATGGTCGAGTTTGTCACCTCAGGAAGGGGAGGCTCGCTCGGCTCAGGAGGGGTAGAGACGCTCGACTGAGGGGTGGCAGAGTTTATCGCCTCTAGACGGGCAGAGTCCTCAGGATTGGCAGAGTCGCTCGGCTCAGGGCCGATGGCACTAATTGCCTCATATGCCTCAATCGCCTTAATAGCGTAGGCTACATCAGCGTCGTTGCAATAAAAGCACTGTTCTTCAAATTTCTGTGATTCGTCCTTCGGTTGGTTAGGGCCATCTCTTGAATCGTCGTTGACGGGATAACGTACTCTGATGTGACAATGAACATGCAAGAATGTCGGTTTACCGGTCACGTTCTCCGTGTATAGAAGAAGTCTTCTTGTGAGTAGCGAAAGAAGCTGGAAATGTCTTGAAATCGATCCAAAGTTACTTAATCTATACTTATAGGTCGTAATATCCAAGTCAGTAAACGTAGGATTCCAAATCAGCGAGGATGAACTTACACGTGTTATTTGGCCATGGCTGACAAGCACTCGACTGGGCATGGAGAGTGCTTCTACTGCGACTTCAAGCATGAGAACGGGGTAAAGTTCGTTGATATCAATGAAAGCCCAAGCCTGGTGGAAGAAGGTCTTTTGCAAGGCGTTTAACCATTCTTCGCTACGAACAGGAAGCTGGAGAAGGTCAGTCTCGATAACAAGGCTAGATTCTGGAAGTGAAATAATACTCACAGTAAGCTTCGTTGATACATCAGGAAAGGTTTCGGGGTACTCTCCGATGTCCAGGCCTCCGGAAGGAGGGCCAGTACCACCCGAAACCAATTCTTCAGCCATTAGAGGCGTGGAAGGATTGAGATGAAAGAGGAGGATGGGTGGGCAGAATGCGTTGAAGCCACGGAGCAAAGTACGGGGTGGAAGAGTTAGGAAGAGTCGAGATGATTGGGAAAAACGAGTTGTGGCCACAAGCGGGGAAATAGAAGGAGAAAGAAAGGAAAGTAGGCGATGGAAGAAGAAAGATGGGCCTTTTATAAGCCAGCGTATACTTTGAGAAATTCTTTCACCTACCCACGCCGGAACCCCCACCCTCGATGTCTTGTGAAGGGCCTGGAATGGTTGGCAGGTATACAGTGAAGTTCAGCCATATTCTGTATCTGCAGCCGGTACCCGAGCTTTCACTCGGGCGATTTGGAAGATGATGATCTACATGAGAGCAGTCGCATTCAATTTAAGCAACAAGCCTTCCAGGGCAGTGGATGGTATGCATGAAAGCAAAAGAGGAATGACTATCCTTCACTAAGAAGGTCGAAAGAATACTGAATGAATTGCTCGTAGACAACTTTTTTATGCTAGAAGCAATCTGTCAAGCACTTCACCTACAGGAAGATTGTTTAGTTTTCCAAGAAAATCAGGTAATTATTCAATTCTTTATTCCAATGGTCTTCCCTACGTATGATGCCATTACCGGGTGACAAATAAGTCTCTGAACGAAAGCCTCGGGTACGTACTATCGAGTTGGCCGACGTAGTGAATTTCAGGAATGCATGCCGCTTATATGACCAGGTGGGCCAGTACATTATCTTCTGTGATGGCCGAAACTACGGTCATTTTTCTTAATCCTCTGGGATCAGTAACCTGAGTGCCCTTGTCCTTATTTTCCAGGAAGATTGTCCAATGGCTTTTTCAACGAAGCGCCATAGTCAGAACCGAGAGTACACTAGGCAGGAAAGGTGCGGATAGTGGTCTTGCCCAAGGCGAAGATAAAAGCGCAGATACGTATGATCATGGCTGTGAACCGCTAAGATAAAGGAAATCAACTAGTTCAGACACATTGTACCCTGTTACCCGTATAGCATACTCGACGAGATGTCGAAGATCATACCTTTGGGTTGTACTCCGCATAATTTCCGTGGAGCGACATGGTCTTCAGATCCAAATAACAGTCAGGGTTGACGGTGGCGACAATATTTCTTTGGAAGAAGAGTGACAGAAGAAAGACCACTGCAACGTTGACACAATGCCAAACCCCAGAGTACTAAAAGTACCTAAGATTGCGACTTTAGTGTAGTAGACCAAATACGTGATGCTTGCCTATGATTTGAAATAGAAACTGTCGCGAGATAAAGCGTCCTGTAGCAAAGCATACATCATATGAAGCTGTTCAGGTTTGAAGCCAAGACTGGGGCATGGAAATTGCTAGATAAGAACCGTCACGGGATGTCTGGGTGGAGTATTAGACTTTCGCAACAAAGTTCCGTGGATAAGTAGCTTATTTCGTCAGATAACAGTTGAATTAATCATGTTCACCGTAGACAGTTACCTCTCACAACCAACTTCCTTCATTCTCCTTCCTTCAACTCTCATCATCCTGCCTCGAACCAACCCATCTCAGCTCTCTTTTGGGCCGGTACACGCAAGACCTATACTGGTCGACTTTTAAGTGCCTTCCACACATTCCTCAGCACTCGTCCGCTTTCCTCAAAGAGGCTGTTCATGGGTGTTTCCCAAGCACACGCTCTTGCCGTTGAGGCAATACTGCCTTGCACCTGCCAAACCGCAGATACTCAAACGTAAGATGAGGACTTTTCTCTTCTCATACATTATCTCAACATCGTACAACATCCATAATCCTTATACAATATCATTCATTCTCATACATTATCATACTGATATGTCTCCATTCAAGGCCATATCCAACCGCTCATCGAAAAAGCGCCAAGTATCACCTCCTTCCTCTGCAGACTCTCCTTCAGGGACTGACTTGGACGAACAAACCTGCCGATTAATAGTCGTGGACAACATACACATATCGGACGTCGCTACAATGATCAAGAAGTCACAGAAAAGGCTCAAGTTGGCCGGTACACGGCTTACCGTCGAGTCAATTGACGATCAAGTCACGATTGGAAACAGTCGCAGGTTATCATCCATGGAAAAGGCCGCCAATGACCGACGTAACATGGACAGACTCCTATCTCGAATTGCTATTCTAGAGGATAACTCGACTTCTCAATGCGACGAAATAACTTCTCTCACGAATGAAGTGGCTACGCTCCGTGATCAAACTCTCCATGATTCCAGCATTAACCCTCGGTATCACGCAATCCGGAACAGTTTCATATCCACATACAAGCGGGATAAACTGAAAATAGCAACGTCCGAAGACCGCGATCTCGTCGCAGAAGGCAACATAATTGCCCATGAGGGTGACTGCAAGGGAGATCATTATCTATACGATGATACTCCTCGTGGCCGAAAGGATGTCAACGTTTTTATCTCCTTGTATGGATTACCACCAAGCGCTTTCAAATCACACAGTAAGATGCCTGTTCTACCAGGACCTACTTACATACATTTGGTTAGCTAATGATGCCTTGCAGATATTTGTCCCAGCGCCTGCCTAGTTCTCAACAAACATGCAACCCTTGTAGCATCTGCGTCGACCAGAGCCCAGCCAAACTCATTCGAGCCGGCATTCAAAGCTTTCGTAACCGCTCTAGTGGAATCGAATTTTGACGACGACGTCAAGGGACATGGCGATCCTCAGGATCCGAAACACTCTCTCACGCAATCCTATCGGAATTTCTGGAAAGCTCTTCGCAGCAATGTGTAATTACTAGCGCACTTTGCTCTTTGCTCTTTGTTCAGGTGGAATTAGTTGGCATACGCCTTACTTCGCCTCTAGCTCAATAAAGAACAGACAACTTCCATGCAAAGGGAAAGTCGGGTCGCCGTCACTTAAGCCGTTTTACTCACTACTATTGTTTCAAGGATTCTTTTGAATTATCCTCTGATGCGTACCGGCGAAAATAAACAACAAAAGAAAGAGTAAAGCAAACAAAACGGCCAAACTATCGAGTGGGCGACCAGCCATGCTTATTTACCGTAGAAGTAGATCCGAAGGCCGTACACATCGGGCCGATTAGCCTCCGCGTCACGCATCAGATCCCATCAACATTTGAAACTGTCTTCCTCCCCATTTCAGTTCTGGACCATGCGCCGACTATATCCCCTCTGCCGCCCGGCAACTTTCTTTCGACCATACCTATCCACGAGAATTTCGCCTTCGCGGTCTCTGTCCCGACAATGGCTGTCGTCCACCGCGTTGCGACGGTGTTCCTGCTCCGATCCGCAAGCTCCGTCTAAACACTCTTCCTCGTCCTCGTCCTCCCAAGCCACCACAACCAATTCGGACTATCGCGCTCTCGGAACATCCCAAGATCTCTTCACTACCTCCCTCTATAGTCCCGGCTCGCCACTCTTCCTCCCCAACGGCGCCCATATCATCAATAAACTTATTTCTTTCCTCCGTACGCAATATCTCCAATACGGCTTCCGCGAAGTCCTCACCCCCACCATCTACAAGCGCTCCCTGTGGGAAGTCTCGGGCCATTGGCAAAACTACAAAGATGATATGTATGAGGTGCGCGGGCGCGGTGCCGACGCCGACCCGGACGCCGACGACCCTACCGGCGAGAACGAACCCTACGGGCTGAAGCCGATGAATTGTCCCGGCCACTGCCTCCTATTCAAGTCGCAAAATCATTCCTACCGAGAACTGCCCATCCGCTATGCGGATTTCAGCCCCTTGCATCGGAACGAGGTTTCGGGTTCTTTGAGCGGGCTGACCCGCGTACGACGTTTCCACCAGGACGACGGGCATATCTTCTGCCGGCCGCAGCAGATCAAGGGCGAGATAGGAAAGGCGTTGGGGTTTGTGGACCTGGTGATGAGTACCTTTGGGTTGGGACCATATCGGCTGGTTTTGTCGACTAGGCCGGAGAAGGATTTTATCGGGAGTCTGGAGTTGTGGGATAGTGCCGAAGGACAGCTGCGCGAGGCGCTGGACAACAGTGGACGAGAGTGGACGCTGAACGAAGGCGACGGGGCATTCTATGGCCCCAAGATTGATATACAGCTGCAAGACCAAGCCGGCAAGTACCACCAGCTGTCTACGATACAGTTGGATATGAACCTGCCGCAACGCTTTGAACTGGAGTATCAGGTCGCCGAAGGAGAAGAGGACTTCAACCCTGCTACACCTGGACGAGCGGTCCCGGTAATGATCCATCGCGCGAACTTTGGGTCTCTGGAGCGATTCCTCGCGTTGCTGATCGAGCAGTATGCGGGTCGGTGGCCGTTCTGGCTCTCGCCACGCCAAGGTATCATTCTTACCGTCAACCAGGATGAAAACGTTGTACACCAGGCGCACCAGGCGGCGGCTCAGATCTCGGGATTCCGTGCTCTCCAGGATGAGCATGGCCAGGATGGTGTCGCACAGCCGCAACCTCTATCTTCTGTTGACTCGACGTTCTTGATTGATGTCGACACAGGCAGTCAGACGCTTGGGAAAAAGATCCAACGCGCAAAGCAGATGAAGTACAATTTGATCTTTATTCTGGGGTCAAAGGATGTGGCCGAGTCCCGGATCACGATGGATTTGACCGGACAGATGCAGAGCAAGCCCGAAGGGAATGCGCAGAAGCTGCAGGAATTGGTTACAAGCCGATTGGGAGAAAAGGCGTTGCAGAATCCGAGAGCGGTTCCGTTGAAGGTTGATGCGGTGCATGATCTTTTGAGAGAAATGGAGAAGCGGTTCGTATGAGGATTGTCGGACTGTTATGACTGTATAATAATGTACAATGCTGTTATATTTATACTACCTAATAGATCTAGACTAGAGTTATTCTGTATTCATGCGGCAGAATCGGGCATGACCTGACCGCTTACGATGAGCTGCCCAAAGTCATGTGGGGGATCACCTGACCATGCCGCTGGTAGGCTAAGCAGTCATCTGCTGCCTCCTGCGAACTCCTGTGGCTGAGCAGGAGACCCGTTCGATAATATTCGACTTCCGACAAGCTCTTCGAATAATGAGTCAAACAGCGCTGTTTTCTCATGGCTTTGCAACGTGAAATGTTGTCTGTCGCTTTGTTCCATTCCAGGTGAAGAGTCTCGGGAGTCTTCAACCCTCGAATATAATTATGCCCAACTGCCGTGTGCTCAACTGGGAGTCTCTGGCAAACATCGACTCCAGCGGCATAGACAGCAAAGATTCCGCGCTTGGCCAAATCTGTGCCTGCTACGATCTCGGGGGCGGTGTCGGCTTGGGTGACTCGTTCGCCATACATTCGATCGCTGCACTTTCTTCAGGTCGCAATCTCCATCAAGACCGCTCCATACGCGATGCTGAACTCGCCGAAGCAGCCTCAGCAGTAACAGAGCTGCTACCGGTCTGGATCGATCTGGCGGACGTTGCTCCGGGGAGGTTTTCGTCGTTACCGTATCCGACACATGACCCCGCCACACCAGGCAAACCACATCCTTTTGACCACCCGCCATGGTTCTTGGTCAATGCGGCAGCTTCTCAATATCACTGCATTCTCGGACAGAATTGTGTTGTAGAATCACTGCTTATGGTACTCCGTCAGCCCTGGTGTGTACTTGAGATATGCTGCTGCCCTTCGAAAACAGTGATCTTGGTCAGCAAATTTGCCACTATCGCCGAGAAAATCTACCCTGGAAGCTACACGATCGCTATCAGATTGCTGTCCCATGAAATGGAGACGAGGGCCGCAGATAGGGCTGGTACTTCAGACTCTGCTATCAACTGGACTGATGATCGCTTGGATGCTTTGATGATATCCCGTCCAACTCTGGCCTTGGTCAGGTCGCTTTACACTGATCTGTTCTTCCATGGTCGCCAATCCCGGAACCCGTTTTGGCTATGTCTGATCGTCGTTTGCGCTGTGTCCTTGGATATTGCTTTCTCTGACCTGGCGGCGTATTTATTTGACGACGCCAACTATAGATCCACCTTAGAATGTCTTGAAAGAGCCACACCATTGACACCTCGGCTGCGCAGTACGGATTCTGTCTCGAAACGCGAACGTGTCGGGATGAAGGCTTCGGAGAAGACCCCCTTTCGGCACACACGGCCCAGAAGGTCAACAAGTGACATTTCGCTGCACAATAGCGCTCGACGCCAGGAAGGACTGAACTGGAATGGTTCGAATCGCGGACCTCTAAGTTACCACCGCTTAGTTTTATTTCACAAAATGACCCTGAAGAGAATTGAAGAAAGTTTCGTATGATATATGAATTCATATCTGATGATCTAGTTATTCCCCTAGAAATATCGTTCATTGTAATCAATGTCCAATTAGGCAACGTGAAGTTCCGAGTCAGACTTGCTCGCGTTGGTGGTGTGGGCCCATGAACGCTCCAGCGCTTTTACTATTTCTTTTTCAATTCTTTCTGCGAGTTTACCTTGTTTTTGGTCGTCTGGCTTTTCTTCGTCCTCTTTATTCACCTTTGCGACGAACACGCCCAATCTTTCCCGCGCTTTGGCAATCCGTTTATCTAACGCCAACTTGGTGTCCTCCCATTCTCTCTGCATTGAACCAAGATCCTTGAGCACCTTCTGCATTTCTTCAAACACAAACATGGGCGGAAGGAGATTGAGTTGTATCCAGTTCAATCCTTCCAATCGACAAGTGCGCTTTATCTCCAGTGTCGCTCGGATGATGGCCATGGATCTGGTTTCACTTTCTAAAACGTAGGCCTCGTTCATGTCGTTGCCTTTTGCCTTCTTTTGCAAGCTGCGCGAAATTCGGATGGCTAGAATCTCCGCAAGAGAAGCGTAGACCAGAACCCCAAGAAAGCCCAATTGCATATAGCTGCGCATATTCACCATACATGCCACGGAGCAAAATGCAGACAAAGTGCCCGTCGTTATCCATATCCAATGCAGGCAATTCTTGAAGAAGCTCGGCTTATACTCCCACGTCGACCGAGCCCAATCTTCGAGTTGGTCCTGTCGGCCCTTGAAGATTACTGTTCCGCCTTCCTTTCGCTGGTAAATGGCATATTTTTGCCGCTCGTCCGGATTAATGCTCGGTTTTTCCTTTTGAACCATGCTATGGAACGAGATGAGCATTGTCCCAAGCCAGTGACACCAGTAGGAAAAGAACAAGACTGCCGCCCAAATGTCGGCAACCAACACCCCCATGACCAATCCTGTGATCATCATGAGCCCGTTGATCAGACTGATCAGATCCAATGTCAAGGTGGCGATCCACCAGCGCAAAGGACCTATAGTTTCCTTAACCCTGTCTCTTCGCACACTCACCCTCTCGCGAATACCGTCGACGCAGACCACCGCAAAATCGTTACCCGGTTTGGGCGATGCCTTGAAAGACACAACGTGGTTCAGCCAGCCGTTGCTCGAGTCCAGCGGGAGTTCACGAAACACGGAGCCGGAAACGTCGGAGCGAACCGTCAACATGGTTGTGACTTGCGTGCACATGGTGATGGCGGGATGTATGGATTTCATTTCCTCCGTCAGGTGGTCGACGAGCATTTTCATCGCCGGTAATGTGCCTCCGATCATCATGGTATGCGGCCACGTGAAAATGCCGCGATCCGACTGGGTATAAAGCATGGCGGCGCTGTTATTGGCACGCGGGTTATGGAGCACAGCGGCGACACCGAGAGGATCGAAAGTCACTTCGGTATCTTCCTTGAGGTTTGCTTGGGGGTCGGTCGACGACAATGGTAACTCGGATCGCGCTTCGACCATCGTGCCCAGGGCGGCCACGCACAACGCGCGAAGCGTGGCCTTGACGGGGTCCATAGTCACAGTAGTTCTGTGTCAATTATTTTGGATCGAAAAGTTCAGAACGATAACCTCTCCAAGACTTGTCTTAGAATTTGTTAGTCTTTCCGATCAGCAATGGGGTGTTATTCTCTTTTCTTTCTTTCTCCCCTTCTCAACCTGGACTGCTACATACGAAAATAGGCTGTTAGATGCCCATGATCAGGAGCGCTTCAGTCGGGCCGTAGCAAGACACCCATTGTGGAGGGAGAAAAAAAGAGGAAATACGAAAGAACACCACGGGTCCATCAGTGTTTTAATATTTTCCCCCTTCCATTTAATTTGTTTTGATTTTTTGTTCAGCCGCAGCTCTCAGACCGAGAGGGGCGGAGAGGATGACACGCCAACAACAGAAGCCGCTAGTTCCTGCGAGGCTGGCTGGCTGGTGTCAATCGTTCGGCCGATCATCAATCAACTCGCACAATCAACTCGCACAATCAACTCGCAGTGCGCACTCTGTACGGGGGACGCCGCTACGATTGTATTAGATAGACTGAGATGGGGACAGAAGAACCGGCACCCGAGAATCGTACACTGTAGTGTTGAAGGAAGCGAAAAGTAACATTGTCAGGTTAACAGATGAGGGACTTCCACCTCGATCTTGAACCCTGAAGTAGAGCCGGAGCTGACTCTCTTCACCTACCTATCGGAGAGTTAAAGGGGTCGATATTCTCCGTGCAGGATGCTTGGACAGTGCTAGCAGCATGATCGCTTGCGATCAACATGGGACCAAGGGCTGAAGGAAGATTGGCGATAAATTATCGGATACATACCGATTGAGGCACAGGATGGTGGATGAAGGTGGAATCGTGAGCTGACAGCGCTATTCTCGAGCGGGCCGCCATCAGACCACGGCTCCGCGAACGATCGCCTCAGGCAACCAGGCCGACGGTGTCATTTTATCAACACAACTTCTATGCAGAGTATTGAGGTACTTTCCCTCAGTTTTCTTTCTCTCTCTCTCGTTTAATTCTCAGGTGGATTGCTCAATATTAGCGTAACAGCACTGCAGAGTACTGCGTAGTACAACATAATATGTCTTGCATGGCACGCGATCCAGGTGACACTTTCCCAAGCTACCCCTTCGTATAGTTACAATGCTGATTGCTGAGTCATGCTGATCACGGCAGTTGTAGAACAACAGCATCTCGGCTTTTTTCAGTTTCGCCGACGATGATGTCAACAGTCGACCAGGTGGTCGGGATGCCGACTACTCCGCCATGTCGATGACAACTTGAACTGACAGGGGACTAAATTGGAATAGAAGAAATAAGAATGAGTCCGTAAATATTCATAACATCCATCTCCATCTCCAACTCCAACTCCTAGTCCAGGACCAAGCCAGATGGCCTTCCGATCTCACCCTAGGGTGCATCGAACAAAGAGAATTAAGGTCCCGGCGACTCCACCGAGATCAACGCCTGGGTTTATCATTCGACCTTTAAGCTTAATAGCAGGGAATGTTAAGGATTGACTAGAGAAAGTAGCGGCGCAACTAGACGCTCAAGGTCGCCACCGTCACGAGACCGGGAGCCTGAGTCAGCGGTCACGGGGCGTGCTGATTGGCGCGGCGTCGTCTAAGTTGCCCGAAGCATTCGTTCGTCATGCACATCCAAAAAATGGACGAAAGCTTCTTCTCAGAATCCCACGATTCTCTCTCTCGCCCGAATTCCTTCTGGAAGGGAAAAATAAAAAAGAAATTTCCCCCCCCAATTACGTCTGGCTTGGCTTGTCCCAACTCCAAGTCTCCAAAGTAAATCCCATCTTCCGGTCACTCCCCTCCCCCCCACTCACGCTTCCCTCTTTCTTTGGGCGCCCCCCTCTCTCATCTCCCCTCTCTTTCCCTTTTTCTCCCTCAGTCCCCGGGTGAACGTGAAATTTTTATTTTAGGGCGGATGTCATGATTTCTGATCCGTCCTGCTCCTCTTCCCAATTTCATGGTGGTAGAACCTAGCTCTTCTGGCATGGCCGAGGTGCCATTGAAGACGCCTTTGCCTCGGAAAAGTGCCTTCTCTTGTGAGGCCTGCCGCAAGCGCAAGGTGGGTTTCCCCTGGTCGCCTACTCGGATGATTTCCGAGCTTATTCCCAAGAAGGTTCCTCCTTCGCTTATATGCTCGCCTACTGACATTTGCTTGTGATAGGTGAAATGCAACGGCGCCAGTCCGTCATGCTCGCGATGCGCTGCGCGCGGCGAGGTGTGCGTCTATAGCTTGTGAGTCTTAGCTCCTCGACCCCCTCCCCATCGGCTGCCACGCGCTCTTGGCCCGTTTGCCGATGCTCCCGCTTCCCTGCATGGTTCTCTCGTCGATCGCTAACCCTGCCGATTCGATCTTAGAGCCCCAACTTTATCTTATACCAAGCAACTAGAGACTCGAGTGGCTCAGCTAGAGGATGCTCTTTCCAAGCTCCGGGGCCAAGCTAACGAGGTCGAGGCTCGAAAAGGAAGTTCCCCTGCATCGACGGGGGAGAGTAGCGCAAGTCCGGGTATACGGACACGCATCAAGGAGGAGGACGACAATACCGGTGACCTGGCTAGGGATTTCGAAGGTTTGAATGTTGAACATGACGGCCGAGTATCCTTCCATGGACCGACCAGTCTGTTCCAACTGCCGAGTGGTGCGCTGAATGAGGCCACATCTCCTTCGAACCCTGCTCTGCAGTTAGATGGCCGAAAGGAGAGGCTTATCAACAATGCGTGGCGAGAGAGGGCTTTCGAGCAGATGGCTACGATGCCGGTAAGTCTTCGGCTTTTGGGCTCATCCCACCCGGGGTCCGTCTTCTCACTCGGGAACAGGAACCATTTCAGTATCTTCTCGATTCACACTGGTGTTGGATCCAGCCTCTTTTCAACTTTGTCTACCGGCCTACGTTTACTCGTTAGTATCTTGTTTTTGGCAACCGTCTCGAGAAGACAAGCTAACTTGACTATCAGGTGATATGAAAATCAACGGCCCATACTATTCAGACGCTTTGCTTAACGCAGTTCTCTCCCATTCCGTGCGGTGGTGCAAGGCTGAACCTAGGATTGGACCCATACTAGAATCGTTCGATGGCGGCGCGCAATTCTCACATCGCGCAGTATCAGGTCTATACGACTCGCTAAAAGTTGGCCACGTTGGGATCCCGACCATCCAGACGTTGCTCCTTCTCAGTGCACAGGAATGTGGGCGCGGAAACCGGTCTCAGGCCTGGCTATATAGTGGCATGGCTTTCCGAATGCTCGACGACTTGGGGATATCGATCGACAGCCGGAAATACTCCGATTCGGCGCATCTGACCGATGAGGATATTGAAGTCCGCAATCGACTGTTCTGGAGTTGTTATTTCTGGGACAAGATGGTTTCGCTATATTTCGGTCGTTCGCCTGTGATGCAACAGTCGCGCGTTAGTCCGCCCAGAACGATACTGGATGACACCTCCGAGATTGAGATCTGGACTCCTCACGGAGTGGTATTCCCAGATGGTGCACACTATCCGCCAACTCAGGCGCACTCCACTTCCTGCTTCATGCGGATGTGTGGGCTGGCAGAGGTTTTAAATCAGATCCTAATTCACATCTATGACCCTATCCGGCAGGTCTCGGAGGCGGAATTCTATAATTGTGTTCAGGATCAAGCAAGGAACCTGGCTGAGTGGTGGGAGGAGTTACCGAGTTATCTGAAGCTAGTCCCCACGGAACTTCCTCCATACTCCCCTCCTAGCCATATAGTGATTCTGAAGTACGTTTCTCCCCCCTTACCCCCAATGTCTTGTTGAGTGTTGACCAACATGCCTCTCTACAGTTGCTTGTATCATACCATCAACATCCTGCTGCATCGTCCGATTCTCTGCTCAAAGACAAATCGGGAATCTTACGACAAGAGCCACCTTGTTCAGTGCATTACATCTGCAACTTCTATTCTCTCTTTGTTTGACCTTTACCGTCGCACTTTTGGGGACAGCCATGTGGTTCTCTCTCTCTCTTACAGCGTATACACTGCTGCGTCTATCTTCCTCCTTGAGATCCAAGCTTTGAAATATGCTGCACCGGGAACTCTGGAGAAAATCAAATTCTGCATATTCGCTCTGGAGCGAGTCAAAGCCTCTAATCCTGGTATGCTTCTCACTTTGCTCTATCAATCCCAAGGGTGTCTGCTAATCACCTGCTTCGCGTTCACAGTAATCACCACAGCCCTCAACCTTGTATACCAAGAGCTCCAGAAGCTTCAAATCGACATCCACGTCGGCATCCCTACTCCCCAACATGAGCAACCTCGAGCTCAGCAGCAGCCCCAGTCCCATCCCCCATCCCGCCACAGCCACTCCCCTTCGCAGCATCACCCGCAACAACAGCCCATCGGCCTCCAGAATACCTCCCGTCACGTTTCTCCTCTACAACAGCAATCTGCCGAGCCTACTATGGGGTCCTCCGTCACAACCGCGGGTGTGAGCTCCGCATCCATGCTCCCGGGGTATACGTTCCAACAGCCGGTCGCGGACTTTGAGCTGTCGCAGACCAGTGTCCCCGCGATGGCCACGACGCACGTATTGGGTGGGATGCCGAATGCAGTCATGACGCTTGACAATCCCGGCGCGTACGAGATTACGCCGGAGGTTTTCGAGGCCTTTTCATATGCAGAGCCCATCTCGACAAATATGGCGCCCGCATTCGATACTAGATTAGCATGAAGTGTCCCTCGCGTGGTTTGCGAGGGGTTTGATGACTACCAACGTAGTTCATGAGTTAAAATATCTAGACGGCGAGCGAGACATTTCTGGGTAAACACTCCAAAAAATCTTGATTTATTCGGAACAGCTATAATAAATCTATATGATATAGCATAGATAATTCTAACCCACAAAGAAGAGATCCACGTCCAAAAGCAAACTATATCATACGCATCCTGTATGAAATCGGGTATATTCCGGAAAGCCAAACCCTGAAAAAACCTTTCCCCTAGAAAACAATGTACATTATTAATATATACCCCGTAAATGAGTGGAGGTGTAAGTGCGAAGTATGTTCACGAAATAGCGCAACACAGACGAGGTCTGTTTTTTTCAAGACTGATACGCCGTCTTCTGCGTATCCGCCGGTTTGGTATCAAAGTGCGTCTCATATTCGGACTGCACCCCGGTCGAGTGGGAAGACGAAACGGGGGAGGAGTCGACATGAACCCGGGCCTTCCAACGGAGATACCACGGTCCATCGAAGAGGTCGCCCATGCGCTCGATGGGGACGCCCTTCGTTTCGGGCATCCAGATGCCCAGGATGATCAGGCCCAGGGTACAGATGATGGCCCAGAAGAGGTAGGCGCCCCAGACGTGCAGGGAGTCGAACATATTGGGCGTGACACGCACCACGGCGAACTGGAAGAACCAGTGCAGGGACATGCTGAGCGCGTAGCTGACGTTTCGGATGCGAGTGGGGAAGATCTCCGTGCCGTAGAGGTAGGGAATCGTGCAGAGTCCGACGGACCAGCCGACGGCGTAGACGAAGACGGAGGCAATAGCGGCGTCGGAGGCGGATTTATTGTTGCTGGATCCCGGCTGCAGACCCATGTAGATGCCCATGTAGATGTGGGCGGCGAGTTGAAGACACAGCCCCGTGAGCGCGCAGCGGCGGCGACCCAGGATGTCAATCAAGCCCCAGGTGAAGGCCATGGTGAAGACGAGCTTGACGATGCCGTAGGCGCCCGACGAGATTAGCGAGGTACCGTTGCCCGTCACGCCGGCATACTCGAAGATATTGGAGACGTAGTAGGTGATGCCATTTCCGCCGGTCCATTGAGCGATGGTCTGCATCGCCATGAGGAGCCAGAAGCGCTGGCGATAATTCGGGTTGAGTTGGGTTTCCTTGAAAGCGGTCCAGTGCGAGACGGATGCTAGATCTGAGGCCTTGGTGCGCACCTGCGCGTCAATGGTGCTAAATTCATCTTCGATTTCTGGATCGGAAATGTCCTTCCCGCGGAGACGAGCGAGGACAGCTCGTCCCTCTTCGTGGCGCTGTTTCGAGGCGAGGTAGCGAGGTGTTTCTGGAACGATGTAGGATGCGAAAAAAGCGAGGCCAACGGGGATTAAGGGGATGGCTTGCACCAATCGGTATTGAGTCCGGGTGGGTGCCATATGCTCGCTTGCGCCATAGTTAATGAAGAACCCTGTAAAAATAGGGGGTTAGTTTTGTTGTAATTCAAACAGCAGTGGTTTGCGGGGATGGTGGGTGAAAGGTAAGTCGAGGATGTGGCAAAGGTCGGGAATGAGGAAGATAAGACAGAAAGGAAAGGGACGCCATACCGATGGATAAAATGGCCAACAGAATGACCATATACACACTAACTACCAACCCCCTGGTTCTGGTTGGTGCTAAAAACACAAGTCAGCAAACCAATTTTAAAACAGTATTGGCTAGAACGCACCAATCTCCGATAGATACAACGGCGTAGTAACTGTCAGGGCTCCGGCGCCTAGCCCGCTCCAAATCCTTGCAAATAACAACAGCCCATATATGCCCGAAGAGAAGACCTGGATGAACATGCCAGAGGCCCACACCAGGCAAGACAAGCGCCAGGTCTGTAGGCGCCCGAGACGGTCGTTCAAGTCTAGAGCAAACAAGGCGCCGAAGGCTGCTCCCAGGACATTGAAGGAGGTAATGTTGGCCTTACGGTTGGTCAACCCCGTTGGATCATTGGTCCAGTTGGATGACAACAGATTGAAGTCGGTTTGAAAGGAGTCCAGTTTCACACTGGCACTGTAGCCACCTTCGTCATAACCTGCAGGCAACACGACGAGTCAGTGATGTGATCTATCTTATCTTTTTTTTCCTTTTTCATTCTTTCCCTTCGATGTTGCAAAATTCCGAGTCTTGCTTACCTTTAGGGATACTGCCACAGGCAATGATGAAGATAACGAGGGCATAGTACGGATTGGTGGTCCATCGTGACCGATCCCAACTTGCCCCTCCAGGCATGGTGGTGAAAGATGGGGGAGCAAGAATGCGGAGAGGAGCAATGAATCCACCGGCAGGATGGATCTAACGAAAATAGAACAAGAATCCGGGGAAATCTGACGAGCAATGGATGAGGGAATCACTGAATCAGCGTGAGCATCGGGTGGGCAAAGGAATTCCGCGATGGAGACGGACGAAGGAGTCGAAGCGAGAAGGGGGCGTGACCTGCTCGGTCAACTTCCGTCGCTTCTCCTCCTTTTTCCTTCTCTTTCTTTCCCTCCGCCAAACTCTCTTGCTCGCTCGACCCCCTCGGTTTAGCGCTGCACACCACCGTCAGTCTGTGACATGGGAGCATCGCCGTCTATCTACCATTTTAGTTTTCGGAGTCAACGTCCGATGTGATTCCATCATCCATCAATCATCACGGTATACAAATCCGACCGAGTGGCTTGTCGCGGCTGATCCGGCGGTTGGTTCCGCTGCCAATCCACTCTTGATTGCTTCGCTTATTCCTGACCGAGATTTTATTCTTTTATTATTATTTTCTAAATTAGTATGCTGCCTGCCAAACGCCACTGTCATTGGTCTTCGGCTGCCCGTTCGGATTGCATACTCCTTGGAGACCTGAACAGGACCTCCCGTCTCTCGCCCTCTCCTACCGGACAACGTCCGCCCTCCATCATGGCCATCTTCCGGCCTCAAATACAACGATCGTTGGTGGCCTAGTGGGTCACCGACTGCTAATTCGTAGCAGATTTTTTTTTTCTTTTTCTCGGCCTACCTTGGCCGACGTATCTTCCTTCCGGTAAGGGAATCAGGAAGGCGTATGGATGGACAAATTTCTACTAGTAATTTGATCATTCACTGTTCGGTGCTGATTGCCTGGAGTACTCGCAACCATGATATCGATACGGCCCAGTTTGTGGAGAGGAACTACCCTCAGACCACTTGCATCGATTCTTGTAAGTCGTACTTTCGACCGGGGCCCGCCCCGGGGGTCCAACTACGGAGTATATCCATACTCCCCCTTGCTGGAGAAGTCCCGAGCCTTGATCTGTTTCTTTTCTCTCTCTTTTCTTTACATTGCAATCTTCTTTTGAGCAACTTAGCATCCTTCTCTGCCTATGTTTGATTATTGATTGCGTTGCAGCGATGGTTCAACCCTCTCTATCCGGCGTACTTACGTCTGTGAAGCCCAGAACTACTGCCCTCCTGGATAACCCTCTTCGTCTTTCCTTCGGTACATCTATTCAAAAGCGCGAGCAGACCAGCTACTGCAAAGATGTCCGGAGACCTGTGCACCCTCTTCCCCTGAAGCAGAGGATTCCACCTCGGACATGGGATACCCATATGCATGTCGTGGAACCGCAGCAATATCCAGTGTCTGCCTCGGCCGTCTACCAACCCTCAGCACACACGCTCGACGAGGCCGTCTCCTTTGAATCATCACTCGGAATCGAAAACATCGTTCTTGTTCAACCCTCCATATACGGAACCGACAACTCCTGTCTTCTAGATGCACTAAAGCAAATCGGCCCTTCTCGTGGACGAGGGGTGGTGGTAATCGACCCTGCCAACATCGAGGCAAAGACCTTGCTTGAATGGCACGCCCTGGGGGTACGAGGTGTGCGGGTGAATCTCAAATCGGTAGGCAAGGTGTTGAGTGAGCATGAGCTAGCCGAGACCCTGTTGCAACATGCCGCAGTTGTGCGCCCCCTAGGTTGGATTATCCAGGTCTATATTGCCCTGGACATGGTGCCTATGCTGGAACGAATTGCACCGCAGCTAGGGGTCAAGGTCTGCATCGACCACTTTGGTGCACCCGATCTTTTGTCGCTGAGCCTGGCGGACGATAAGCCGTTTGACCCGTACTCTCTTCCGGGCTTCTCTTCCTTGATATCTCTTCTCCGCACCGGTGACACTTACATCAAGATTTCTGCACCCTACCGGCTGAGCAAGGATAAGGAAATGCGCGACCTCGAGATGATGATCCGGGAATTTCTACTAGAGGCCCCCAACCGAGTTATCTACGCCACGGACTGGCCTCACACTCGATACTCAGGAGTTGATATCGAACCATTTACGGAACTGTGTTTACGACTATGCGGCGATGAGCCAGGACTGGCCGAGCGAATCTTCCGACAAAACGCCGAAGAGTTGATGGACGGGAAGCACAGTTGACGATCATTCTGAAACCCACGCAAAAGAATTTAGACAGATTAACGACTTTACGATAATATTACCCAGATTGAGCATCTTACGGAGTTTCTACGGGGAAAGGACACCGGCGAAAGGCAGCTCGTAACCCGCGGGAAACAAAGGATTTTGTTCCTCCGGCCGTCTCGGAATGTGACCGAGGGCCACCGGTTGCACAACGTCGTCGAAGTTGACGGGATTTCCGATGGTCGGCAAAAGTGGATCCTCGGACCTGGACAGTGGACAGAAATCAGATTGTTGCCGTTGATAACCTGTTCCTGATACTTGACTCAGGCCGTGGCTCCCTGTCGTTTCGAGCCTAGTCATGGTTCGTCTCGATCAAAGTCCGAGCTCGCTATCAACGCCGACAGGCCTACTAGTCCGCCGGACCCCGAGGTCGGGTCGATCGCATGCAGCCCGTCCTTGCTTTTTTCATGTTCGCTATAAGCTATGTACGTAGTATAACACCGGAGCAGATTGGTTAAGGTTACGCCATTCGAATCTGGAGCCAAGACCTTCGGGAACCCTCCGTGCTCCATCACACATTTGTTGTTGTTGATATTTGATAATGACTTGGATAATTGATAATTATTATACAAACAACCCAGGTCTTTTCCCATTATTCATGCCTAATCCCACTCCAATGGCTTGTTGCCGACCGATCACCTCTTTGGTCTGGTTTATGCTCATCCGTCCAGGCCAAACTGAGGCGTGGCCTCCGCCGTGCAGATTACCTTCGGGCCCTATAGATCGATAATTATTCCCATTAGTCTATCAATTGTCCCATAACCAGACACGAATAACAAATGAATAAAGGAAAAGGAAACATAACCGAAGATGCATAGCAGAAAAGGGACACTCACAATAGTGTAGCAGCACTTCGGCGTGTTTCCGTCGTCACAGAGCTCTCGAACATCCTCGCCCATTTTCGTACCTATTCCAGTTAATCAATCGATTCCCATCATATACTCCGTCAAGGTGTTGAGTATTCAAGCCATCAACCCCTGTCCCCAAAATCCCAAGGCAATGATACTTCAACGATCAGGGTAACAACGGAAAAACGGAACCCAAAAGACCATCAGGCCTATAGAGGAATAAAAAGAAAAAATACTTACATCCTTCTGAGATCTTGCCCACATCGTTTCCGGGGACATCGATAAACGTAGTACAGCAGTATGCCTTCTGCAAAAAGCCCGTTTTATCCAGAGCCGGGCGGCAGAAGTACGAGTCTGCGGCGGCGAGGCCGACGGTCGTGGTGAGGGTGAGAAGGACGGTGGGGAGATGCATTGTTTGTTTTCTTGCTTGTTCTCTGGTCGTCAACCTGGAGGATCCTTTTGAGCTAGATCGATAGAGCAGGTAGATAACAGATAGAGTAAGAGATATGGGTATATTGCGTGATGAAGAAGTAAAAAGACGAGAACAGAGGGGGAAAGAAAGGGAATAGAAGGGATGTATGAGACAGAGACACGAGGAGATTAGGATGAAAGGGGGGGATCATACACAGTCAGTTAACTGCCTGTGAGTTGACGGGGTGATGGTTGTTCCCTTTCATCCCTTGCTGGTTGGTGACAGGATGATATGTGGTTGGTATGCACGCGGCTGCTGCTGGTGCCTTGCTTAGCTGTCTACTCCAGATAGTTAGCATGTTCCTGCAGCTCCAGGGAGTAGGGTTTACACGAAGAGATGAATGGGCGAGTACTACACCATGATTTTCTATCCTTGTAAATTTGGATTGACCCAGTCGTGGGAGACGGGTAAAGGTTGAGAGCCTTGTTGTTGGGTGACGTGGTATAATCATCTATCCTCGGAGGCGTATCCCTTTCTCTATCCCTTGATCCACTACTGGACTGTCCTTTCATTTCCGCAAGGTCCGGGTCCAGTCAAGACAATAGGGATCGATAGGTGGGGTTTTGTGAATCTGTTACAAAGACAGTGGGATTGATTATAGTAGCTGTTCTGCTTGAAAGAGACTAATATCAGGTACGCATCCTCCAACCCTAGTTCAACGGCACCTCAGTCGGTCCAGTCAGCTCCACTTGTGTCGGGATGGTGACTTTCTGGCTGCTGGTGCCCGAGCTGGCAGTAGACACGCGTGACTGTCCCAAGACTGTAACTCCTTCGATCTTCACGTCCGTCTTGCGATCAAACTTGCCCTTGACGAACAGCGTGCCCCGACGGTATTCAAACCGCACCTCCGTCGTGCCCTTCTGCTTCAGTGAGTCTCCGTCGTCTAGATATAGACTTCCCGAGGCAGTGACATCCAGACCGGGGGCAATGATCAGCTCGAAGCTCTTCTGGCGCAACTCCGTCGTGGTCATGGCACTACTGGATCGGACAGGGACGATGCTGCCACCACGAATGTGGATGGGGATGTGCGTGATGTCAATGTTAGAGAGCGTCACGTTGGTGCCCTTGCCGCGCAGGGGAGCACCGGTGTACCAGTCGTAGAAGATATCTTTGGGGAAGTATGCGGTGACCGATGTCTGATTTTCCTCAGTCACGGGACTGATGAGGATGGCATCACCGTAGAAGAATTGCAATCCGTTGGAGAAGGTGTTCTTGTCTTCAGGGTACAGGTAGAACATGGGCTGTAGGAAAGGCTCGCCGGTCTTGCTCTGACGGTGGAACTGGGTGTAGATGTAATCCAAGAGTTTGTATCGGATCTCAATGGCCTTGCGAGCGGACTCGGCCACGGTGGGCCATAGGTAGAATTCCTGAGAGATGCTACCGATCTCATTGTGGTTTCGGAAGAAAGTATAGAAAGCTCCCAGGGAGGCCCACCGCGCGCAAAGCTCCTCGGTTGTATTGCTTCCAAATCCGCACACGTCGGCACCGACCATGGGAACCTGGAACATGGACGCGAATGCGACGATCTGCGAGATGGAGAAACGGTACTGGCTCCATTGACTCAAGTTGTCTCCGAGCCTAGTACTAGTAAGCAATAATTCTCATCGCAAAAATGCGTGCTAATCTAACGTACCAGTGACCAACATGCGCACCGGCACCCGCGAATGTACTGCGGGTGATGATTAGGGGCCTCACATCAGGCCGGCGGTGCTCCATGGCAACTCGCGATGCAGAGCTCATCACTAGATCGCGTTAGACAGGCGGATAATAATCCAAACAGTGCCTAGAACTTACTTGTTCCATATAAGTTATGGGTGTCATAGTCGGCATATCCTTCGCCAGCGTGGATAATATCAGTGTCGATCGTCTTGTTGCTAAGAGACCCGGCGGCGTTTTGGATTTTGTAGGCTGGGTTGATAAGGTCACGTCCAGGCAGGCCGACCTTATGTCCTTTGCCTGACGATGCTCTCTTAGACGATCGCTTGGCCGAAGAAGGCTGGAATGATGGAGGGAACCCGGGCAGGGGCCGTGGGCTGCCTGGACGAACGGGTGGCGCCGCGGGCGGCAAGTCATTCTCGACAGCATACTGTTCTGGGTTCTTGCAGGGCCAAGGACAGAAGTTGGACGCCTCATTCATGTCGATCCACAGTCCATCAATATCAACACCAGTGTCTGCATCGAAAAATCTTGCGAACTCGTCGTTCCAATAACCTTGGATGTCAGGGTGGAACCAGTCCGGAAATGCAGTCACACCAGGCCACACCGCGCCTAGATCATAATGTTTTAGTCGAGTTATAATGGCTTCTCGGAAATGTTCAACTGACCCTTGTAGAGACTGCCATTTTGGGTCTGGAGGAAGATCCCCTGCTCTAGGCCTCTCTCGAAGGCCGCGTTTTCTGCGGAAAGGAAGCGTTACTCATAAGCTCTCCCAGACACACAACGACTGCAAAGGCTAGAAGACCTACCAGCTGTGCTAACGGCGGGATCAACCATGACAATGTAATGCTGATCGTGCTCATGCAAATAGTTCACAAGCTCACGCGTTTTCTTGATGGGGAACCTCTCTTGGTCGAGAGTAAAGACCTTTCGACGATCCATGTAGTCGATATCGGTCCACATCGTTTCCAATGGGATCTTAGCCTGACTATAGTTGTAAACGACTTCGGCAACCTGATAAACGTCCCGGTAGCCGTATTTGCATTGATGGAACTGGGTATGGTTAGCGAGACATTATTTACGAACAAGAGAATAAACGTCTCCAGAAAAGCATTCAGATGGCAGGCAACAGCTACTTACGCCGAAAGACCAGTAGCTTTGCATAGCCGGCAGGCCGACCACCTTCGAGTACTCAATGCTAGCCTCCTTGGGAGTATTTCCGGTAAAGAAGTAGAAATCGAAGATACCTCCCAGAGTATTGTACTCAAGATACTGCTCTCCATCCTCGTCTTTGCTGATGCGGATGTCCATACCATTGGAGTTCAACAGAAAAACGCCATGAGTGCCAGATTCACCACGGTGGTCATAGTATACGGGGTGGCTGCCGTACAGGTTGGTGTTTTCACCAGTGCCGTAGGCATCACGGTTCCAGAGCGTGCGGGTGTAATTCTCCGTAGGCAAGCGTAAAGGATCACTATGCTCTCCTAGACCATACAGATAAGGGTCTTCGGGGAGGTAGGTCCGAAGGTTCAAGTACTGCGACTGGAAGACGAGATTTGATGCAGAAGTGTCGAAAAGCACCTCGTCTCCCCTAGAGACGGTGAAAGAGAAGGGTTCTTCTTCATAATCAAAGCTCAAGACGGAATCGTCTTCAGAGCTATGACGCCCACCTACACGAGGTACCACCGACTCGGGGACTTGATAAACTTGTTCATCGGCATCATAGATCATAACATGGAGACGTTCATCTGGGCAGCAATTTGATCAGCGAAACCTCCAGTTACACAGTATGACCTCAATCAAAAAATTCCTACCAGTCTGGTACTCAACTAGCAGCTTCAAGTGCTTCAAGTCCGTGCCGTAACTGTTACAGGGTTTGCCCGCAAGAGTCAGGTCGGCAGTCAAGGAGTTACCCTTCTCGCGGACGTTAGATGCCTTGTACCCGGGACAGTCTTGGCTGTCCGCGCGGGACCCAATGACTGCAGCCCCTGCAAGGGGGGCCAGGAGTAAGAGGGACCCCAGCATGTTGAATTCTAAACCGAGGGTGCGTCGAGAGGGGATGGAATCTGATCTGATGGTTTAGACCGGGGCGACGACCGCTATTTATGCATCAGTCGGCCCGCGGAGGCAGGACGTGCATCAGATACGTTGTACATGCATCCATAGTAGACACATGGGTACATTTGGAAGGAGGGTATGACCGGTCCCCGCAATATCACGAAAAACAGGCCGGAAACGCATAACGCGGACATTGGTCGGATCGGTGGCCGACAAAGGATGGCCAGCAGCTGCTGTGTGGAGTCCCTGGGGTTACACTAGTGGGACAATATTGGGGTTAGATCACTAGACGGCGCCTTCGCCAGTGCAATTAGCGGGGACTTGCAGGGTCTGATGGATAAGTCATCTCGGTCAAATATCGGGGGTCGTACCAGTTCCCTGGCCCTTCCAAGAGCGTCATCGAGGATCTCGTCCCTTTTGAGCTCATGAATCGGTCCCAAATGATGCAACTTAAATCCAATGCCCCACATTTATTGCTTTCGCTTCCTCCGGGCGAGAGTTCAATCGGCAAGGAGGGGTTGGACGACCGAAGCGACTTGGTAGTGGCATGGCATTGGGTGGGATGCCGAGTCGGCATTGGCCTTCGCTGGAGCCCAGCATACATTAATGCGAGTACGGAGTAGACCGGTTGGGATCGTCTGTCCACATTGACAATTACTGTCAGTGAATATCAACGGGATTACTCCGTACAAGCGGTCTCCCATGGCACTGTTTACTGCCACCCACCACCGCCTGCCCGGGTCAGTCACCATCACGTCCCCCTTGGGAATAGCGCCAGATTGATATCGTACGGACAGTTTCCTTGACACGTCAAAGAAAGCCTGCATGTGGTTTGCAGACAGCACCAAGTTAGAGAGAGACCTGGCGAAATCGGCCATACGTAAGTTTCCGCCTGTCACAGAAAGATCACAACCGACGCAGTGTGTTCAGGGCGCTTACTTTGAAATACAACCATGTCCGAGGGGCAGTCAGTTCCGCTAAACGATGGACGAAATGTCCATTTCTTTGACAGTTTGACTGGAAGAATGTTGGGCGGTCTCTTCCAAAATGGCTCAGTCACAGAAACCAACTTTCTTGATATGCTCGACATCATCTTGGTCGTTAATTCACCCCCGTCTGTTGCACCGCTGCCTTTTACTGTTAAGGCGAGGCTCGGGCCAACGATCTCACGAACTACTCAACCTCTAATACCCGGAAACTAGAAGGGGCTGAAGATCAACTAAGGGAGGCAATGAGAGACGAAGCATGGTTTTTATTTGATATTGTGTTTACATGAATTGCAATGTATGGATATCTATAATCGTTGCTGGAGTTTTCGCCTTGACTGAATTTTTTTTATTGAAAAAGAGAGATATTGTATTGCGTTATATCGAGAGCTGTTGCTGGAATCATGAAGAGTTTGACAGAATATAGCTATTTCATTTGTGAGAGAAATTATTTTATTGTATTAAAAAGTTAAATTATTTTTTAAAGTAGTTATTTAAGATAGAAATCTGTTCTACCAAAAGACTAGAATACCAAGTCAACGGACTTGGTACGCACATCGCTCTATAGAGTGGTTCTTGGTCAGTTCGTCACAAATATAACGAGAAAAGGTGTCTTTATATGAGACATCACATATATAAATTACTCTTTACACAAGCTTTCCGCTTAGCCAACGATATTACTAGCGGCATCCTGATTACTTTTGGTACACACCTATTCGCTAAATAAGGTGGCTAGCTGTTCTGGGTTTCCGGGAACACCGTCGTCAAAACATAGATAGAAAAAGCTGCCATGCGGTTCCACAAATCGACTAGACGGACAATGATGGCTGCATTGGTTTCCCAGCGGTGTGTCTAGCGGTGTGCTCGCTGTAGATGGAAAGATAGTAACTTCATATGAGCCAGCCGCGACCTGACAAACAAAGGTTTTAAACACAGCTGCTGTCGTGTTTCCAGTGGCTGCTACTCCGTCTATGTCCGAACTGTCCTGTTGTCCAGGGATCTTGTCTAGGCTGGTGGACGACATCTGTAGCTAAAACAATGGTTGACAACTCTCATGGCATTAAATGCCTTGTCAGGTGATTCGAATGTCACGAGTGGGTAGAGGAATGCGCGTCTCCGCGGTCCTCACCTACACAATTATATAAATCGAAAGGATAAAGTCCTGACCTACAATCCCGCGGGCTTACAGAATTGCGAAACATCCCAAAACATCGCAGCAATCGTCAAGACTAATCCTTCAAGCGAATAGATTTCTACCGGAATCTCTATAGCTCCCAAACGGCATGCATCTCTAAAAACAGATCGTCATAAAAATTTACATGGCAGGGTCATGGCACAATGCAAGGTTCAACATCAAGAAAAGGGGAAAGCAAAGGTATAACAAGGTGACCAGTCACCTTAACAACGCCCGGAATAAGTATATGGTTTTGGCCTTTTTTTCTTCTTCATCTTTGGTTCGCGAGAACGCAGAATATTAGATCTTCTGCCCGGCCGAAGCAGCCTTGACATCTTCTTCGGAGCTCATGATCTGAACCTTGATGGCTCCCGTCTTGGGGTTTGCGGCCGTTTCGAAGGCCTTGAGAGCATCTTCCAAGGTGTAACGGTGAGTGACCAGCCTCTTCAGGTCGATGACGCCGTTTTTCACCAGACGGATGGCACGGGGCCAGGTGTTCGAGTAACGGTACTGGTACTGCAGGTCGATCTCCTGAGTACTCAGACGCATGAAGGGGATCTTCATCTCGTTCTTGCCCACGCCAATCACGAAGACCTTGCCTCCGAACTTCACACTCCAGATGGCGGATGCGACACTGCTCTCCACACCTGTGCACTCCAGAGCGAGTCGGGGGCGCAAGATATCGGGGCCCGAGCTCTGTCCGTTGTTGAAGGCCTTCACGATACCCTCTGCGTTTTCCTCCGCCGACAGGCCGATCTGCACCTTGTAGGTGAGGACATCGGGAACCAGCGACTTGGCGAAGGCCAACCGGCCCTCATCAATGTCGGTAATGACGATGGGGCTTGCGCCGGCGGCGCGAGCGCTGAGCAGGGTGATCAGACCGATGGGACCAGCACCGGTGACCAAGCAGGGGTCACCCAGACGAAGACCGCTACGCTCGATCGCGGCCAGCGACACGCTAAGAGGTTCCAGAAGAGCGCCGTCCTCGTAGCTCATGTCACCGATCTTATGGCACCAGATGGCGGGGTGGTTGACATAGCGTCGCAGCAGTCCGTCGACGGGAGGAGTGGAAAGGAACGCGACATTTTCACAACCGTTGTAACGACCGGTCAGACAGGGCTCGCAGGCATTGCAGATAATGTTGGGTTCGACGGCGACGCGATCGCCAGGCTTCAAGTGGGTGACATCCGACGCGACCGCGATAACCTGACCGGCGGACTCGTGGCCCAGAATGTGGTCGCCAGTGACAATCATGGGTCCAATGCAGCCCTCATGCCAGAAATGAACGTCGGATCTGCGGACCAGCGATAAATCATTAGCAACTTATCGGGGGTTTTTTTTTTCATGTTCTCTTAAACACCAAGGACGACGTACCCGCAAATTCCAGTGCTCCGAACCTCGACCGTCACCTCACCGGGCTTCAATCCTTCACCACTCTTAACCTGCTCGAGAGAGGGTGTGGACTCAGCGACCCACAGATCGTGCTTGGTGTTGGTGAAGACACCAATGTTGGGCTTGTCGATAACAGTTGCGCTAGCCATGACGTCTGAGAGGAAGGTGCGGGAAGATCGGGAATTACTGAGGCAGAAGAGATGAACAACGATGAAGCGACAAGTTAAAGAAGAGGAGGAGGAGAGAGAGGAGGAAGAAGTAGTAGACGAGAGAGGAGGAAGAAGTAGTAGACAAGGAGACAAGACGAGGAGGGGCAGAAGAGGGACGTCACAAGCTTTAATAGTTGCAGCGCAAAACTGCCCCTCCACGACGCATTGGAAAGGGGAACGAGAAAAGATTTTCCATTTCTCCAACGTGACCGGATGCTGAGGATTGGATTGCGCACGGCAGACACGCTGAACCAACCACGATTGAATGCATGTTATCCAGGATGGATCATGGAGGGCGGGACTCTGTGGATTGTGGATTGTGGAGGCCATCAATTTATCCGGGCCAGCTAAATTGCCCCGCGCGGGGGGGAGAGGATTGGATATTGAATAATAATGACAATTATTATTCACTTATTCTACTGAGTATGATTCTGGATTAGCATTTCTTTCCTCCAGGTGATACCGTTGCAGTAGCATCCCCCGAATGATCCCGGTCCTTTTTAAGGTTGTTATTTAGCAACTATCTACTACCTAGTTGATTATTCTCATATATTCCCATATTTACGATACCTTTAAACGTAATGTTCGACACTGACCGGTCAGTTGTCATGACGTCCCTCAAACGCCTCGACATGGACTATCGAGAATGGTGAAACCATCTCTGTCGAGAGCCAACTCCCTGTTCGGTTAATTGGAATCGTTCGAGCTTTTTAGCCTTGATTTGTGCTTCATCTTATCGGTCCCTGGGCCCTTGACCCAGAGTGGCAATTCTCCGGTGGATTCCACGCCTTCTTTGGTGGAGAATCCCCCGGCGCGACTCCACCCAGCTTCTCCGTAACTACTGAGTACGTCGTGGCGGATGTGTCGGTCGTCGAGTTCGATTTCAATGAGACGTTATTGTTGTGGTTGATCATCCAGGTACCGAGGCTTCGCAGTCGCAATTTGATGCTGCTTAGTCGTTCCCGTCTGGCCAAGAATCGTGTACTGAGTACTCCTAGGGTAACAAGTAGAAACCCAACCAGACAATGAGACTCGATGCCGTCGTAAACCAGACTAATTTGGTTCTTGATCACAGAAATTTTTGGTAGCACATCTTTTGCTCGTCGGCTAGTTCCCAGTGCAACATATATTCCTTGGGATTTAGTATTCTACGTAGAAAATAACCGAGATTAGCTCGAATTCGATGTCTTTAACATGTAGTTGACTACATCAACAATGTACGATACTCGATTAACTCATTGAGCCATTAGAAATAAGCAACGTTGCCGTGATATTTTTCACAAATGCAATTCAATAGTCATTGACCAATGCCTTCAAGTAGGTAGATCGGACGAAGCTAGGTACCTGGGAACCCGACGATAGCTTCTTCAGCAAGGATGTTCTAGAAAAAGCTTAATTTCATTCTCGATTCCAGGCTAAACTGGCTTGCAGCGGCCGGGGGGGGATTAATGCCAACGGCATTGCAGCTGTACATCCGCGACCTGAGATTGGATGTTGGTTTCCTGCAGCAAAGCTACCACGTAGCTCGGCTCGGGTATGTCGAAGGAAGGCGCAGTGTTCTGAGCTTTTGAGTACCCACTACAACTTAAGCACCTGCCGTTCTTTGCGCATGCTCAGCAAAGGGAATCAAAGTGTTTGTTTGACTGCTGCCTCAGGCAGATATGCGCTCGTCGGGCGAGAGCTTTTCGACCGATGGACTGCAGGACGGCGTCAACAACAACCACCCACATTCGACGAAACGATGTCGTCAAGAAGACTGACAGTGTCAAATGCCTGTTAGGGTCTTGACTTTGAAACTAAACCCATTTTCAGTATCATCATCAACAAGATTCCATTATACAACACCACAATAGGGCATACAATACTTATTACCACCCATGCAACTGGGCTTCTCTTGGTGGAGCAACACAACCAAAGGTCTTTAGAAAGAAGATATATAACTCTTAGGGAACACAAGCTTTTGACTAGATCAGGCCTATGCTATCTTAAGTTGTTAATATTAGTATTGGGTAAGCATCTGGCCACGTCTTCGCCGGCGTTGTACGGCTACCTGTTACAGGGCTTCATGTCGACCCGGCTGTAACAGTTGCGACGGGTGTAAGTGTGACACCAGGACGAGATATTTTTGATCTAGGAATTCTGGGTACTTTGTGCTAATCCAGTGTTTCATTTTGTGCTTCTGGTTGTAGACACAGGAATTGGAGTTGTCGGAAGCCTCTCTGGCAATCTTGGGGCATTTCCTCGGCCACTTTACATAGCGGGATTGACTCAATTTTAGGGAGTTAGGATTATGAGGGAAATATGTTGTACAACGATCAGCATCCTATGAAAAAGAAAAGATAGCATAGTAGTTTGAAGATTTTCATCCATATATCCAAACAATGAAAGCTTATTTTGGGTGTGAATGCTCATAATCCAATATCCTGCTACGGTCAGATAGCTTCTGCAGCATCTGGAAGCACCGTGCTTCGCATCAGGTTGCTAAAGAAAGCCATCTCGACGCCCTGGAACGCCCAATCTTCCGCATCTGCTGTGAGAGCAGGATGCTGATACTGCTGCGACAGAGGATGATCCGACATGTGTGTTGGCCAGACATTCGTGTGAGGTAATACACATGGCGCCGCAACACCAATATCAGGATAAGCAGTGGCTGAGCACACGGTGTCCACATCACAATTGTCGCCGATATGTTCAACCTCAGACGATTGATGGACAGAAAGTCGTAGAGCCAGATTAGGCGTTGACGCACGTCATCTGGATATAGTAATCATTACGGCACTCGGTCGATGTGAAATGTAACATGAATGGAAGGTGTAGTTGATTAAGCAAATTATAATGAAAGATCTGGCTGACTAGTCGCAGCATCTCCCAAAAGAAAATCTCGTCATCGTTTCGCTCTAGGATTCGGGATGCAAGAACGCAGTGTATTCTTTCAACACGGCCAACCTCTGTATCCCCAGTAAATGCTAGCCCCGATGCCATGTTTCGGTCTGGCGAGCCCTGAGTAAGCTCTAGCATAAGACTGAGAAATCAGTCCGTGCATACAATGCGATATCACAGATATGCAGTATTGATCCTGGCTCTGGGGACAAGAGTGTTGAACTTATGCTTGCCGGTGTGGCGAATTCCCATTAACTGGGCGAGGGCCATGGATCGACGGAACGAAACCCAGGCACGTCGGGGATTTCCACAATTTGATTGGTACACAGCTTCCATCACAATACATTCCAAGCCCTCCACGCTGCCTACGAGTTCATCGTGAGCGGTGACTAGGTTGGTCGCAGTAATAACAAGCCGGTTAGCCATGGCTTGTGGCGGTTCAGACTATCGATTATTTTATAGGACTCGGGTTATATATACTGTAAAGCAGTAGGAATGAGAAAGATATGTTTGGCCAGCAACACCGGAAGGCTATTGTATCCGGGACGCACTGCATCTAAGAAGCCTAGGCCGTTGCGTTTGATATCGAAGTAGGGCGCCAACATGACTTGAAAGTGAATGGAGACGTAAGCACCGGCCTTCCACATTAGCTTCAACAGGGTGACTGCCTTCCTACATCGACAAGCATAAGTATTATATGGTAGCAGTTTGGCCTGACCGCAACTGACCTCCGCTTCCCTTCAATTTTGCAGGGGTGGGATGTTGGAAACGCCGACCAAGGGCTGCAGCGAGCTTCTTTCCCCGGTTGACCCGTTTCAATGTTTTTGAATAGGGCAATAACCAAGTCTGCCTCCGCCGAACCGGAGCAAGACAGACATTAATGATGGTATTGATATTATAAACCGCGGCATGATGTTGGGTGGCAAAGCAAACAAGGGCTGACATTTGAGTTACTCGATATAATACAAAACAAGTGGATCATGCAGGAATTCGAGTCCAAGTACTCCGTTCGAGCGTGATGGACGAGTCTTGAAGATTCGACAATCGGCACAGATGATTCGAGATCTGCTCCGGAGTACAGGGTGGGTCAGGTGACTGTTCCGTACACGCCTTCTTGTGGTCGTGGTCCTAGGTAAGTAGTAGTAGTGATATCGTGAGAAACATGACAATGAAATGAGATGTGTGGAACATGAATAGAATAGAAAAAAGCTGCCTGACTATGACAATAGATACTCGCAATGATATGCTGTGTTGAACATGGACATGGAATGCCGCAACGGACTCCGGGCAGAAAAAAAGCGGTTGATGCCATAGCAGCCGCACGTGACCGGGTGGGTTCCCTGAACTTCCCGAGCGTCAAATCTCAGATTCTGGTCCTGCAATTGCGCGACGACCTCCTTCTGGCTCTTGACCCCTCCGCCATTGGACTCCTCTGTCCCTCACCTGCGACCTCTACGCTTCATTCTTTCCTTTTAGAACCCCTTTCTCTTTCCAGTGGTCTTCAAGATGCCCGCCACGGCGTCCCGTGCCGTGCTTCGGCAATCGCAGTTCATGGTCCGGAGGACCGCTGTCAGGCACGCCTCCTCCACCTCCGAGTCTGCTTCCAAGGCTGGTGAGGCTGCTTCTTCGGCTGCCTCCAAGGCGTCTGAGGGTCTCTCTCGCGTCTCTTCGTCCGCCGGTCCCGCGCTCAACAACGCCGCCAGCGCCCTGAGAAAGGTCGGTGGAAGAACCGGAAAAGTCATCTCCTTCGTCGATTGTAAGATAATTCTCCCCTTCGGAATCTCATCTGCGCTCTTCAGTCCATCTTGGTCTCCTATGGGCCAGATGAATTGATGTGATGAACTGCCATCGCCTTTCCTGGACTCCTTGATGAGACCCACAAGCCTGCAGTCCTCTTCCGTGGAAGCCGTCTGTTTCTCCTGGCATTGCTAATCATTCTCGTCATTTACATTAGCCATGATACCCCCTACCATCTATTACACGCGAGTTGGACTTGAGCTCGGCAAGCTGGTGTTCCGAGGACAGAACATGACTCCCCCGTAAGCATTTCCGGTTATCGCCAAAATAAATCGACCTTCTTCCACTAACACCCCATACTTAGGAACCTGGCTACCTTCCAGTCGTACTTCCAGCCTCTGATCAACGCTTTCCGCAACCCCGCCACCCTCAAGAACGCCAACTTCGTCTCTCCTCAAGATATCCTCGCTCGCGTCCGCAATGCCAACAAGAAGGAGATCGCTCTGGCCGGTGTCACCGTTGCGGAGGTTATCGGATTCTTCACCGTCGGCGAGATGATCGGCAGAATGAACATTGTCGGCTACCGGGGCCACCCTGAGCACCACGGTGACCACTAGGTCAATCACAACCCAATCATGTCCTGACCTGTCCTTTCTTCGATTTCCTTTCCCGCGTGCTGTACTATTGTATGATAGACGATGGAATATAACTGTTGTCTGAGGTAAACCTGCGATTTCTGGGAGACCCCATTTCTCTATCTCTTTTGTGTCGATGCTTGATATTCCGCCGTTGTCTCTGTTCTATGGTTGTCAAAAATCCTCGTATAGATGTCAGTCCGCATAGTTGTGAGTAATAGACGTTCGTGTTCCATGGAAAGAGAAATAGGTGTATGATAAGACGCTTTGCCATCCGTTGGCCCGTGAGTTGAATGGAAGTGCAATTGTAGTGTAGGCTTAAAGTGCACCGAGTGGTTCCCCAACAAGCATGGGTAGGCACTGTGGACAGCGGTGTGACAAATTTACATTTATAAGGAAGTCAATGGCATGGCTAGTGAGGACTGTCGCCTTTCCCCTTTGCTCAAACCCATAGAAATCACTGAATTCTCCTGTTTTGATATGTTGACACCTGCAAAATCCGGCAAACAAGACCACGGGCGGTTCCTCCTCCCTGATTGGTCCGTGCGCAAAAGAATTTCGGCCTCGGACTTTTTCTTTTTCTCTCTCTTTTTTATATTGGAACGTTCTCCTTCCCCCCCTCTTCTTTCAACCAGTTTGATTTAACTCCCGGAGTAGTTGACTACTCGACAGGCGCCATTTTGCGTGGTCGTCTAAAAATTCTGTACCGGAGAACATAATGGACGCATTCAAGCTATTAACCCGGTCCGCCAAGTTCAAGACTGGTGCGGCTTCATCGTCGGCGCAAACTCTCCCTTCCAAGGGCAAGGCCGAGACTCCCCAGCTTTTTCACAATGCCGAAGCCGACAGGCTCGTTGCAGAGCAAAACTCGGGGAAAAAGCGGAAAAGGGGCCTTGTGGGGGATGATGAGCCCCGATCTGAAGATGAAGCGGATCTAGACTTTTTTGGATCCGGGAAAGGCTCCTCGGTAGCTAAAGCGGCAAAGAAGGACCAGGTCGAGTCGTCTCACCAGGATGATGCTTCTGAAGATGAAGAGGACGACTCCATGGATGAAGTGCAGTGCCGAACTATTCTCAATGCGCACAAGATCAAGGTGACGGATTTGCGAGACCTAGAAGAGATTCAGCAGGCGCAAGTACCAACCGAAGAACCCAAGAAAAAGAAGAAGAAGAAGCAGCAGAAAGAGGAAGCATCTCGGACTCTCACGAAGAAGGAGCAAAAGAAGGCTCGCCGACTGTTCCCGCAACCGCTTGTCTCTTTCAAGGAATTGCGTGCCAAGTACAAGATCTCGAGGCGCCTTGCAGAGAACATCGCAGAACAAGGGTTTACTGTTCCTACGGAGGTGCAATTGGGAACCCTCCCTCTGCTACTCGGAGAACCTGCCGCGCCCCAGAAGCCAAAGACGGAAGAAACGGCTGAGCCGGATCTTCTAGTTGTGGCGCCCACTGGAAGCGGCAAAACTCTGTCATTCTTGATTCCTGTCATCAACAAGATCGTTCGACACCATCACGAGCAGCAAGAAGAACGGGGAATTTTCTCCATCGTTGTTGCTCCAACCAAGGAGCTTGCGGGGCAGATTGTCAACGAAGGGCGAAAATTGGTCCAGGGAACCGGCGTGAAGATCACGCTGATGAAGAAGGGAATGCAGGTGGCGGAACGTACGGATGAGCCTGCAAGTGGTACCGATGATGTTTTGAATGAAGACAGCTCAGATGCATCGGAGTCGGAGGACGAAGAAAACACCACGGAAAAGAAGATCAAGAACAAGGCGGCTGTAACCAAGAGCGATATTCTTGTTACAACACCTCTGCTTCTGGTCAATGCACTTACCGAAAACCGAACAAAGCCCTTGGCTTCTCTGCCCCTGGTGAGGAACATCGTGCTGGACGAAGCAGATGTTCTTCTTGATCCTCTCTTCCGCGAACAGACTCTTGATATTTGGCGTGCATGCACGCACCCAGAGCTTCGTGCGAGTCTCTGGTCTGCTACCATGGGGTCAAACATCGAAGATCTTACCAAATCGTTGATTAAAGAGCGTAAAGATGCTTCTGCTCAAACAAAATCTTACCCTTTGATCCGCCTCGTCGTCGGCCTGAAGGATTCCGCAATCCCCAACATTCAACACAAGCTGGTCTACGCTGCAACGGAACAAGGGAAGCTCCTGGGTCTCCGACAGCTGCTTCGTCCCTCGGCAGCGGCAGCCTCCGATGTGCGTCTTCGCCCACCGTTCTTGATTTTCACGCAAACAATCCCCCGAGCTGTGGCATTGCAGTCTGAATTACGTTACGACATTCCTCCTGAGGCTGGTGGCTCTTCTCGGATAGCCGTTCTTCATTCCGAGATGTCGGACGGCCAGCGCTCCGAGATCATGAAGGACTTCCGCAAAGGCGAGATCTGGATCCTAGTCACGACGGACCTTTTGGCTCGTGGAGTTGACTTCCGAGGCATCAACGGTGTCGTTAATTATGATATCCCGAACTCTGCGGCAGTGTACGTCCACCGAGTCGGAAGAACCGGACGAGCTGGTCGCGAAGGTGGCGTTGCAGTCACCTACTACACAAAGGAGGACATTCCCTACGTCAAGAGTATTGCCAACATCATCGATGTTAGTGAGAAACTACGAGGCACCGAAGGCGAAAAGTCCGTCCAAAAATGGCTACTGGATTCTTTACCCGACCTTAGCAAGAAGAGCAAGAAAGAGCTTAAGAAACACGGCGTCAAGGCCAGACAAACGAACACCAACGCTACGGAAGGTGACAAAAAGCACAACCGGACCAAGATCAGTACCAAGAGTGGCTTTGAACGACGGATGGAGAACAAGAAGAAAGGTGCTATCACAGCCAGTCGCAATAGGAAGTCTACAGAAAAGCCTGCTGCAGAGCCTGGTGATAGTGACGGTGGCAGCTGGGATGGCCTGGATGATTAGGGATTCCCGGGTGATGAGTTTCTGACGACACCTAGGGAAGCCACTATTTCCTCGTTATCATTATGTACAGTAGCATTTTGCCAAAAAAAGCTTTTACGATTCCCATTGCCAAAACACAATTGGAATACCCAACGGTCATTAGACATAAATCATGTTTCATCACTCTGCCCTTGTTGCTCTTGTTGAGCCTGCTGCGCTTTTGCTTGCTGAGCAGCCCTCAATTGCTGCGCCGCATAGGCCGCCTGAAGCTGCTTGAATTTCTCCAGCTTCGCCTCTTGTAGATCCAGCACGGCCTGCGGAACCATCGATTTCTTCAGTTTGATCGGCGCAAACGCATTATCCAGTTTCCCCTGTTCTTCGAGCACGCCCTCCAGATCGTCTCGGTCTCGATCAAAGTATATGGCCCACGCCCCGTCCTCTTCCTGCACCGCGACAAATTGCCGGTTGCCTTCCAGCGTGATCGTCGTCTCTTCGTCCGTCCAGTCCCATGGTCCAACAATATGCTCCGCACTCCCCGAGCGGTTTCCGTACTTGAGTTGGTGTGTCTCCTTGTCCGCGTAGATCCAATGCAGTAGAGGCGGGATGTGTGTCACACTGGTGACAAGTCCATACCCTCGGTCCAGGTGTTTCATATGATCCAGCTCGGGGTATTCGATGTAAAACGCTTGCGTGGTATGGGAGGGAGTTGTGCGATTCGATTCTTCGGGATCGTCCAGATAGACCTGCAAGGTTGGTAATGCGCGACAAATCAGCCAGCCGTCTTTTTCTCTCCACACCCTCAACCAAAGAATTTGGATCGCGAAATGTTGTATATCTGGGTAGGATAGTAGACTCGCAATCGCTTACTTTCTCATCCCTCACCACGAACCGTTTCCCATTCACCTCGCTGTCCTCTTGTGTCTCTCCAGCGCTTTCCACGTCGATGTGGAATTTCCGCATGCGCCGCTCGTCTTCCTTGCGCTGGTTGGCTTTGCGCTGTTCGCTGGTGGCCAGCGACACGCCTGTTACCGTTGGGATGGCGGCTATTGTTAATAGACCGATGACCATTGTTTATGATGTCTGGGAGCTGGTCTGGCGGTAATAGTGGTGGGGGAGGGTCAATCGTCGATGGAAGGTGTAGAGGTTGAGATTTTGGCAGAAGAGTATATGAGTGGGCTGGAGTTGTAGATACTGTGATATCTGTAAGTCAATTGCTTGTGAGTACCGTCGAACGGTTTCTTTGTTTCAGCGTGTCTCTTTTGATAAGGTCGAGTAGAGCTGAGCAGAAGAGATGATGGCGGCCGCCGACGTCATCGGACGGGCGCGCCACACGTGAGGTGGAGCGGGTGTTCAGGTGAACTTTTTCTTCTTTGTCACTCGATCGACCTTAACCTCAGAGGTGTTCAGGAACTCCTTTCATATACGCACTAATACAACTACATAGGAAGCTGGACTTTGCTGATAAATGATCCTTCCATGTTCATTCTGAGATCACTACCACCTAGTGCATTTCTAATCTTCTAGTCTATCTATCGCGATATGTTGTATCCCTGATACTCTATCGTCGGTCGTGTATCGTTTATTCTCGTGACTTCGTGGATCCTGTCATGTTTCTGACGGATGGAGGGTGATGAGGACCTGTGATCGACCTAGAGCTTCTCGCTCCACCCCCAGATGGACCACCAACATCGGACTGCCACCGCTCCCCCGTCCGCAGTCTCCCAGTCGTCATACCCGGTCTCTTCCCCCTCGCTGACGACAGCTAGTCCGATATCTGTCATCCGTTGCCGGAACTCCTGTACCTGGGGCAGGTATGCATCCCGCAGCGGCATTTCGACGACGACACGAGCGTCGAGGCCGCGACTGAGCCAGTGACCGATCGTATCGACCAGCCATTTCGGGTGTTTGGGCGAGTACAGAGGATCGGCTGCTAAGATGAGATCGTATTTCTCCTCGGGGGTTGGGAGCGGCTCCGGGTCAACGGACCAATCTAGGACTCCCGTCGTGACTTGTGCATTGGACTTGGTCAGCAGCTCGACATTGAGAGCTGCATTGTGCGCCAGATTGGGAACAATGACGGGAAGATCAGTGAGATGGACGGAAGCGGACTCTCCGTGAATTGCAGCAAAGGCAAGTCCCACGAGTCCAGTCCCCGATCCCAGTTCCAGCGCGCGCAGAGTCCGGTCGGCCTTCGGGATCGTGGCCGTGGACGGGACCAACGGCGGCGTGGACTCTAGAACAGAGTGAAGTCGCTGAGAGAGGAGATATGAGGAGACCCATGTTTTCATCCCCAGGTTATCAGCGGTCAAGGAGGGCTCGTGCAGGGTCAGGGTAAGTTCTTCGCCCGAGGAATTTGGCACAGTGAAGACTCGGGACATGGCAGGCATTGCTATTTGGAAAACCAGGGGTTAGAGCCATCCACAAGAGAGGGAAAAAGCACGGAAATGTCTCCCGCGTACCAGTTCGGCCACACCGCTCACTGAGTCGAGCCGAGGTAGCATCCCAGACTGCCTCTCGCAATTCGTCGGTATCGAGCCATGAAAGCGGACTCGAGATGATCGTTGTGAGATAACGGGTTATGCCGGCCGGGTGAACGCTTCGGACCTTCGCCGCTTCACGAATTTTAGAAGTTGTTCCGAAACTGCGTGGTTTAATCGCTAGGAGGTCAAGGGCTCGTAGAATCTCGGTGCCGGAAGGCTTGGAATGGATCTGGGGCAGGTCGAGCACTGAAGAAGACTTATCAGTTCCTATCGCGCCTATCTATCGTGGATCACACTCAACAGTTTGTGGCACCTACCATGGAGAGGCTCCTCGGGTTCAGCACTGATCATGTTGGGCGAATGTAGCAGAGCAAATGGATAATTGTGGTTAAGTTCCAGAATGGACGCGCCGACAGGACCAGGTCTTCTCTTATCTTGCCTGATAAAAAAAGGCCGAGCCTGTGGCAAACGGCAAACGGCAAAAATGGGGGATGTCCGGCCCCAGGCACCAAAAAAAAAGTCGTGATCGCCCAAAGAGGAAAGGCCTGCGGGCAAATGTTCCGCGGCTCGGATCCGCTCCGGCCTAAAGTTATCTTTTTCGTTCCCTTTTCCTTCTATTTCATGGATGACGGGGCAAGAAATAAGAAAGAGTATCACAAAAAGACAAGGACCCCTGGTTGCTCGACGACAACGCTATCAACGCCGGTTCCCCGCATTAACCAACTACAATATGATAGATCGGAACGATTTCACCCTAATGTGGATTTGAACCCTTGATATGCCTGCTCGATATCAAACGCCAATTCTCTGGCTTGTTCTTCGCTCAACTCTTCCGTCGCACGCATTTGGTTCAAGGCGATCAGCCACTGGATGATCTTTCCTCGGTTCTCAAAGTCCCCATCAGTCACCTTATTGACCGATTGGATGACTTCCGAGAGCAGGGGGTGCAAGGCATCTTTGGAGACCATGTTCAGTTTTAGCGCATCTAAGAATGTGATGAAGTTCTCCGTGGCCGTTAAAATCAGACTGCCCGAGGCGCCCGCCGCAGGACCAGCTGCTGCAGAGCCCAGGTTGGCTGCCGGTGTAGAGTGGGAGGCTTGTTCGACCGTCGCGGGGAGACCAATACGTAGACGTTCTGTCGCACGAGGGCATTCCAGCTAGATCGGAGAAACAGAGGTTAAATCACAAGATTTGCCATAATTCACAGGGATAGTACTCACGCCCCACGTCCGCTTGAACGTTTCCAGATCGACAAACTCCCTCGCGACTGTATCATCACCCAAACTAGACTTGTACTGCTTTAGTAGGCGAGTGCATGTTTCCGTGTACTCGACTTCTGTCACGACATCTTTAATGTAGGCCTTCTCTAGGCCATCCAGAGTCACGATAATACTGTATATCTCGGCTAAGGATTCGTAAAGATCGCGCTCCGCAGAGCTCGAGGCGAGTTTGACTTCCTGGCGAGGACGCAGTTAGCCCAGCTGCCTACCAACCAGGCCGGACACTCCGTCGTACCTCATCGAGATTGATAGACGCTGACAGCGCCGGATTAGGGGTGTAGCTATATGGTGTAGGCGCATACGCCAGAGGACGCTGAGCATACATGACGAGGACTTATCGAGGACAGAGACCACAATCGGTATTCTGGATTATATGGATTGAACAGTTGGAGTACATTCCATGACGGGGAATCTGAGGGGAAATGAAAGGCGGTGACCGATTTCAGCCGGTCGGCACCGCCATTTTCTGCCCCGTCAATCTTCCCGAATTTTTTTTTCCTAAAAAAAACTTTCACCTAGTGGAAGCTTTCTTTGGAATTCATTTCCACTCCATTTTCATTGTTCCTTATAATCCATCCCAATCCATACCGTCGGATCGGGAACCTTTGGCACAATGGCTGGAGGTCAAAAGAAATCGACCAAAAAGTTCGAGAAGAAGCATCTGAAGGATGTGCTCGAACGTCGGAAATCGTTTGCGAAGATCAAGCAGCGCAATCACCTCAAAGATAAGCGCAAGGCTGACAATGCCAAAGTGAGAGCGGAGGCGGAGGAGGGCGACGAGGAGGGTCGCGAGCAGGAGAAGAAGAAGCAGAACGCCTTCGCGGAAATGAACGTGGACGACTTCTTTTCCGGCGGATTCGACATTGCAGACTCCGATGCTGGCAAGGGCAAGAAAAAGGCACAGAAGAAGGATGTCACCCCGAAGATTGGGAAGCGCAAGCGATCGGAAGAGCAGAAGGATGATGAAGAAGCCTCTGAGGATTCCAGTAGCGAGGAAGAAGACGGGCCGGCTGCTCAAAGCGACGACGACGAGGGATCCGATGCCAGCGGAGCGGACGACTTTGAGGCGCACAAGGGCCAGCTGGAAGCTCTGAAGGAAAAGGACCCGGAGTTCTACAAGTACCTGCAAGAAAACGATTCGGAACTGCTTGATTTCGGTGATCACGGGGACCTGGCGGAAGTCGACGAGCTGAGTGAAGAGGAGGATGAAGGCCCCGCCAAGAAGAAGAAGAAGGCCCAGAAGGACGAAGAGGAAGAAACAACGAGCAATACGATAACAATCGCAATGGTCAAGAAGTGGCAGAAATTGATGGAAGAACAGAACTCTATCCGGGCAATGCGACAAGCCGTTCTTGCTTTCCGTGCTGCGGCCTACGTGAACGAAGTGGAAGCCCAAGAGCAAAAATACTCGATCTCGGACCCGGAAGTGTACCACCGGGTTCTTGTCACAGCTCTCAGCAATATTCCGAAGGTCCTTTCGCATCATCTTCCGGTCAAGGAGACCGCGTCCGGCAAAGTCAAGCTGTCTCTCGATTCGAAGAAGTTCAAGACCCTCACGCCTCTCATCAAGTCGCACACCTCCTCCGTCCATCAGCTGCTCACGAATCTGTCCGATGAATCGACTCTCAAACTGACTCTCTCTTCCGTCGAGCCTATGCTTCCCTATCTCCTCCAGTTCCGGAAGCTCCTCAAGGTTCTTGTGAAGACGATCGTCGCAATCTGGGCTGACGTCGCTACCGCGGAAGCCACTCGTATCACAGCATTCCTTCTGCTGCGGCGATTGATGGTGATTGGCGATTCTGGGCTGAAGGAGTCTGTCCTCAAGGCCTCCTACGAGGGCGTTGTGAAGGGCAGCCGAAACACCACTGTGCACACTCTCCCCGGTGTGAACCTGATGAAGAACTCGGCTGCCGAGCTCTGGGGCATCGACCAGAATGTCTCCTACACCGCAGGCTTCAACTTCATCCGCCAACTCGCTATTCACCTCCGCAGCAGCATCACCAACACCTCCAAGGAGTCCTACAAGACCATCTACAACTGGCAATACGTCCACTCGCTCGACTTCTGGTCCCGTGTCCTCTCCCAGCATTGCGATGGCCTCGTCGAGGCCAAGGCCGGCAAGCAGTCCGCTATGCGTCCTCTCATCTACCCCGTTGTCCAGATCACCATCGGTGCGATGCGCCTCATTCCCACGGCGCAATACCTCCCCCTTCGTTTCCAGATGATCCGATCTCTCCTCCGTCTCTCCCGATCCACGGGAACCTACATTCCCCTCGCCTCCGCGCTCGTCGAGGTTCTCAACCTCGCCGAGATGCGCAAGCCCCCTAAATCCAGCACTCTCAAACAACTCGACTTCAACACGACGATCCGCACGCCGAAATCCTACCTCCGCACGCGCGTTTACCAAGACGGCGTCGGCGAGCAAGTTGCCGAGCTCCTCTCCGAGTTCTTCGTTCTATGGACCAAGCACATCGCTTTCCCCGAACTCTCTGTTCCGGTCGTCGTCTCCCTGAAGCGCTGGCTGAAACAGGCCAGCTCGCGCTCCGGCGGCAACAAGAACGCCAAGGTCAACCAGAACATCCTGCTTCTGGTGCAGAAGGTCGAGACCAACGCCAAGTGGATCGAGCAGCGCCGACTCAGCGTCACGTATACCCCCCGAAGCCGGGCGGAGGTGGAGACCTTCCTGAAGGACGTGGACTGGGAGGCGACCCCGCTGGGCGCGTTCGTCAAGTCGCAGCGGAAAATGCGTGAGGAGCGAGCCATCCTCATGGAGCAATCACGACGTGAGGAAGAGAAGCGGAGAGCCGAGGATAAGGAAGCCGACAAGGACGTGTACATGGATGAGGGTGCGGTTAGTGCTGACGACGACGATGATGAAAGTGACGGCGAGGAGGATGGCGAGGATGCGGATTCCTCCGGCGACGAGAACGAGGAAGAGGAGGAGGAGGAGGAAGAAGAAGATGAAGACGAGGACGAAATCGAGATGGAAGACGAGTAAACTCACTCATCTGTCTGTCTCTACTCTATTCTACTATTTTCCTCTTTTGCATGTACTATCGGTATCTGATTCCCTGTACCTTGGTCCCAGTGATAGCTATGTGGGACATGAGTTCTATTTCCCTTTGTTCGTACCAATACAAAAGTTTAACTTGGAAAGGCTACAAATCAAACAATGTCGGTATAGAATCCGCTTTAGGATGCAAGACGCATAAATGCAACGGCCATAAATCAAACCGAGAAAAACACATATAAACTACTATCACTAACGATCCATAACTAACACAAAATTCACATCAAGACAGAACTTGCAAGTAATTTCAAAAAGGAAACAGAAACGATAGAATAAGCAAGAGAGCAAAAACTTTTCTTATGTGCAATGGTTGCACAGGAACTATGCGAACCAACAATAATCACACCGGAAGAACAGAAACCTGATTCCCTTTGTAGCACAAGGTGAGACGGGAAAAGGTACTCAACGGGCTGGGTTACACAGCTCCCATGGGCATCTTCTCGACGCCCCAAGTACGCGATTGTTCACGCCGCAGAGCAGCGTCTTCTTCTTCGGCCCAGGCAAGGTTTTCGTTGGGCAGCATGATTGCACGGTCGATTGCAACGGGAAGACCACGGTGCCGACCACGAATGGTGACAGCCGCAAGGATCAGCTTGCTGATGGGATGGCACACGCCAACAAAGGAGGCATTAGTGCCGGGGTAGCCAACGCTGACACCGACGCAGCCGTAAGCGGTAACAGTCTCGAACAGGATATTGAATGTCGAGTAGCCCACGGGATCGCGCTTGAAGTTGGACGACTCGGCGATGGCAATGAAAAGCACAGCAAGAGCGATCCACCAAATATCGTGGCTGAGCTGGGACCGCAACTGCTGGTGGACAAAATAGCTGCGAGATGACTCTTTGGGATACGCGCCCTCTCGACCGAGTAGTCGGTGCCTGACCAGATCAATGACTGCACTGGAATAAGTGCGAGACTCGGACGCTTCGTGCGGCTCATCGTTGGCGTAAACTCCGAGAGAACGTTCTTCGTATACGTTCGTGTTTCTTGGGTAATATTAGCAAAACTCGGTAATAACTCCAGGAGAAGTGTAACGAACCTGATAGTCACCAGGACAGGGTATGCCGACACATACTGCATGGCTGGTTAGTAAAAGGCAAGACATGAAAACAAGGACAAGTTTGTAGCAAGTTAGGCAGGTAACACTAACCATCATGAGAACTAGCGAATTTCAAAGTTAGTTAAGCCCGTATGATAAGTCAGATAGATGTATTTCCTTACCATATAAAACAAGCAGGCCCTGGCGAAGGTCGGCAATAGTGACCACGTAGAATCCTCCAGCACGTACAGCTTCGAATCGACGTATATTAGCAGAAGATAATGTGGCCTAGTAGCGAGAACGTACCTAAGGCTTGGAATAGTCCATCCAAGATTCGATAGCCCGTCGGTAATGCCTCAATCTCTTGATTGCCGATTGCGAGCAGTTCAAACATCGCCCAGTCGATGCCGTTCAAGAAAATGATAGTTCCCAACAGGTACCATGTGTGTCGAGCGGGGAAAAGATTTGTATATACCTGGCACGTGGTTAGTATGAACTTTACGTGTACGAACTCGTTCCACCTACTCTTCGAGGGTGATCCAAAATGAAATCCAGGGTAACTTTCCATGTTTCCCAATCTGGGCGGTTGGGAATCAGCCGCCTCATGGTCCAGATGATGAATCTCAGGAAACAGGGATAAAGTGTATTGCCGGCCAGGATCAACATCCCCATGGTGATCAGCGGATAGGCGCTAGAGACGGGTCAGCGAAGCTTTTAGGGGTGAAGGTTTCGAGGCTAGTGAGGGTACCTTGTTTGCAGAGCGGTCATGTTGGCATCCAAAAGAGACATGCCACTGTTCACAAATGCCGATACGGCGAAAAACGCCCCGGTCCAGAATGGAGACAAGCCATTCTCGCGGGCGATATTCGGATGGTTTGCTTCTAGCCAACCCCCCATTCCGATAATGCCCAAAAGCATAAACAACAACCAGTAGAGAAAAACGATGACCGACAAGAAAGAAACAGCTCGATATTCCACACCGCCGAGCTTCTCCCGTTCTTCGGGTGACAGGCCGTGGAACTGAGAGTTCCGGGAGATAAGGCCTTTGGACACAAAGTATTTCTGCGTCCCTTGCAGCATACCCTTGAAACGGGAGACCTCGTCCTCTTCATCATTGGCCAAAGGCAGGCTTGGGGGAACATCTCTGGGGTGATTATTCAAGTCTGGTCGAGCTCCAATGCCCACCATTGGAAACATCCGATGAGGATGGTGGTGCGAGCGTGGTCGCAATTGGCCGAGGGTAATCTGATCGTCATCCATCCAGCGAATACGGTCGTCGTTTTCCGGGTTGGCGGAAGCTTCTATAGAGACGGTGCCGGTCATTGCAGGGACTTTGGTGTCGTGAGATTTCAAGGCCGCTAATTGCTGGCGATGCTCATTGCCAATTGCATCGTTCGGTCTAGCTGGGTCGGTCGAGAACGATCGACGAAATAGGCTTTTCTGTGCCCGTTCCTTTGAAATGCCTTGAAACTTTAACTCAAAGGCTCTCTTCCTGACAAAAAGAACAGTGCATGATATGGGAATAGCATGTCCCAGGAAAAGGAGCACGAAAAGAATGCTTTGTTGAAAGGAGTTTAGTGAAGATAAGTCCACCTAGAAAACAAAGGGTCAGCTAAAAGCTCTCTCGCCTGTGCAGCGCAAATCTTACAGTGTTTAGACCAGCCCCCGTCATGGCACTGACGCACATGAACAGGGCATCAACGTATGCAACACTGCGAGACGGAGTTGCAGACCCCCAGAATATCGCGCTGCATATCAACGGCGTCACGAGAAAATAGGCATAGTGGAGGGTGATAAAATTGAATGGGGGCAGTAACGCCATCAGGCATTGAGCAAGCGGCCGAAATCGGCCTTGTTGAACTATAAGAACGGAATTAATAGCTGCGCAAGAGTCCGGAGTCTTCATGGTTTTTCTAGCAAGGGACACTCCAAAAGAGAGCTGACAAGAATGTAGAAGTAAGGGGGAGGGCTATATGTACCCGTCATTTTCAATGCAGATGGTCCCAACGATATGGGCCGAGCGATATAAAAATCACAGTTCCAGTAAGGTTCGAGCCTATGGAAAGGCTACAGGGGGGTGGGAGGTATCGGAGAATAGAGAGTGCAGAATCATGGAATTATCGACGATGATAAAGTGGGTGACCGGGGCAGCACACCGCTACCCGCAGGGATTTTGGAAAAAATGGAATGTTCTTAATCTCGATCTTGTCCTATGGTTCATTGTTCGAAGTAGGTGGAATCTGCGATTTAGAGTGGCGGGTTTAAACCAGAGAGAAGGTTGTTGCTGGGTTGGTGGAAATATAGAGCGTAGAATGTGAATACTGCTGGGATAGTCGATAAGGCGAGCTAGTTGCATGAATAATGTGGTGGGAATGTGGAAGGTTGTTTGTTCGGTTTCCTTTGCGAAGATTTGGCTGGGATTAACGGACAACAAGCGTGTGTTATTCCATTTCAACGGTTTGCTCAATGTAAAGATGATAGACTGGATTGAAGAATTGTTGCGGAAAATGAAGGAGAAGAAAGGAAGAACAGGGAAAAAAAGAGAAAAGGGCAAAAAAGGGAAAAGAAAAGTCGCGGCACGGCAGCGGTGGAGCAGAACCGAACCGAGTCATGAACAACGGCGGCCGATCCGCTTAGCGCTGTTCTTGACTTTTCTCCCGTAAGGCTGGCACTTCTGCACTTCTGCACTTCTGCACGTTATGATATATTATATAGCTGAATACATACATTCATGATCTCTCCGATTCCACCTCCTTCGTTCGAATCCAATGTCCACTCTTGCCTCCTTTCTTTTCTAAGAGCTGCACGCCGCCCACCACCATCCCTTTGTCCACAGCTTTGAGCATGTCGTACACGGTCAGCGCAGCCCCCATAGTCGCAGTCATGGCTTCCATTTCCACTCCCGTTCGACCAAGACAGCTCACCGTCGCCACGACTCGCATTGCCCCGTGTTTCGTCGACTTGTCCGCTCCTCTCTCAGACGGCAAGGGGTCAACTAACTTGACGTCTACCTCAACACCCGTGATCCCGATACCTGGATGACATAACGGAATGATATCTGGGGTCTTCTTGGCCGCCATGATCCCGGCAATGCGAGCAACGCTAAACACGTCTCCTTTTCGAGTCCCCCGGCCCTCCCGAAGCAATTCCCATGGGCGGGGGTTGGAGAAGCTCACTACGCAGCTGGCAGTCGCAACTCTTTCCGTAACTGGCTTTGTACTGATCTTGGTCATATGAACATTCTGTGAAGGTGTAAGATGAGGCAGGTCCGGATCAGATGCAGTAGAAAGAGAGGTCGGATCTGCCTCCCTCGTATTCTGATCACCCGTTTCGGTTGTAACTGGAGTCTCGCGGCTGCCATGATAAGCACGAATCTGCGTTGCGCTCGATGTACCGGGTTGGATCATGTATGTTGGAAAGTTGCTCCAAGGCGTGCCCCGCGATAGCATCGTTGAGTGTCCGTACGAAAACGTCGATCTTGTAGGGCTTCCCATGCGCTCGTTATCTAATCCCATCTATCAGTATACCCGAGAGTAATGAACGGCACGCATTGCAAGTACAACCAGACCAAAGCTTAGCAGAGTCAATGCCTACTTATAGTCTAGAAAACTGAATCCGTTCCATTGAATGCATAGATGTCATCATTCGTAACGTTTGTTCGCCTGAAACCATTGCAGTAAAATAGGGTTGCGCCTACCCACCAATGAGTATCATGGGCCTATTCTTCATATTCTCCAGTTTGCCGATGCCAGCATGCTTTGCCTTCTTCCGTTTGACCGCCATGCCAATGATGTCCAATAGTTCTTGCTCTCTCTGATTAACCAGGCTGCCCTCCTCGCCAAGAGCCACCAGCTCGGCGGCTTCAAGGAGTCGCAACTCTTTCACTGTTGTCTCGTCAATCGGTTCCCCGTTGTTTTCCTTGCGGATAATGTCGCGCAATGACACTTCGGCGTTACCAAACAAACATACTTTCAGGTTCCCATCGCAAGTGATACGAAGTCGATTGCAGGTGCCGCAAAAATTGTGTGTCATGCTAGTGATAAACCCAATCCGGCCTTCAAATCCCGCAACTTGGTATGTTTTGCTGGTGTCGTTTTTGTGATCGGCCACCTTCTCCAATGCTGGGTATTTTTCGCGGATGATTGCCAGCATTTCCTGATACGAAACCATCTTTTGCTGGTTCCACTTATTGCCATCGAAAGGCATATATTCAATGAAGCGTACTTCAATGGGGCTTTCACGCCCCATTTCAACGAATGGGAGGATCTCCCGATCATTTAATCCGCGCATCACGACGCAGTTGATCTTCAGTTTAATTCCCGCGCCCATCTTGTTCAGTTCCAAGATCTTATCGATGCTCTTCATTACGGCATCGAGGCCCTTCCTCCTTGTCATCAACTGGAACTGGAACGGGTCCAAAGTGTCAAGACTGAGGTTTACGCCCGTCAGTCCAGCCTCCACCATGGGCTCGAGCTTGCGATGTAGCGATATCCCATTAGTCGTCAGACAGAGCTCCCGAAGACCATTGCGCCGCAGGTCCCCTATCGATTGCATTAAAGGGACGATGTCTTTCCGGACTGTTGGCTCTCCGCCGGTCAAGCGGATTTTCGTCACACCTTGCGAGACGAAGAGGGACGAGAGATAGACAATCTCGGGGGAGGTGAGAAGACGAGCTGGCGGGGAAAGCTGCACCCCTTCCTCCGGCATACAGTATAGGCAACGCAGGTTACAGCGCTCAGTGACGCTGATTCGTAGGTAATCATGTTGGCGGTTAAAGGTATCCGTTAGAAACTCGGAGAACGGCTTTGCGGTTTTTAGAGCAGTCCAGCGCGAAGACGCGGGCTTTGGAGTGGCGTCGGGGTTCGGAAAGTATGCGGCCGAGGCACTTTGAGTATCATCGTTCTCAAGCTTCCTAGTCGTCGAGCTCGTGCCATGGGGTCGAAGGAGCGAAGGCGTTCGTTTCCCACCGAGCGACGTTCGGACAGTAGAGTTGCGGGGAAACCTGACCGGTGAGAAGAGCGAGGGCACGAACCGCCCTCTGGGCAACATGAAATCAGTCATTCTCAGCAAAACCTCTGCTCAACGGGGCCAGCGCAGAGCTGCTTCCTGCATTCCCCAAGTGAACATGGGGTCGAAGTAGTATATATAAGAGAGGGTAGCGTAGGAAAAGCTTAGGAAGGGATGGAGAAAGAGAGAGGAGAGAGATAGCACAGGCTTATCAATCCCCGCCCGCGGAGTGGAGATGACTCATCCGTGCAGATCCGTTAGGTAATGCCTTGATGTTAACTATACATCACTATCATCCTCCATGGACTTCACAGGCAATCCTTGTTGATTCATCGAACTTTCAATTAGGATGGCTATGATATACTCCGCCCAAGACAGCAAATGGCAGAGGTGGAGGAAACACCGTGGTTTCGTCTCGGATCCTAAGATGCCAGTCTATCCTTATGTGGGCATCATCTTCTGAACTCTCTTTACAAGGCTTTGTTCAAACTGCTCGACTCCTCTCGGCTGCTCCTGGAGTTTTCCTGCCCTCAGAGCATATACCACTCGTCGTCTGCTGTGCTCCTCTTCAGTCTGTCCCTCTACGCCTTCAAAAGCGTCATCCAACGTATGCTCTGTGTCTCGCTTTCCCTCTATCACGGAGCGCACCAGAAATCGGTCGTGGGAAATCAGAAGGATAGCACCGCTGAAAGTTGACAGTGCAGATGCAAGAGCTGTAACGGTGTAAAAATCTAGATGGGTGGTTATTTCGTCCAGGATGAGTAGATGTGGTGAGTTCCAGATCACCCTCGCCAACGACAAGCGTACCTATGAGATGGCGAGTTAGCGATTGTCAATAGACAATAGCTTTCCTGGAATACTCACAAGCTGTCCTCCCGATAACCGGGATATCGGCACGTCCGAAACTATTCTCCCCTGGAGTCCAAGGGTTGCCAGCAAACCTCTGGCTTCGCCTTCATTCAATTGACCGTCAGCTTCTTTCAGTATCACGCTCAAGGCCGTTGCGGTAGGATTTGCTTGGCCCTCCTCTTGGAGATCTTCTATCGAATGCTGTGCGTAGTAGCCAAGTTTCAGCCGCGAATGGTTCGAGATCTTCCCTTGACTTGGGACCATGTTTCCCGTCAGCAGGCGAACCAGTGTTGACTTGCCACATCCATTCAGACCCATGATGCCAATCCGATCACCCATATGTATCACAAGGTCGATCCCATTCAACACAGGAGATTCATTTAGTTTATACCGAAACATAACTCCTTCCGAGGAAATCAGAGGTCCTGGGAATCGCAACTCGCTAGCATCAGGTATTGTCATCGAAGCACCCTTTTCATCTTGGGGGACTTCAATCTCGGCCCGAGAAGACAAATGGTAACCGACAAGATCACGATTCAGTTTGAACCGACCGCCGTTTGCGTTGACTTGCAAGCCCATGCGGTCATCGACTTTCTTTTGCCGCGACTTAGCCATGCGCAGCTTGTTATCATCGTTGGTCTTCTTTCCGACCTTCATAGTTTCGCGGATAGTAGCTTCCATGTGAGCAATTTGACGCTCTTGCGCTTCCTTCATGCGACCCCAGTACAATTTCTGCTCCTCAAAGTCTTTCTCGTACGCTGTGAGATTACCTTTGAAATAAGACAGTTTTTGATCCCTTATCATGACAATTTCTTCGCAAACGGCATTCACAAAGTCCCTGTCATGAGAAACGAGAACCATGGTGGTTGGGGAGCTTTCACGCATCTGTCGGAGATAATTTTCCAACCATACTACCCCCAACAAATCTAGGAAATTTGTCGGCTCATCCAAGATCATGATATCTGGGTTCTGGGTTAAGACGCTCGCCAGCATGCAGCGCATACGCCAACCACCGGATAGAGTCAGGAATGGCTTGGTCAATGCAGATTCTTGAAAGCCTAGACCTATCAATATCTGGCGAGCGTGTTGCTCCGCATCTACCAAGTTCATCTGAATAGGTCAGATTCAATGACAATCAGCCGGGGTGCTCGTGTTTCACTCACAGCCTCAAATTGGGACTGCAAATCTTGCAGGGTCTCGACCGCTGCCTGTGTATCTTTCTTTATTGCTTCGGCCTCAATAGATTCTTTTTCCTCTTGTACTCTGAAAAAGTCAGAGCGACTCCTGCGAGGCTGGAAAGACAGGACACCTACAACTTGATCGATTCTTCGTGCTTTGATTCCATTAATTTCAAATCTTTTCGCGCCTGTAGGCCCCTAGCTCCACTCTTCAAACTCGCATTCTTCTGGGCTAGAAACAGTCTCTTCTCAGTCGTGTCATGCTGAACTCTGCGAATAGCATGAACTGGCTGTAAGGGATCGTCTGTCTCGAAGCTTTTGGAAAGCACTAACGATACCGGTCTATTAGACATGCGATGAACAGACCTTCAAAGAACCAGACTTACAATCGATATTTCGGACGAGTTCATTTTTATGTTGATCACTGCTCATGACATACTCCAGCACGGTCTTATCTCTATTCTCCTCCTCCCCGCTCTGAAGGCTTCCTTGGACCGTGGAATCAGTCTGTTGCAGTATTGCTATGCGAGTGGGATGCGGAATGCCCGGAACAAGCTTATCAGCCATCGCTCGAAGCAATGCTTCAACTCCCGTTAGCCAATTCCTTTTATCACATTAAGCAGGGCTGTGGCTACTTGATTTCCCGGTTCCGTTCCGGCCTATCAACCCATAGTGCACACCTGCCTTGAGGCGTAGATGTCCGTCCGCAATGAGCTCCCTGGCTTCGGATTTCGATTTCGCTTTTCCTTTGACCCTGGACTTCGCGGGATCGTCGGTCGTATCTCGGGCAGACGAAACTGCGATGGTGAGTCCTTCGACATCGATCTGCGAAGATCGACGAGAATGAGTAAGCATCATAAATGGAGCCGACAACATGTTAGAAAAGAAATTTTACCTCCTGCGATGGCCTATCATCCAGTAGATGAAACCGAGTTTGCTTGCAAGTCGCAATAATCGATGTAGTCATGATGGTATGATGTGGAGTTGAATTGGTCTCAAATCTCAAATCGTCAATAAGGGATAAGATGAATAGAGTGTTATGAAAGCCGCTACATGCTCATAGCAATAAAATATTAATAGCAGTTGCCTTGCCCCTTTCTTTCTATAAGAATCTTCAGATCGGAAAGCACCATTATGGAACTCTTCAAGGTGCCTTCAGACCGACCAATCAAGGCACCCTTCAAGCATTCGACTCATTAAGCGAACTGCACCCTGAAATTTTAATGATAATATCCCCACAAGGGATATTGAGTCACTGCCCATCGCGATCAACCAAATGAATGTGTTAACTGCTACATTGGAGGCGTCGGGGTCCCAAAGAGGAATAGCCGAGACTCGGTACTGGCCTGAGGAATCAAGGCTCGTGTTGAAGGCCAACGTCTCTGGGAGAACCAAGACATCCGACCGGGTTTTATTGGGATTGGCGTGACCGTGACTCATTGGTGACTCATGACATATTCCGGGAATTATATCCGAGCGATCCTTCTGCTAGGGAAGTTTTACCAACAAGTCGGGTTGTCCATATGATATATCCTGGCTGTCTTGGCCGGCAGTATATACTGCGCACAGCAGCAACAACATTCACAGTGTTTAGGAAGCTCTATTTTGCTGCATTAATTGAATCGAAAAGTACTATATACGTCTTTGGAACAAGTTGACTATCTTCTACGGCTTTCCAGTTCTGTTGAGGGATTTCAGCCATCTATTTCGGATCTCCCAGAGTCGTCGAACCAAGTGCTCAATCACTCGTTCAGCACAAGAAATCATTCTTTGAACTTTTCAACTGCTGAGGACCCTCCAGGATGTCTATGCATGAGGTTGAACAACAACTATCAGTGCCATAGTGCCAGGAAACTTTCGCTGCCATAGTGACAGGCCAGGAAATCTCACCTCAATTGAAACAGGAATAAGGCGGAGGTCCAACCTTAGATTTCCGACAACATATGATGACCAAGGAACTGAAATGAAGGCAACCAAAAGCACCCTTTCCTTTTGTTGAATAAGTGCAAGGATGCTGATATATAGGCGACCGTTGTCAACATCCCGAAGCATGGTATAGAAGAGCCACAGCCTAGACCAGCCATCTACAATCGAATCCTGGGGTTGTGAGTCTTCATCTAGCCTATCGACAGGGTGAGAATAGTACCCTACCTGTCGATACTCCGCGAATAATTGCAAGCCAACACCGTTGACATGGTCATAGATTACCAGATCCAGTCAAGCGCATCGCAAACCACGGGAGGAGCTCCATTTGACTTCAACGTGGCGATTGACCGTCAATGGATAACAATGAAACAGAGTTGACCATGTGCGATAGCTTGCAGAGCTCCGAGGTATAATTGGCTCGTTGTGTCGTTTTTGCGTTAGATATCGACGTCAATACGACACCATCATGACCTCAACCCCCGCATTTCAACTTTATATAAACGTGTCGACCTCGGACCTCCCAACGTCTTTGGGAATTTGTTTTATTATCAGATCAGAAGAACTGAAGTTCTAGTCTTCCCAGACATTTTTGATTTTCGGATAACTCTAGTACATTTTGATCAAGATGACTTCGAGGTTCAATCGCGAAAAATTCTCTAATCGCGCAACCGTCAAGGTTCCCGAAGACACTGCTGCACAGGACATCCAGAACGATCAACAGGAATCCTTTACCAACTTGGAATCTAAGGCACAGGTGCGGTGAAGCTGAGTACACCATAATGGCCCATTTGAGACTGACCACAACTTCCCAGCGCGAACCTGCCTCGCAGGGCACTCAGGCCTCAAGTGGAAGCGCCCAACCCTTGACTTGGGCGGCCCCTGAAACCGCCGAACGGCGTGGTACCAGATACTCGCTCACCCATGACGACCTGGTCGATCCGGACGAGTAAAGCAGGGGGCGTGAAAGATACCTTTTCACGATGTATGACGATATGATATGATTTCAAGGGTTTGTTGAAGTTGGGTCGACATGTCTTCCGTATTGCCAAATCTGCTGTATAATATTGATCTATGGGATATGAAGTAAGTAGCCGGAGAAATTGTGTTGTCATCCATGTGCATAAATGATTATTGCAACACATGACCTCGCGAAAGGTTCTACGTAGACGAGCCAGCATGACTGCCCGTAGTCTGTCTTAGCACTGCATGTTGCATGTATGAATGTGCACCATCGCCGGGACAACATGGGGAACACAAGCCCTACACCGTATGCCGAACGGCCACCGCTGGTTTTCTTCTTTGCTTTTTTCGACAATGTTTTGTGTTCACAGTTTGAACATGCCATACCTTATCCCGCTTGGCCGGCAGATACTGCGCGACAAATAAAGTTTGGGGTTCATCGCCACAATGGCACTTCTACTTTTAGTCGTTCTCGACGGGCGATGACCTATCAAAAGCGGTTGCATGCACAAAACCAGGCAACCACAATAAATAAATACCTAAAATACCTAAAATAGCTTAATAGGTGAGGTGGTCTTCAAACTGCCGAGACGATTTGAGGCAGTATTACTACTAGTCCCCCATAGTCAGTGTGACTAGCGAGTTTCGCCGGGTTAAGAATTTGCCTCCGTCTGCTGCAATGTATCAGAAACATAGTTCTTGTGGCATGCACACGATGGCCACGGCGGTGTCTTCACTCTTCAGGTCATGCGGGCCCGGGGAATAGTGCTGAAATGGTCCACGATCCGTGTACATTTCCCTTTGCGGAGCGTTCTGACTGAGCTAAAATCCTCGAACGACCGGGGAGGCAAAATGAAGCTGCTAGTAACTATCTCGGGAATACTGGCTTGCACGGAGTACAGAATGGAACGTGATCATTCAATTCAAGTTGTTGCCCCCCCACCATCTCCCTATAGTAAAACAGATCTTGAGGCGAATCTGAAATCTGCCCATTCCTTACCGGTGGTTTGAGAAGTGTCACACGCTGCTACCTAGAGATCAATGATACTGATCAGATTCGGGAGCAGATCTGAAGATCAAGCATTGCCGACCTCAATGAATAATTAAGGTCTTTCCCGCTTTCCAAAGGATTGGTAGACCAAGCTTTTTTCTTCTGGGTTTTCTGGCGAATACCACCGGAGAAACCACGGAATAAAATTTGGTAGTAGGGAGTAGTGCAAGGGAACTAGGCTTAGACATTTGGGAGGAGATACTTTATTAGCCTTAACGGACATCTTCCGATCACCGGCTCGTCTCGAAGCCTTCTAGTCTGGTTTAGCCTGATTTACCGGAGGCCTGTGAGGCGCGAACAAGGACCTTTTTTGGGACATGGCTGAGTACGGAGCAGATCTTAGAACGACGCCTTTTTTAAACCGTTTCTTTTGTTGGGAGGGCATACGGAGTAGGTCAGAGAGTCCTGGATACATCACTGGGCTGTAAGTGGAGTACCATACTCGGTACTGCGGATAGCCCATCATGTTTTGAGCACGGATTGACCTCAAGAGTTCTAGACTTGTATATCTGTCGGCTACCGGATCCAATGCCCGTGAGAACGTGGTACAGTACAAGTCCAGCCCTCACCAGGCTACAAAGATCCCAAGTCTTCTTCGCTCAGCTTACGCGGTAACGGAGGATTCTAGCTCCGTTGATGAGCTGGAATTGGCCGGGGGCTTTGCTATATCGTGTCCAAAGGACGCTGACTGCACGGAGGAAGCCAGAAATGGAGACTTCGTCCGTTGTCGTTTTTATCCATCGTTTCAAGGCGACCGAGAGGCGCAGTGGGACATGTAAACTGCGTACTCTCGAGGATAGGTCAAGGCTATTCCGGGGCGTACAGTATGTCTCGTTAGAGCACAACGATCGAATGATGTATAGGCCTACTGCATCCGTGCTACTGAGTAGTGATACAGAGTACTCTTTTGCCGCTCATGCTAACCCTTGAAAGTGGCGTTCTTGCAGGGCTCTGAAGCCTCTGATACTGATAGCCGTTATCGGCAGCCCATGACCCAAGGCCAGGGGGAATATTGCGGAATACTAAATTAGCGTAGGCGACCGCGGCAACTTAAAGAGCGATTTTCAGGTGAACGGAGACCGGCGTAAGGGCTTGGCTATCGGACTAGCAGCCAATGAAGAGACCAACGAGGCCGAATGGTCGACCAAGTTTCAGAGTCGCAAGACCCCCTAGACTGGAAAAGGGGAAGCATGAGAGGCTGTGCCGTTGAGCGGGGATCCTCAGGTAAGCGCCAAGCTTTGTTTGCGGTGGTGATGGCGTTACCCACCCATGTCCACCCGGAATCCACCCGGCGTGAGAAGGATTGAGGCAGATGGAACTGGACGGTGGGCTGAAGTTGCAAAAAAAAGGTCGAGACTCGAGACTCGAGACTCGAGAAAATCCACCCACCTGGGCTGTTGTCCTTCTAGAACGCCGTGATTTGTGCTGCGTACTGAGTAGGGCCGCAGGTCTCTGGTACACAGTATGAAACGTTGGTATGAGGGCTAGACGAGCGTCCTATCCACGGTCACGAATCACAATGGACTCACCTGGACATTCCACTGATCAAAGTACTCCGTACTGAGTATGTGCATACTCCGTACTGGTCTGTCTGGAGAGTCCCCTTGAAGCGACCACATGTGGGCACCTTTTCATTCTTGTTGGCCGAGTCGAAATTCCACAGGCACAACAATACCACTTTGCGGACATTTGATTGGCCAGTCAATCGCCACCGACGTCATACGGAGAGGAGTCGAAGAAATGGACCTGTTATTATGATCTTTCCAAACAGTTCAGGAGTACTCCCCATTGGGTTGTTGATGGTTGATTGTTACATATCGAGAGGATGCGAGAATCGATGCATGCGGTGTTGAGGGGTAAGCATCAGGAGTGCAAGGCCCTGAGACCCCCCTTATACAACATCCCTACGGAGTACACACCACCAACGGCCCCGGAGGAGCAGGCCTGAAACGGCAAAACGTCACAGGGGAGGCAGGCTGGAAATTGCGGACGATCGTCCATCGTCATTGGTAGTATTGGGCAACCAGGGGGCGGCTCGAAGCCACCCACCATGCTTGTATGAAGCAAATTAGACGCGGCATAACGGGATATTACCGCCGGAGATGGGTTGTATTATAGATAATAACAATGTACAGGATACTGTACACTCGAGTTAACCCCCCCGGGTGAGGCCATCGCCGTCGACGATAGACTCCGTGGTGTCTACACGGTTACCCACCAGCAACCGGGGATGCATTGAATTGAATTTGCGTACCTGATGATTGTCAACAGCCGGCGAGATCTTATCGGCGATCTCCTGATACATCCTGACGGCGTGCAGGACTTTTTCCCTCCCTCGCGAGGGATCGGTGGATTCCTGCGAAGGGGCTAGCGCTGCCGGCTTGCCCCCACTAGGGCTTGTCCGCGACCAATTGGGATGATCCAAGCGGGGCAATGGCGCTGAGTCAGCGGGAGGACGCGCAAGCCTCTGTCGACTGGAAATTCATTTTCCATTTTTTTCTATTCCTGGCGTGGAGAAACTTCCCACTTGGTCTCTTCCGTTCCCCTGGCTCGCCCTTCCCACCTTCGCTCGTCCGGGCGCGAACTCCATCCTTCTGTCCTCTCCCTGTTTGTTCCCAACTCCTCTTCTCTCGTTCCTCATTAACCCTTCCCCCCATCCCCCATCTGGTGTCCATCGTTCCATCTCTATCTATCCATTCACCTAACTACCTAGCCTTCTATACTCTACTCTACTAACCTTTGGTCTCCCGCCACGATATACGTACCCTTCTTCGGTTTTATTTTATTTTATCTTTATTCTATTCTATCTCCCTCTGGCCCCGATTAGGTCCACTTGTCAACCTCTCGTGTATCCTCCTGGTGGCTTTAATACTTTCTCCCTCCCACACCTGGCCAAACCTACTCCTAGTCTCTCGTTATCTTCAATCAACCTACGCGGTCTCCGGTCGGACTAGTCTATTACATTCGACTGCTTTGGTTACCGGAGGACATTCGACATCTCAACCCAATAATAAACGAAGAGATTTCTCACAATGGCGACCCTTGCGGAACACCCGGCTGCCGCCCCCTCCTACGATCAAGACATTGATACCTTCCTCAACCTCGACCAGCTTACCTACACTGAACCGCCCCGACCTAAAGCTGCCCTGACTACTCAACCTACCCTTCCTAGCACAGATTTTACTGCCGGCGATGTCCGGAGTGCCAGTTTTGCCTCGAACAGTCAATCACCGATCGCCTTCCAGGGCCCGAGTCATCAATATGATGAGCACAAGCAGCAGACCGGTCTGCCGCCCGGGGCCCTGGCTCAAGCGATGACTTTCAACCACATGAACGGCCTGAACCTAGGTGGTGCCAGCCCGGGTTTCGCGATGAGCGGAGACATGTACGCCAGTGCTCAACTGAAGCGCGAAGACGCCCCCCTGGACTTCAATGCCGTCCCCGCCCGCAACCCTTCGGAAATGGATCTGGAATCCGACAACATGGGTGCCGTGCCTGCTTATTTCTTTTCCCCAACCCCCAACAAGAGCCAATTTGTCGACCCCAGCGCCTTGGGTGGTCAGGAAGTCGCTCCCGCTGGCCAGTCGACTCAGGTCGGTCGCATGTATCCCGGAATGCACCAGCAACAGGCTGCCATGGCCAAGGCTGCTCAGCAGCAAAAACACCATCACATGCTCCGACAGCAGCAATTTCAACAACAACAACAGCAGCAGCAGCAGCAGCAGCAGCAGCAGCAGCAGCAACGCCGGGTGGAAGAGCAGATGCAACAAGGAGTTCAGCAGCCCCAACCTCGTGTCTCCAACCCTGTCGTTGAGGAGCGTATCTCGCGCCTCTTGCAGCAGATGAGACAGAATGCTATGGGATCTCCCGACGATTCCCCATCCCCGTCTTCTCTGCCTCAGATGGCTAAGTCGAAGAAAGACGAGCAGGATATGGACGAGGATGAGCGTCTGCTTGCCAGCGAGGAAGGAAAGAAGCTTAGCAGCAAGGAACGCCGTCAGCTCCGCAACAAAGTATCTGCTCGCGCTTTCCGATCGCGGAGAAAGGGTACGTTCTAATCATGTGCACTTGATATCATAGCAAAGACTAACTTCTCTCAGAATACATCGGCCAGCTCGAGAGCGAAGTTGCTGCCCGTACCAACGAGGCTCACGACCTTCGCATGCAAAACCGTGCTCTCTTTGAGGAGAACGCCCGTCTGACCGATCTGGCCCACATGCTCCTGTCGTCTCCGAACTTCTCTCAGTTCCTCGATGAGCAAGGTATCAACGGCTTGCCCACCTCCAACCAACCCCAGCAGCAATCTCAGCCTCAGCAGCAACAGGCGCAGCCTCAACCCCAGCAGCAAGCTCCCACGATGTCGCAGCCACAGATGCAGGCCAGCCTACCCAAGGAAACCCCTCCGAGCCACAGCCCGCAGGACTACCCAATGCAACACAACCCTCAGATGGTCATGGTTCCCAACCAAGGACTAGATGTCTCCGCTATGGGCCTGAACAACGGTGGTTGGAACTCCGGCATTGATATGAACTATGCCAACACGCCCATCTTCGCTGTCCTCGAGGTTCCTGAGCCGCCTGTCATTGATACGGAGATCCTGTCTGGAAAGGGCTCTTTTGGTTCCCTTCTCCCGGACACCACCGGCAACAAGGACGAGGCGCCCGTTCTCGAGTGCCCGCCGATGGCTGAGCAGCCCCAGACGACCGACGCTGGCGTGGAAAACCCGGATGTTGAAATCGATGAGTCGGATCCCGCCTTTGCTCTGTTCGCCGACCTGCCGGCTTCCGTCCCCGAGTCGTCTTTGGATAAGCCTTTTGAAGGTGTTGCTTCTGACAAGTCAGCTCCTGCATTCGAGCTCATTGTCGAGAATGAGTCGAAGGCTGCTGCTCAGCGGTTTGCTCAATTCTGTCACAGCATGGAAGCCTCATTCCAGCGTGTCTCAATGTTCACTTCGCACCTCTCATGATTCCCCCTTCTGTCTTGAGTGAACAATTTTCCGCTTGTAAAGTTCTTGTTATGCTTTATTTTTTTTTCTTCTTTCTTTTTTTAAAATGTTCTAGATACCTGAACATGAGTCCTTCGTGTAGACACCAATATGCCTTTCATTTGTTCATGAGCCTGTGATCATATACCGCGCTGTGGCTTAAACGTGCCTTTCTGCCTTCTTCTATTTACAGAGTCCGTTCCTCTTTTACTTTTGTTTCCTTTGTCTTATCGGGGTTCCACGGAATGGATTGGGATGTATTCTTCAGGGTTGGGGATTTTTGGAATTGTGATCTGGGAACTTGGATAATTTTAAGGATTTCATTTACTGCCTGAAAACAAATCTAAGAGAATTAGAAATCAAGCAAAACAAAAAGCAGACACTTTCTTCATTGTACTGCGCTAGGTAGAAGTTGACATAGAAATTAAACGTAGAAATTCGTTTGTTGGTCACATGGGCCCCAGGGAGGCTCTTCTGAGGCATCAACCCAATCCTCAGGCACCACAGAAATCTTCCTCAACTCCACCCGTCCTTGAATATCCACCAACGTGAGCTTGCGAAAAACTCACCTAATGTCCACGACTATCTCTCCTTTATAGGCAGGGTATTCTTCTTCTCTTAGCCAAGTTGGCTTCCTTCCAGTTAATCCGCGGGCTCTCACGCAAAGCCTTCTGCGGAAACATTGTTCCATCGATTCGCCGCTCTTCAATTCCTGCGCGATCTCTCAGCAACAAGCCTTCCAAAGGTCGCCATTCAACTAAATCTCTTCAGGTCGGAAAACCTCACGTCCAGTCCCCTGCCGTCAGACAATTTATCGCGCCCGCCACGCCACGCCGGAAAGTTGGGCCCGCCACACCAGTCCAGAAAGCTGTGACACACAGGTCGACGCACTCGCCGAAGCACTCGCCGAAGCCATTGGAGCCAGGATCCTCCGTGTTTCGCACACCAAAACTTCTTCCGCACATAGCAGGCTTCAATAGACCCCGGGCAACCCATTTGATATACCATCCTTCCACATACAAGCTTGCAGGCCTCGAATTCCCGCCGGTCTCCGGAATAACACCCATGAAGATCAATTACCAGGTCGTGACGACCCCGACCTATGACACCCCGGGTACCTGCCTCATCCTCAATTTCCCAGACAAGCGCTATGTTTTCGGACAAGTATCTGAGGGTACCCAGCGGGCTTGTATGGAGCGCGGTATCCGACTTTCATATCTCACCGATGTATTCATCACGGGGCGATCGGAGTGGAAGAGTCATGGTGGCTTGATTGGCATGATACTCACGGTGTCTGACGTGATCGGCACCTCGCACAGTGCACTGGAAGCCAGCGAACGCGAGAAGGCAGAGCGTAAGCTCCAGGACGACAAAGGGACGCATGGCTTGCCTTTGGCGATACAGGGCGGCGAGACGGTAGTCCAGCGAGGCTCATTAACGGTCCACGGGCCCAGAAATTTGACGCATACCTTGACCACTGGCCGGCGGTTTGTTTTCAGACAGGGCATGCCCATATACACGCGGGAGTATGACTCCGAGAGCGTATTGAAGAACGTTTCGGCCACTGCAGAGGATCCTTTCGAGCAGCCAACGTGGTCGGACAACAACATCAAAGTTTGGGCCTTGCCTATCCGCCCCTCGTCGCCGTCGCAGGGGAGCCCGCGAAGTCCCAGGAAGAGGAGTCTCGATGAATTCCAGGAGAACAAACCCGATGGATTAGACTCCCGCGCCCGGGATCTGATCACGAAACAGGCCATTGTGAACGACATGTTCAACTCATCCTGGAGGATGGACGCTCTTGTCAAGACTCCCCTGGCAGAAGTCCAAATGCCCGCAGCGATGTTTGTCCGCAATGCGAAAACAAAGTCGTTTGAACCGTATAAGGGTCCTATGCCAGGAGGCGATCAACCTCTCCCGGATATCAAGGTTTTTGTTCGACAACCTTGGCCCGGCGCAGCGGTGGAGAAGATCCCGCCCACGTCGCGATGTGACGAAGCGGTCTCGTACGTCGTCCGGAACCAGGATTTCAGAGGCAAATTCGACCCCGAAAAGGCCAAGGGATATGGAGTGCCATATGGCCCGGACTTCGGAAAGTTAGCTGGAGGCCAGAGCGTGACCGTTGGCGATAAGGTCATCACACCAGACATGGTTCTTGGACCCCCACGACTCGGCAAAGGAACCGCGTTCATTGACCTGCCAACCGCCGATTATGTTGAAAATTTGGTAAATCGACCAGAGTGGAACTCGCCCTCTGTGACGACAAATCTCGAGGCGTTTGTTTGGATTCTGGGTCCCGGTCTCGGGGAGCACCCCAAACTGCGCGAATTCATGTCCCGGATGTCCCACTGCAAACACACAGTATCCAGCACTGACTACAACCCGAATTACCTGGCCATGGCAGGCGTTGCGGGCGGGTCGGTGCGTATGGCAAAGATAAGACGCGAAAACCATCCGATTCCGATCCACGATAATGTTACCCTTCCGCAAGCTGGAACGTCCACAGCCAAGCCGACGACCACGACCGAGATCAAGAAAACATGTCCATTCAAGCCTTTGGAACCTGGTTTGATTATCGAGTTAGAGCCCGAGACCAAGATCAATTCATCCCTGGTGGCACCGCGGTTCAACGCGGTCGAAGTGGTCCGGAAAATGCCCGCTGCAGTTCAGAAGCGTGTGGCTACAATTGGGCAGCGGGTCAAGAAGGAGTATTTCCAGAAACAACTGAAGGACTTCCAACGGGATCTTCCTGGGCGGGACGCAGAAATCTTCACATTGGGCACGGGCTCATCGGTACCGTCGAGGTATCGCAACGTCTCGAGTACTCTTGTCAGCGTGCCTGGATATGGTTACTATCTACTTGACTGCGGGGAGAACACACTCGGCCAGCTAAAGCGCGTTTTCGAGCCCGAAAAGCTGCGAGAGGTCCTACAGAACCTGCGACTCATATGGATCAGCCATCTTCACGCGGACCACCATCTGGGGACCGCGGCTGTCATCCAGGCCTGGTATAAGGAAAACTACCCCAACGGAGCCCCCGAAGTCGACAAACTTGAGACCGACATGTCCAAGATACTGAATGAGAAACGCTTGTTTGTAGTCTCGGAACCCATGATGATTGGGTGGCTCCAAGAGTATGCCAGCGTGGAGGACTACGGCTTTGGCAAGATCGTGCCCTTGACCACCTATACGTTCACCAGAGAAGGCGGTGATGGCGCGTTCGAGTCCAGACTCACCTACCGTCACTGCCGCGCTGATGGCACTTACCCCGGACACGACACGGATGAAGGAAAACCCGTAACCTCGTCTCTCAGCTTCAACGAAAACGTATCTCCCCTCGCCCCTCTGCTCCGCAAAGCAACCGGGCTTTCCGAACTTCTGACCGCGAGAGTGTCCCACTGCAAGGGCGCCATGGCGGTCTCCCTTGTCTTCCCAGACGGGTTCAAGGTCTCGTTCTCGGGCGACTGCCGACCCTCTCCAGGCTTCGCCGCCATCGGCCGTGGGTCCACGGTGATGATCCACGAGGCCACGTTCCAGAACGACATGGCGGGATCGGCTCTGGCCAAAAAGCATTGCACGGCTGCCGAAGCCCTCGAAGTGGGTCGCCGAATGAAGGCCAAATCCATCATCCTCACCCACTTCAGTCAGCGATACCAGAAAGTCACGCACGTCGAACGAACCGACTCTCGCGACGCGGCCAAACCCGACGAGCCGGCTAAGCAGGAGCCCGACCAACTGGATATTCCAGACGAAGAGCCTGAAACCACGCCGGGCGTCATGCCTCCCATCGTGTACGACGAGAACTTCATGTCCCAGTCGAAACCGGTTGATGTCCCAGTGGTCGGAGCGTTCGACTACATGCGCATCCGCGTTGGCGACATGCCCATCACCCAGGCATATGCCCCCGCGATCGAGAAACTGAACGAGATCCTTGAGCGCCTTTCCGCGGCGGAGCAGGAGGAACACAAGAAGGTGCTCGAACAGCAGGCCGCGGAGATCATGAAGCAGAAAATGGCAAAGCACGCGAAGCCGGGCAAAAAGGCCAAGAAGGGCTTCAAGGCAGGCGCCGGTGACGCTCCTGCTCCTGCCCCCGAACCTGCTCCTCCGGCGCCCGCCCCCGAGGCCGAGGAAAAGCCGCAGCCCAAGCACTCAATCTGGAGTGCCAGCGAGAGCGAAAGCGGATGGAGCACCAGCGAAGACGAGGAACTCGATCTCGAACCCGTCGTGCCAGTAACTCCTCGCAAACCGAGTCCTCCCACGACCTACAGCCCGCCCATGACCCGGTCTCGGTCGAAGCCGCCTAAATCGGAATAAGCATAGGGGAGGAAAGTGTGTATGAAGACGGAAAAGTAGATATTCATCGCCCCTTTGTTTTCCTTTATCTTCATGTACAGATAGACGATGGTCTAGAAACATAATTCTTATTATCTTTACTATCATCACCTGATACAGGGTTTGGTTTGCCAGGCATCCTGCTTGCATGTTTGGGTTTCTCATTCTTTCTATAAGATTCTGATCCTTTCGGCGCGTGTACAGATAGGGTTTGGATTGTTGTTTCTGTGCTTGATATCTGTTGATATACATATAGATTATTTTCTACTCTTCCATGAATGATAGAAAGGAAAAAGTAAGACTCTTGAACCCAAAAGAATAATTAGATCATCTGTTCAGCCTTTCTTTGAGCGCCCGTTTCCCCAGTCTTTTATTTTGTATATGTCTTCTCTCCAAAACGAACAAAAAAGGGGTAGGTAGATCGATAGATAGATACTAAGAGGAGGCAACAAGAAAGGAAAAACTACGCTATACAAAGAAAGCAATTACGTCCGTCCTGTTTTAGAAACCAGCTTGGATCTTCTCCTTCTCGTCCTTACCGTAGAGTCCCTCGCCGAGGTTCTGTACGCATTCACTGCTCCAGTTCTTCGGAGTGAACTTGTCGACGATCTCCTTGAACGCGTCTAGTGTGCAGAAGGTGTCGTCGCCAGGGAGATGGTTCTGGGGCTTAGCGGCGCAGCCGGGGATGCGGACGGGGCGGTCGTTGTAGCGGATACGGACATAGTGCTGCTTCATGGTCTGACGTGCGGAGTCGGGGAACGATGAGAGAGGGGCACGGGCTGTGTCAGAAGGCGCAGGCGGGGTGTTGTTGTTGGAAGAAGAGCCACCACCCAGGAAGGAGAAGAAGCCGGGCTTTTTGGTGGCAATGGAAGGACTGGAGAATTCCTCCAACATGACCCCTGCGTTGTCCTCAGAGCCGTGCTTGGCCTTGGAGAAGAGTTCAATGGCAATGGAAGAGGTGAAAGGCGGCCAGATTCCGTCGAACGCTCCCGTGCTGCCCAGGATGGCGGCCAGCGTCGTGTCGTGGCATCCGCTCATTGCGAACTTGATGGCCTTTCCATGCTCAGTGGAGGAGCCGGAGGCCGAGGTCTCGCTACGCCAGCCGCCATCCACAGCGGTGCTGACCATGCGGTCGACCACGTCGCCCATCAGGCCTCCAATGCCGAGCTTCCGGTACTCGTTGCTTTCCGTGTATCCGGCGAACCATTCGTCCACGGCGATCGTGTTCAGATGTTGCCGGGTCTTCTTGTCGTAGAACTCCGAGGGGAGTTTTGTGGCGGGACCGTGAGCGAGACTGGCGTTGATGGTGTCTGCAATGCCCGACAGACGAGGATGAGAGTCAACGGCGACCTTGGGGGAGCTTTCCGGCATCCACTTGGACAAAAGACTGTTGATATAGTTCATTTCATCGGTGTCGTTCCCTGTATATTTCGGAGTTGTTGTGAGTTACGAATTCCTTCGATGATAGTGAGAGAAGAACAACAACGTACATCGAAGTGCGGCCCTGTCGGCGAAAAGCTTCCCGAGTTGCCTAAACCGACGACAGTTGCCCTCGTTAGGGAAGAGCGTCTCTTCCGACACCGAACGAGCAACAATCACGGGGGCTGAGAAATCTTGTGTGCGAGCGCCGGAAGGGTACATGCCCCAGAAGGCTTGTTGAAGGGACTCAAGAGCGCGCGGGATGGGCGTGGTGCGGAGATACATGTCCTCGGTGTCAGTCTTGATCTTTGGCATGAATCCAAGTTGATCTACGTAGAGATGCCTCAGGCGCTGGCCGAGAGCAAAGGTGGTTTCACGACCCTTGTCTGTCAGCTCACCATGTTGACTATATCAGTCAGTAACATGCGGCGTTTCTCCGGTTCGTGTTTGCCATGGATCCAGAACTTGCCAGATGCCCTCAATATCACCGGTCGCGCCGACTGCCACCACCGATTCATCATTGTCTCCAAAGGTCTCCATCTTTCGCCGCCATTGGAAGCCATTCCACGAGGAGACATCCTGGTTGCTCGCCGCCATTTGGATCATTTGGCGTGCGACATTACAGTACGGCCAATCTTGACAGGGGAGGTTGATTAGACGAGCGGTTTCGCAGGTGATAGAGCAATATTGGGGGACGAATTACATGGAGCAAGGCCTGCCTTCAGGATATCAGCATGTGTCAATCAATTGAGAGGGGAGTTTGTTCCGATGTATCTACATACATTTTGAAAACGCGAAGATACCGGTGTACGTTCACCTGGAGATTGTATCGTCAGTTTCCCGAGGTCATTCAATCCATTCAGTTTCCCAAAAGCTCTCACCATGACGAAGGAACTGTGCCATTGATTAGCTCGCAATCGATGGGGCTGCCGATAGTGTTCACGGAGACCTTACCACCTGGACCAACTGCAGCTTCAAATCCCGAGGATAGAGCTGGTCGAGCTCCTCCTTAGAGTAAGGCTCACGAGGGATAAGTGTTGTCATTTCCGCAGAGGTGTCGACGCCGAAGCAAGAGGCAAAGCTGCCTTCCTCTCGAGAAATGAGGACTTGTTCTGGATGGGAAAAGGCAGGCCGTTAACGATGCCTCAAGTTGGGCCGAGGATGACGCAGAAGGCGGTGGGTGGGACCCACGTGCCCGTGGATGATGTAATCGCCTTGATGGCCCAATTTCAACACGCCACAATCCATGGCCTCTGGGATTCTTTTTCTTATCTTTCTTTTCAAATATCAATGCTTCGCGCTCTAAATGCCCAATGCTTAGGTAGTATAAGAAAGTGTCAGTATCACCCTCGGGGATGCCAGGTTTGTCCTGTGATAGCTCATTGCGCAATTCCTGAATCTAGAGATGGACAAGGGCCTTTTCACATGCCCATGGTCGGCGGTATGGCAAGGGAAGTCTTTGCTTTATACCATCACCTGGTCGAATTTCGGTAGGCCCGCACTTGAGCGTATGGTAGACAAAATCCATTTGCATCAGATCCTCACTCATAATAGAGAGAGCCGCGTTATCATTGAGCTCATCAATCGGTCTCAGTGCAAAAACACATGCATCGGGGGCTCGTGAGGCTTGATCCATTGCGACTACCAAGACTCTGTCATAGCCGGATAACAATGGTTGAATCCGCGTATTCAAGTAGCCGTGAGTAAAGGGCGATATATTTGTTTCCGGACTCTGGCGGTAGCGCGGGCATTGATCATGGGCGTGATGCTCACCATCGATTATGTGGGTGCGCTGCATCGATTTGCGCTTCCAAGACATATCACCATACTTGGGTGGTTGCGTGTTGCTGGCGGCTAAGCCATCTTGTTGCCAACCATACTAAAATAATCCATGTTTATCTCTTCACAGTACTGGCCAGGGAGACTTTATCTGCTCTGCCAACCCGGCTCTCTGGATGACATCTGAGACTCTTTTCTTGGCTTCTTTCAGAATCTGGTGTTCACTCATGGTCAATAATTCGCCGGTCTCCACCAACAATTGGCCATCGACTACTACCACATCCACATCCCTTCCAGTCGCAACATAGACCACATTACTGACAGGGTTAAGGCATGGCTGAAGTTGCGACTTTTCCGTGTTAATGGCCACAAAATCCGCTTTCTTGCCGGTTTCCAGGCTACCAACAAGGTCTTCAAGACCTAGAGCTCGCGCTCCGTTGATAGTAGCCATCTCTAGGGCGGTTTCTGCGGGGACCAGAGCCGGGTCATATGAAGCACTCCTATGAATAATAGCAGCAAGCTTTATTTCTTGTAGCATATCACAGCTGTTATTGCAGGGAGCCCCGTCTGTACCAAGACTGACATTGACTCCTCCGGCAAGTAGCTCTGGCACGGGGCCAATGCCCGAAGCTAATTTGGCGTTTGAGGTTGGGCAGTGTGCTATGTGGGTGCCAGATTCCGCTAGTCTTGGGATGTCTTTGTCTTTATCCAGGTGCACCATGTGAACAAGTACAGTTGATGGCGACAGCAGGCCTGTGGCATCAGCCCAAGAGACAGGACTATGTCCTAGAGAAGCGAAGTATTCGAACTGTCTTCTTGTTTCTGCGCAGTGCATTGTAATGGGAATCCCGTGAGAATGGGCGACGGAGGCTAATTCCTTCATTCGAGAGTGCGGAGCCCTGGCCCCGATTTGATTCAGCATCCTCCCGTCAAGCCGAATATAAAGCTGGTCTTACAGTCCCGCTGGAGCGACCCCAAACCATACCCGGATTCGATCATCCGCAGCACCGTTCCATTTTCGCCAGGTCTCCACCACGTCAGGTATTGAATTGTCTGGCATGTTGCTTTCTTTGGCAGGATTGGGAGCGAATTGACCCAAGCAGCCTCGAATACCGCTTTCTTGAACCACACGACAAAGTCCATCAAAGTTATGCTGTGAGAGAAACTGTTTGCAGGATGGTTAGGTTGCTCCTGTGATAGGAACCTAAGTGATCCCCGGTGAAAGAATGGAATAGATTGCACGATACATACCATACTCTCCAAAAAACATGTTGTTCCTGACTTCAACATCTCGGCAACGCTCAATTGCACCGATACATAGGCATCTTCACTAGTCATCGCGTGCTGCAGTGGACGGATCCTATCGTCGAGCCAGCTGTGAAGCTCTTTATTATCGGCCGTTCCCCGAATCAACGTTTGGACTGTATGCATGTGTGTTGATATCAATCCTGGTATCACAATCCGTCCGCTGAGATCATATTGCTGATCTTGGGGATATTTCGCAAGTAAAATGTTGGTTTTGCCCAAGTCCTGGATGACATGTCCCTGGACATAGATGGCACCATCCTCAATAATGCGTCGATCAGAGTCGACAGTAATGATGGTTGCGTGGGTGTAAAGCATTTTCAAATCAACGTACCGGGAAACCGCTGGAAGATACCAGTGAAACGACAACTCTCAATCTATCTTTAGACCTTGATAGAAGGCGGGAGGTTGACAAGCAAGAGGGGGCGGGGCGGTGGGCAACTGCACATGATCGCATGCACCTTTTTGGCCATGCAAAGTATGGATGGTTGATAACTCCGATCTAACCCAAGTGGCTCCTATTCTACAGTAGCTCATCTAACAATCATTCAGTCAGACTCATGGGCATACAGCATCGTCCCAAGGTACTATAGAATTAGTGTACATAGACGCATCAAGTTCTTACCTAAATGTGCTTTATGACTGCTCAGTTATGATATACTTTGACGCAAGTATGGAGTATGGTTATATCAAGACAAATATCTCGTGAATCAAACCCGCTTATTTCTTCGTCGCGACTCTCCTCTTGCCATCTCCAAGATATCCTCCTTTTACCCGGCTATCGGGGTCCCATTCGTCCCGAATACGCTCAAGGCGCTGGTAATTATCCGCCGTCCAGTATTCAGTGAAACGTAGCTCAAAATCCGAATCTCCTATATATGATCCAACGGATTCGCCTTCAACCTGTTTCATGATTTGTTGCAACCACTCCACACACCGCTGGTCGTCTTCCTCGTTTTCCCAGATGAGATAAACCGCGAAATAGTGATCTGATCGCATACTGAGTGCCATTTCGGGTAGCTTCTTTCTACTCCAGGGACGCATCGAAGTCCAAAAAAGATATGAATCTGGGTGCGGAAGCGTAAAACATGCCTTTTCTAGAAGACCGGGCACATCTGCGTCGTTGCGGAGGTACAAATTGTCGGAACAATACCGGTCTTTCTTGGGATGCAACGTACTCATTATCTCATAGAGATTATCCAGGCTGTCCTTGAGACAGAAAGATTCGTGTAGTGTGCCTGCAGGCCTGGAATCCTGAACCGGCTGGAGCGCCCGCATGGCGTCCTCTGTGGTATTCTTCATAGTAGTGAAATAAATGGCGAATACTGGCGCCCCATCGTCATTTTTAGCCTTCGCAGTGATTTCTGTGTCACCGTCCAACGTCTGTACCAAGGAGAGAGCCCATTTGAATGCCTCGTAGTAGAGCGTTTGGGGGTAGATATACATAGAAGAACGAATCTCTCGCGGCAGTGGTATCAGACGCACGTGGAATTGCGTGATAACGCCAGGGAATGCTATGCTTTTAGTTAGAAATGTCTAGCCTACATGGAATCTGCGAGTGATAGACACAGACCTGGCCCGGCTCCGCGAGAAGCCCAGAAGAGGTCTTCGTTCTGCTGTGCATTGCAGTGGACCAGCTGGCCCTGCGCAGTGACAACATCTACGGCCTCGACAAACTCACAACCCCATCCCCAGTTCTGTAGAACGTTATTAATGTCCCGCGCATGCCAAAAGAAGCTACTACTTGATAGGAAGACATACTCCACAATTCCATCCCATTCCACCCTGAAGCAAAAAGCCCCCCAATCCAACATCACCACAATGACCTCCGGGAAACATTAAGTCATGAGTAGCAAGTCGATCATTAAGCTCCTTGCTGGTGATACTAGGCGTCGAGATCACAACTCTCTTCTCCGGATCGACGCTGAGTTGCTTCCAGTCGCCCATATCGATCAAGATCGAATCATCTTGGACACTCCATACTGGAAATGAGTGGCCCCCTGCCCGCACAGAGACATGGCATTTATGCTGAATCGCCAGCTGCATAGCCGCAACTATATCACCTTCGCTAGTCACCTTGGCAATCGCCAATGGGAACCGATTTGGGCAGTGCTTGTTGAATACATGTTCCAGGCGTGCAGCCTCGTACACCCGGGCGTCTGCCGTGTCCCTCCAGATAATCCGCATGGTCTGTTTTGGAGATTTGGGCTCTCTACTTAAGCCTTGCTTTTTTCTTTTTTTCGGACTGATCGGATCACGTCAGAGACATTTGTTGGGTCGGTGATTTTTCTTGAGGGGTGAAGGAAGAAAGGAATGGGAATCAACCAGGGAAGGTGGGCAAGCAACGTTCACGTGCGGGGGTTCCCGATGTTCCTGCAGGCGAACTGCCTCCGATCTGTTCAGGTTCGACCAGGATATTCCAGTCCACCCTTGTGCTTGGCATCATACAGTAGATTCGAGTAGGACGGGTTACTATGTAGTTGTAGTTGAAGAGAGTGGGGAGAGGCACAAAAAGGCGGAAAAGAAAGGCCGGGCGAATAATGCCGCCAAGGCCAGTCGGGGTTCCCGGTCTGATCGCCAGACACGCACCGCATCTTCTGTCCCTCGTCCATCAATCATATCTCGCCGCCATCTCTAGCTCTACATCGGCCCTAGATCGCTATCTATTTCCTCTTAGTCACTGTTGCCTGGATATTTTCGAGCAGGCGAGCGTAATACACTCCCATCGACAGAAGTTGCTCGCTTCCCCTTGTTCAACTCACCCAGGGAGCTTCCCCCCCCACATCATCCTCGGGGTAGTATAGGACAATTTCATGTGTATGATCAGCCCTTGAGAACTGCCTCCTCTGCTGTGCCTTGAATTGTCTCTGGTCGAATGATAAAAATCAATGACAATGTCCCGGAATTGTTGAACTGCGACCCTCTCGTTCTGGTTTTGGTCCCTTGCAGCAAGTCACCTTAAAATATCCTTGATGGATATAGATCTTTCCCCGAACCCGATCAAGTTCCTGGACCATTGTTACACGGTAGCTGCACAGAGCTGTGAGCTGTTGGCTTCCCATTTCTCGGCATCGTGATTCCTCAAGTCTTTGCACGCTCGGGTGACACCTTGATTCCTGTCTTTATCTCGGTCATCCTCTTGAACCCCGCTAAAACTTTAAGCGACATTGGTAAGTCATGTCTGCTGTCCCTTAGGGTCTGGTTTCAACTGATATTGAATTGCTCACGGCGTGCTGGTTAGTTCATTCGGAACCAACTACACTCACACAGCCGAGCGTTCGTTTGAAGAGTCGGTTGGCTTCTCGGTGTTTGCACTCATGGAGGTAAGAAAGTCTCACTTTTCACTTAATGACCCTCAAACGACCTTTGAAGAGAATTAGTCTGGTTATGCTCTCATGTGACTGGACGAGCCAATTTTGCTGCTTCATATGCTTTGCTGTTCTATAATACACATCAAGCCCAATGTCCCTGAGTGGCCTATGCCAGAGCGGCTTGCAGCTTCGGCGCGGCTGGTTGCTTGAAGGGCACATTGAGTTTCCTCAGATTGGTGAATTGAAGGGATGTACGATGTTTGCTTCAATGTTGCTCAACGGCTCTGTCGATTGCAGTCTTCCCCCTTCAATTGCACGCTAGGCAGCTCCTTCACTGTCCAGTCTCCCCTGTCCATCTGTATGCCACGTGCTGTGCGCTCGGGGGATTTCAAGCAGTGATTAAAAGCCTTAAAGAGCAAGGCCTCACTAGATCATTCTTTGATTTGGATGTTAATGCCCCTCATTCCCATCGCTGCACCTCTCTCCTCTCTCCCAACATCTGCACTCTGCCCGCAAGATCCCGCAAGATGGCTCCTCTGTCACTTCAACCCCATCGTTGGATCGACTTTGGTCCGGAAAGACATCTATTCTCAGATGTTTCTGTTTTGCAAGGAAGACCTACAGTTTGCAAGACTAGTGCCGAACTAAAACTCGAGAGTATCTTACAGGTCGCAAATCATTCCCCCGGACAGCCTGGGCAGGCGAAGCCAGGCCAGCTTGCAGCCACCAAATCTCAAGATCCTAAACCTCGTCTTCTGCTGATGGGTCTTCGTCGGTAATTATCACAAAGAAACCTGCCCTACACAGTTGACCGAACTGACGGAACCAGGAGTGGGAAATCCTCCATCGCAAGTGTTGTCTTTCATAAGATGCCCCCAAATGAAACCCTGTTCTTAGAGTCAACTACACGCATCCAGAAAGATTCCATCCAGTGAGTTTCTCCATCACTCACGCCTAGATCTGTTCATAACACCAGTGGCAGCTCTTTCATGGACTTCCAGGTCTGGGATTTCCCCGGTCAGTTGGAATACTTCGAGCCATCTTTTGACCTCGAAGACATTTTTGGGAGCCTCGGTGCGCTCGTCTGGGTCATCGATGCCCAAGATGATTACCTGGACTCCGTGGCGCGTCTGAACCGGACCATCTTGACTGTTCAGCAGTACTACCCAAACATTAACATCGAGGTCTTCATCCATAAAGTTGACGGGTTGTCGGACGAGTATCGCACCGACACTTTCCAGGACATCGTGCAGCTAATTTCCGACGAACTGAGCGATGCCGGATACGAGAACGCCCCCGTCCATTACTACCTCACTTCTATTTACGACTACTCCGTTTTCGAGGCTTTCAGCAAGGTAATCCAGAAGCTGATTCCCAACCTTTCCACTCTCGAAAACTTGATCAACACTCTGGCCAACAACTGTGGATTCGAGAAGACTTATCTCTTCGACGTTCTGAGCAAGATCTACATTGCGTCTGATACTCGTCCGGTGGATATGTCGTGCTATGAGATGTGCTCCGATTACATTGATGTCATTGTGGATATCTCCGAGCTCTACTCATGGGATCATCCAGACCGCAAGCCCAAGGGTGATCAAACGCAGGAGGCAGAGAGCCATGTCGTTCTGCACGACGAAACAATGATTCATTTGATGGAAATGAATAAGTGTGTTTTCACCGCCCTGACTGGCGAACGAGTATGCTGACTGTTGTTAGATATCTGTGTCTAGTTTCCGTGATCAGGAATACCGAATCCAAAGAAAAGAAGGGGCTAATCGACATGAACTGTCGTACCTTCCAAGAGTCGCTCAACGATGTTTTCTCTCGCAGTTGGGAGCAGGAACAGGAGCAAGCGCCCGATCGACTGGAGCAAGTTCCCAGCTGATCGGCCTTGTTCCATAACCCGTCGGTAATATTTTGGCCTTATTTCTTGTGAATACCATTATACTCTGGTATGATACATTCCCGAGGCACTTGAGATCTGACTTAGGATTGTGTCATCTTGGCTCAGAAGTCTACGAGGAATTAGGAAGAGGCTGCGTTGTCCACGGTGTATGTACAAGGGTCGATCGCTGGACTTTTCCATATCATGAGCTTCATCAGAGTTGGATATGCCCCGTTGCACCGATTAATTTAACTCAATTCATTTTGCCAATACTTTTTTGAACTTGTAATAAATACCTACAAAAGTATTGGGCCATCCCACTAAGGCATTAAGGCAACCAGCAACGGCGGGCCCACTTGGCGTCCTTTTTTTTTTTTTTTTCTATTAGGTCGGTAGAAAAACCGTCACCAGAGCTTTTCCATCCTTCTTCAACCTTCTCCTTTTGACGACTCGAATCGAAGATGTCAACATGACAGCAGCCCCTTCGGCGACCAAGCTTTATGCAGCTTGGAATATGCACTCCTAACATCGACTCATTCAACAGCTCTTCGATTCCACTGTAGAACCAGAATTGGTGAGTCGCACTCTCTTTACAGCAAAGCCCTTTTCACACCCCCATCCCCAATCTCGATGATGAAAAGTATTTTCCACATTCGCAGTTTCCACGCTAGCCGTCGCGAGAACCCATTCTAGACGTGCTCTGTGCGCAATTTCTTCCTTGGATGTCTGAGAGATCTGCCCATTGCAGCTGATGCAGTTTCACGTTGTCTATCTCTTGAAGGCCTCTTGCTGACTGTTATCTTTAGTAGTTACGATCCTTACTTCGTGGATATGAGGCTTGATAATGGGTACTGAAGGGGTGGTGTTGAGGGTGCAAGAAACGATCGGCTCGTCAGGGTCGCGTTCGATTTATTAGGGAGTTGGACGCATCATGCATGAAATTATAGTAATATCACGAATCATTGAATGGACCAAAAGATTTTTCACTGAGATAGTGCAAAATCCGTAGAGTTGATAGGGTTAAAGTGCAGCGATGTACGGAGTACCTATTGACAACCTCATCTCCAGAACAGATCTCTTAGCGCCCAAAGAAACAGGCTAGAAGTGACAATAGCCATGAAACTAGACATGTCACACCATCTGCATACCTAGTCTGAATGGAACGCGCGGAACATACTCGGTAGCAATCAAATCGATCGATATGATAGCTGTCCTCTACGCAAATTAGCATTAATCAGTCAATCTACAAACAGCTCCGCCGCCCCTCCTCCCTCCTCTCCCTCACTTTCTCTCTCAAACAAATCCTCCTCACCTCCCTCCCCACCATCACAACTCCTACACAGGCTGACATCCACCATGTCAGACCTCCGTCAAAGAAACACCAAATCCGCCAAACCAAAGGCCGGAAATGACAGCCCGGCCGCCCCGCGACGTCGCAATGAGGCAGCCGCCTCCAAAGCCGGAGGCATCGGCGTTCTGGATATCCTGCGACTAGTGCTCACGCTGGCGGTAGCTTCCTGCGGGCTCTCGTACTATATGACCTCGTCCGAGTCGTTGCTGTGGGGGTATCGGCCGTGGTATACCAGGTTGCCGGTGTTGATGCGATATCTGGTATGTTAGGACAAGATAACAAGGCCCTTTATGAAATTCCATTCCGGGAGATGTTTTGTCTTCGAGTTCCTCCTATTGGTCGGGAGAGAAACCGACTACGTCTTCGCTGTCATTATCATCATCATCATACCACCATACTAACCATCGCATGAAACCGTTCAGCAAGGACCTCTCTACCTAACCCCCTCCCAACTCGCCTCCCACGATGGCTCCGACCCGTCCCTCCCGATCTACCTCGCCGTGAACGGCAGCATCTTCGACGTGTCCGCGAACCCGATGATCTACGGCCCCGGCGGCCACTACAACGTCTTCGCCGGCCGCGACGCCACACGGGCGTTCGTAACCGGCTGTTTCCAGGAAGACACGACGGCCGACTTAACCGGCGTGGAGGAGATGTTCATTCCGATCGAGAACGACCCCGAGGAAGAGAAGACGCTGAGCAGCGGGGAGAAGAAGACGCGGCGGGAGCAGGACCTGCGTATGGCGCGGAACCAGGTGCAGAAGCAGGTGCAGCACTGGGAGAATTTCTTCCGCAACCATAAGAAGTATTTCGAGGTGGGCAAGGTCGTGGGGTTGGAGGATTTGCCGAAGGAGAAGAGGGAGCTTTGTGAGCAGGCGAAGCAGCAGAGGCCGAAGAGGAAGAATCTGAATAAGAAGAAGCAAAAGGAGCAGCAGAAGAAGCAGAAGCAGGGGAACTAAGGACGGGGTTATAGATATGTTTAGGTTAGGTTTGGGGCCGCAATGTATAGTATAGTATTCCGCATGGATTATCGTTTCTCGGTTTGGATTGGGCACAGCTCAGAGTGTACATTGTCTACGTGCCGGAGTATGTTCGTTCCATACTGCTGAAGATATATGCCTACGCATCCGTCTCCCAGAGAATATCCTAGCTCATGAACAGACGGAAGAGCCGCCTGAGACTGACATCGGGATGTTCACTCAATACAGTTTATGATCATAGTTTTACTTGGCACGTCCTGTAGCGCGACTTTTTGTTCGTTCACTCCGAAATTGATTGATTCGAACCACTATACATCATTCGCCCAGCCAAACTTCCGAATTTTGAGAGATATCATTCGTAGCAAAGTGAAAAGGGACCGCGAGAAAAAGAACTGGTTAAGGAAACGTTTACTCGGCGGTGACGGCGCGGGCTAGAACGAGAAAAGTATCCGGTTAGAAAATGGTCCGATCGAATATCAAGTGATCCGGTGCAACATACTGTAGATGTTCATCTTGGAGTGGCCGACAACCTTCTTGATCTGGCCCTTCTCCTCGAGGTCAGCAAGAGCCCGGCGGGCCAAGCTGCCGTTGATCTTCAGACGGTCGACGAGGGTGGCGACGGTGATGAGACGGTAGGACTGGACATCCTTGTTAAGTCTCTCGGCAGTCTGCTTCTCGAGGACAACGGCGTGCTGGGCCTTGTCCTTAACTGTGCGGCGGGAAAAGAAAAACGTCAGTCACTCGAGTCCTGAATTAATCCATTTCATTTTCCATCATCGTTTGTCGAATCCAGAAACCTGTTCCCCTTCTTGTCGAGAAAGGCGATAAAACTCTTTTCGCTCATTTTTCACAATCGAAAGGGAACCGTTGATCGAGTTGACGATGGGGGGAGAGAAAGTTGGAATGGTGGTGATTTGCATACCCTTGCCCTTGGACCACTTCTTGCGTGCGGGAGCCTAAAAAATGCGATATTAGTATAACCAAATCATTTCTGAGTCGTCTCGATGCGCCTGGATAGGAGGACCATCACTCACCATCTTGAAGATCTAGTGTGGTTGTTCGACGGATGTGACTGCGCGACAAAGCAACGGCCAGAAGGGTGCGAGTCCAAGTGCGAAATTCGAGTGGGGAGGGTGGCGTCACGTGTGTCTGAACCCTAAGCCCTGGCTGTCCTTTTTTTTCAGGCGCCGGCTCGGTTAGCATTGGCGGATGGTGGGCCTGTGATTGGTCGGTGGGGACTATATCTTGGATGCCCCAGGCAGCATATATGGTAGGTAGACAGAGCTTGTTACTACGGCCTCTATCTTCCTTTACAGGTTAGGTTGTGCATATTCTTCGTTTATCTCGGTGGAATCAAATCATAATATCATGACATTTAGAAATGCAGACATCACATCCTCGTCTTCGGCGTAGATCCATAATCATCGGCTCATGTTCGCCCCGTAGTTGCCGGAAGGTAGCCTCAGGTTGCTACTGATAGACTTGAGAACTTTGAACTGCGATACGCCAATCTCGTCCTCGATATATCCAAGCACGTATTCATCTGGTGTCCCAAACCAGAAGATCGATTGGCCGCGTTGCTCTCGAGGTAACCATCTCACATCGTAGCGTCCGGCATCATTTCTAGAAGCCGGTATACGGACGATCGAAGGCTGTCGGTCAAGTGACCAGTGCCGCACAGCAGCGCCTGTATTGTTTGTTGTGGTGACAAGAAACTCGGGCTTCGAGGGATGCCATACAACTTGTCGCACTGGATGTTCGTGGGCGAGGGCCGACAGAAGGACTACCGTGGACTCCAGAGCCCAGATCCAAATGATATTAGGCCGAGACTGATCGACCGTGCAGAGTAAATTCCCGCTGGAGCTAAACGCCATGATTGTGACTCCCCGGGGAGGCCCAGTGGGCTCGCCTATCGCACTAAATGCAGAAGACCCCGAGCATTCGTTATATTCAAGATCTCCATCCACGGTCGTAAACCGCTCCCTCCAGATGCTAGGAGTATTCTGATCCAATTGGAGCGTGTGCGACAGTGTCATCGAGCAAGAAAACTAGTTTCGTAAGATCAGTCTAGGCTCAATGAGACAGCGAGAGGTAGACGGCTACATACCGTTTTGCTTTTGAGAAGGTCAACAGTCCCGTCGACCTTTCCGACAGCTAGAAATTCCGAAGACCCGTTGTTGCTAGCAGGGCCCCATTCGATGTTCCTGACACCAAGGTCGAAGGACATGTCGACACCAGGCGGGCCAGTGTATGTTCTAAAAGGCTGTCCATCGGCGGTAAATATAAGGACTTTTGTACCGGCGCTCGCAGCGTCCCAAACAGCTATCCATCGGCCATCCGGACTCCATTTCATGCCTTGGGCATCTACCGTAGGTAGATTGGCCCGGCCTATCAGCTCGTATGATCGAAATTCGTGAATCGTTAGCACATCGACAGCATCAGGCTTGAGCAGTATGGCAAATTGCCTCGTCTTCGGTCGGTATCCGAAACCATTGTAGTGTGAAAATTTGGGCGACTTGATGACCTGGCTGCAGCCTGAATCCAAGCCATGTATAGAGACTTTCGCATTGAACGCGTGAAATACTATGACTTCGTTCTCATCGCCCCCAAAGTCAACGTTTGTGGCGCCGGGTTCAATGCTATCGATTTCTGCATGCAGTTGCATTGGTTCCAGCTGCCATACCAGGACACGAGTATCGCTTGCATATAACACTCGCTGCCTCGAAAGGTCTTTGCCTTCGGGAATAGGCACACCAGGAGACTGGCCATTGGTGGCTCGTGAGACCTTCAGGAACTTGGGTAGATTTTCTTTGACCTTCACGATTTGTACATCTTGGAACTCGGAAGATGTCGGATTGAGGTGAAAGACGAGTTCCTTTGCATTTAGCTGCGCAACAAACTCCCCATCTTCCGAGAGAGAAATTGATGCCGATACTGCATAGATTGTTAGCAATTCGCTGGTCCCAACTCAACAAACACGGGGAGATTTACCCCCAGTTCCGCCGGTGGAGTCCATTGTCGCTGATCTTCTGGTGAGAATAGAGCAGGCAGTTCAGTGGCTGCTGTCAGGAGAGTGACGGATATTTACAGATAGAAGCGATTTTGGTTCACACATGTTCAAGTACAACATGCATTCTTGGGCCACCAGGGCGAGGAGATGGGCAGCTTCAGGTATCAAAGACCAGCGCTGTTGCCATGGCTTGTTTTCTTGATGGACCGCGCCAAGCCTCTGATAGATTACATAATCACGTATACAAGTCAGTTCTCGCAGAGTCGCTCTTTTCGGTCTTACGAGAGACTGAGACCGCCATCAGCCCTTTCAAGGCCCTTGGCAGATTGATGAATCTCAAGGAGGTATGTCATCTCCTACAATTACACTTCGTCTTTAGGTTCTTCTCCTGTGCCAGTGATGTAATTAATTTCCACCGACGATAAGATAAGGCGGCGCTTTGTTATTCCGCCCCGCGATAATCGCCGTCGAAAAAAGTTGCCCGCAATCCGAACATTTGGCGGTCATTCATTGCGATTCTCGAGCAATTACAATTCATCTTATCCCGGCTCAGTACTATTCTGTCACAATAGGGTTTTTTCGGTTTCTTGCCCCGTGGTTGGGGCGTCACATACCCAAATTCACACACTCAAATCTCGCAAAAATGGCCGTTTCAGAAGCGCAGCCCACTTCGCAGGCTCGCGCGGACGCGCAGAATGCGCCGTCGGTCCCAGTGCCGGAGCCGAAGCAGAAGTTATTAGGAAGAGCTTTCTACGAGAGCTTGGGCAGTCCCAAGTATATCGTTGCTCCTATGGTAGACCGTTCGGAATTTGTCAGCGCGCTCTACGCTCTACAAGATTGTATACCCTAATGGACTAACCGTAGACAACAGGCCTGGCGCATGCTTACTCGTTCATTCATGCCTCCCGATGACCCCAAACTCCTCTCCTACTCGCCCATGTACCATGCGCGCTTGTTCCACGAGCAGCCCGGCATCCGTCTACAACACTTCCGGCCCACGCGCGACGAGACCGATCAAAACCCTGGCGCTCCGTACCTCGATGGAAACCCTGCCATAGACCGGCCTCTTTTCGTACAGTTCTGCGCAAACGACCCGGATGACCTCCTCAAAGCTGCGCGGTATGCGGAGCCATACTGTGATGCCGTCGATCTGAATCTCGGGTGTCCCCAGGGAATCGCGAAGAAGGGCCATTACGGCGCATTTCTCCAGGAGGACTGGGATCTCATCTATAGACTGATCAACCGACTACACACTGAACTTTCGATACCCGTCACCGCCAAGTTCCGGATTTTGGAGACAAAGGAGAAGACGTTAGAGTATGCGAAGATGATTCTATCGGCTGGCGCAAGCATCATCACACTCCATGGTCGCCGGAGGGAGCAGAAGGGCCATGAAACGGGCATAGCTGATTGGAGTTACATTCGTTACCTTCGAGACAACCTGCCTGCGGAGACGGTGATCTTTGCGAATGGAAACAATTTGAACCACGATGACCTGGAACGCTGTCTCGAAGCCACAGGTGCGGACGGAGTGATGAGTGCGGAGGGCAACCTATCAGATCCGGCGATCTTCAGCAAGCCTCCCCCCGTTGGCAGCGAGACGCGGGAATACTGGCGTGGCAGGAATGGCAAAGGTGGGTACCGGATAGACGCAATGCTGCGCCGGTATCTAGACATCATCTACAAATATGTTCTCGAGCAGCCGGTTCCGGAGAGAAAGCCCCTGTACCTCCCTTCAGATCCCGTGGAGGAGACCCCAGAAGCAGTCGCCGAAGCTACTGAAGAAGCCACCGAAGAAGTCACCGAAGGCCCACCCAAGAAAAAGCAAAAGAAGGAACTCAAGAAGGAGATGAAAAAGGAAAAGAAGGACCGGTCGAAACAGAAGAGAGTGAACTCTCCCAGCCTGGGCGTGATGCAAGGGCATCTTTTCCAGCTCCTCCGTCCCATGGTTGCTAAGCACACCAACGTCCGAGACGCACTCGCTCGGTCACGACCCGGCGACATGCCCGCCTTCGAGCACGTTCTCACTCTTGTCGAGGCAGCAATTAAGGACGGCCTCAAAGAATATGAGCAATTCCCCGAACGCTTCGAGGAACCCCCTAATCAGGATCTGAAAGGGTCTAAGGCGACAATTGCTGAATATGGTAGGCCTTATTGGATCTGTCAGCCACACATCCGACCCCTGCCGGAAGAAGCCATGGAGCTCGGCGCCCTCACTGCCAAACAAAAGAAGTCTACAACAGACGGCGATGCTAAAGCTGAAACACCTTCGGAGAAAGCGAACCCCCCTACCGAATCCGATGCCACGCCTCAACAGTCGGCTCCGGCTTCAGCTATGGCAACGCCGGATCCTTTGGTTAGCGGTTGAAGTAGGCCTTCCTCGGTCTCCTATTTTCTTGCCTTTCTCGGAGTTCTCATACATTGCGTTGATTTGTACAGGGCGGTGGGGAACCTGCGCTTATAAATATCTCATTGCTGAACTTACTTGCCGGAAGCAATGATAATACACTAAAGTACATAGAGCTTACGCCAGTCATGCATACAATATTAGATCAAAAGTACATTCCACATTATCAAAGGAAACCGTCTTCCTATACAAACCATTGTATTGGAGTCATAGTATCATCAACAGACAACTACTGGTATCTTGAACAAGAAAAAGCAAATAATCAGCCCGAAACCCTAGAACCATACCTACAACTCCATTCATATCGCAAACACGCCAACCAATATTTATATCGCTTTCGAACCCAACCTTAGAAATCCAACACAAGCTGCGGCGCCATCTTCTCGAGATCTTCGACCTAGATATAATTCATCAGCACCAAATCCATATACCACCATCCCCCCTTACACCCAGTAAAGTAGAAAGGAAGTAATTGCGAAGGGCCAAAAAGGGAAGAACAAACCTCCAAAAAGCCATCCGCAAACGACGCCCCCTCCCCATTAACCTCTGCTCTTTCAAACGCCGCTCTCGCCAACGCCTCCCTCACAAAGACATCCATGTATTTCGCGACGACAGCGTTGGCGTCCTTGGCGATCTTGGTCTTGGGGTTCTGGAAGTGCGTATGTAGCAGCCGGGTCAGCAGCTTCGGCGGGATCTCGGGCTCGGCGAGAGTCACGTCGTTGGACTCTTCGGCGGCGTTGCCGTTGGTGATCTCCGCGAGAATAAAGTCTGGTTCGCCGGAGGCTGATCGCTCGCGACTCCCGCTGCGACTGCGACTGCGGTTGCTGAAGGGTGAGCCAGCGTCGGAACCTAGTTCGGAGTCCGTCGCGGCGGCGGCGGCGGCTGCAGCGGCGGCATCTGCGTCGTCGTCGTACGGGGTGGGACTTTTAGAGTCTGCGCGCGAGTTATTCTTGCGGGAGGATGAGGCGGGTTTGGATTTAGAGGACGAGGCGGTGGCATTCTTGGGGGATTTCGTGGTCGTCTTGGGTTTGGGTTTAGGTTTCGATGAATTGGAGGGTCCAGCTTCGGGGGATGTCTGGCGACGAGGGACCTTGAAAGGCCGTTGCCTTTGGTTTTGGGGCGGTCGTTTCGTGGGAGGCATGGTGGGTGACGTTGGTAGGTGATTGATGGCCAAGCTAGAGAGCGATTGTTGTTGAGAGGAATTAATCTTATCGCTCGACACGGAGCGCGACGCGAAGTCAGGTGATTCCAGCTCTATAGCTGCATTGCTGCTCGATTATTGATGATTTATGCAATATTAGAAATTGCTATGTAGAATGGCTGAAATACTCGCATTTGATTCGTTGAGTAGGTATCCTTGTTCTGGGAGATAATCGTTCCCATCTCAGGTTCTTCATAGTCTGTTGTTTCCCATCAAAATATAGAACCCGACGATATTCCCATCACATCAACAACCTACATCATTCCTCGCCTTCAGGACGAACAACAACAACATCCAATCCTGCATTCTCCAAGATTTTACGCGACAGACTCCAGTCAACCCGAAAAAGCCCCGAGTTAAATCGACACGACCAAAGTCCACTGATCGGCACTTCAACCGACTCATCGATCCGAAGCTCCTCAAGCTGCCGCTTCATATCCATAACAGCAAGCTCGGTGTTCGCGAGAATGACGTCAGGAGGACTAGCTTTCCTTCCGAACTTGCGCGAAGTAAAAAGACAAACGATCCAGTGCTTCTTGGTGCCGCGATGTCCTGCGTAATCCTTTTCCTGAGGCGGGATGATGAGCGTAGTCCCCTCAGGCGACAGAAGTGTTCGGGTTCTCAGGTTATCGTCATCGGGCCTCATTCCACCGCTGGCAGGAGGGGCGGTGGTGATTTTGGGAGACCTCATCAGCTTCTCGCAGTGTGTTTTGTAGATGGCATATGCAGCAGGATACTGATCACATTCCAGGGACAGTGTCAGCGACCGTGGGCTCAAGTAAGAGGATCTGATGCAACTTTCACTTCCAACCCACTCACTCACCTTGGTTCTAAATACTCTGGCAATACCAGCACTCCAGCAACCTTGACAGTTACAGGCATCTAGTACACAAGTCAAGCGAGTAGTTAGCAATCCCACGGCCAATAACCATGTTCTCTGATCGGGCAAACGTACGGATCAAGGCTGCTCCATCTGGAGCGTCGAAAAGGTTACCTTCCCTCTCTTCTATTTTGCTACTAACTGTAGTCGAATAGAACTGTTCCATCGTGCCAAGGAGCTTGAATGACTGAAAATTCTTGGATTGGATTGTGACTGTAGTTATCAACGTCTAGAGGGTTGTCCTGGCGAGACTTGGGAGGTGGTGTTGGCTAAAAGTTGCTAAGAATACATGCGAAAGGAAGTGAACAAACGAGGCCCGTCCTCCCGTAAACCATACGTTTGACCGAAGCTGGTTAGTCACTCTGCGTACTGCCATGGTTGCTTTCAGGTACTGCAGAACAGTCACGACCATCTCATTCACACACTGCCATCGACTGGATGAGCTAGATCATCCCTAATGGCGCTCTCCTCTCTCGCATGCCCCATTACCCCAGTCCATGAAGAAGTTGTTGCCTCTGAAGCAGGTGCACTATGAGTGCTACTAGATTTCAGTCTGCTCAGAGACCGTGTAATGCTTCTGAATATTCCTCGATCTTGCTCCTCGGAACTGGGGCGATCCAGTCGCGGGATTTCACCCATCATGGTGGCACCGTTCGTTGCAAGGTTCTCTTCGAGAGTAGGAAGGAATAGAACAACGCCTCTGTTCGGACCAATGAGGGCAACCTCTTGGAGGAGCCCCTGAATGAGGATGGTGCAGCGGAGATTGGTGGCTGGCCCTATGTGGTGTGGCAGCGCGAAGATCTTGATCAAGTAAGCGGGAAACCTGGGAGTGCCCATGTAAAGGCGTGAATCTTGCTGAATGCTGATCATGAACTGGCCGTCCGGTTTCTGGTAGATGCTGGCCATCCGAGACGCTAACAAAGAAGCAAACTCCTCGTCGTCCTTGACCTAATGTATAGTCAGTATAACAGTATCATACTGTTACCCAAAATAGATGAGGACATGTCATGAAACAAGCAAGTACAAGTCCTCACCCGTGTGCGCAATTTGATCTCAACTACTATGATATCCTCCTGGATGGTACGAGGCTTTGGGGATGCTAGAGGATTGCCAGTGCCGAAGAACTCCTCGAAATAGCGGGTCTTTGCTCGCGATATCGACTCCTCTTCACCATCGGTATTGGCTAGGCCAGTCTTGCCGTCCAAGGAGCGACCAGGAACAACAGAGACATCCATTCCCCCATCCTCGATATTCTCCACGAAAACGGATGGTCTAACAGGAGGTTTACCGAAAAAGGCCTTCTGCTTACCGGCGGGCCCAGGGTTGATACTTTGAACCGAGAACGCAGCAGGTGTTTCAAGAACCGGTACTGTAGGGGAGCTCGCAGAGGACGTGCTCGAATGATTGCGTTTCTTCATGCGCGAGAAGTCGAGCTTGCGGAGTCGTTGCGCCATATTCGGGAGCTGCTGATAAACGGTTCGACTCGAACGGTTTGCTGAATTAAAACGCGAAGAAGAGAACTAGAGCTGAATTGCTTGACACGCTGTTACGGTGTTACGATTGCCTGCCGAGCTAACTTTCCTGATGCGAGGCAGCCTCCCAAAGAAGAAAGGACGAACATCCGTGCCTGCCATGTTTGTTCCTACCAACTTGATACAATTAAGGAAGAGAAAGATAGATAAGGTATGCAAGGCTGGGTATAAGCGTGCACAAAGGCATGATCAGATGCTCAGCTCAGAAAGGCCAAAAAGTCAAAAGCCGAATTTCCACTGAGGAACACTTTGTCAATCCGCCGCCTTCGATCCCACATAATCTCTCCGTCGGATTTGCGCTTGATGTAAAGCACTCGATGCTGCGGGATGAACTCTTCGTCCGTTGATTCCCTCTTCCACGAGCCAATGCCAACTTCTAAGCGCCCCTCGAACCGGTCCTCATATCCAATGATGTAGTTTGCACTGTCATAATTGGAATCCCAGATGATGCGATTAATGATGTCTGCATTGCCTATGTCAGTAACCAAGACCTCAGAATGAGCTTATAGAACGAATACCCGTTGCTGGACGAAGCCTGTTTTCCATCGATGCCGGTGTTTGCGTGCTTGAAGTGACATGTTGGGGCGTTTCAATGGGAGCATGTTTCTCTTCTTGAGCAGTGGTTTCGTTATCTTGAAGATCACGGACAGCTAGATCGCGATCCAGGGCCTCTTCTGAGGCTAGGGTAGGTACTCCGGACGCCATGGTGGGTGATATCTCAAGCTTCAAATAGTGACAAACTGGAAAAGGGTAGATTGATGTTGAAGAGCAATTGATTCAGAAGTACAGGATACTTATACGTTAGTCTGGACTCTACAACTGAGTTCAAATTGAAGGCTTCCCAAACAACAAGCCTCAGCCTAGTTGGGTTACATGGTGATCAACGAGGAGTCAGAGGCACCAAAACAAAGATTAGCATTCATCCAGTCCTGGCGGGGCTGCATCAAACTGGATGTTGACATTGCGCAAGTCAGCCGTGAAGCGATCCCCAAATTCAACAGGCAGGTGGTACAGGACAAATCGAGGCACTGGCCGAATGAGTCAAAGGAAGGTGCACGGTTCTTGATGACTCCGACGACCGGCTGCTATGACTCATTTGGTCGACGGGCGATGGGGCTGGAAGCTAAAGAGGAGAAAACATAACAAAAATAGAAAATAAAAATCAAGCAAAAAAAAAGGGGAAATTAGTGAGGCAACGGATGATACGAGCGAAGGAAAGCAAAAATCGAAAAAGAAATCTCCGATAGGGGGAATCGAACCCCCGGCTGCCGTGTGAGAGACGGCGATGTTAGCCACTACACCATATCGGATTGTTGTTGAATTCAATCACCAATTCTGACATCATAAGCCAGGCCCAAAGGTTAACGCCAGGGAAACGCATGCCTATAATCTCAAAACATGCAGTTTAGCTCCACCGAAGTACTTATGATTGTAGAAAATTGGAAAAGATAATTAAACGCTGTCCAAAATTTCTTTCATCTGCATCTCCCTTCCGATGGCTGCTCCACAGCTTGATTCTAGCGTGTCTTAGTCCAACGGTCGGTATTCCGCGTCCAGGAAGTTGGAGGTCAACTATTTTACTCCCGCGCAACGCGTCTCCCGCAACGAAAGTTCGCCTGTTCAACCTCCCTCACTCTGCACTGAAGATGCGCGATAGTCCCGCCATCTTATCACGATGAACGACGCGACAAATTCTTTGCTCGCTGAGCACTTCAGCTATACACCTTTGGTGAGTCTTCCGGCCGGTAATTGCCTGGACACATGCGCCTGCCCCTCACCTCCTGGCTTCTCCCAGCTAACGCGACGCAGTCTCTCATAGATGACGTTATCAACTCCATCAACAATTTGATATATCAGGCCATCTCAAGTCTCGAATCTGGCCTGCTCTCGACCCCTCCAGAACGATTGGGCTTTTCTCATGCGAACAACGGTTCCACCATCCCCGACACCGACGAGGATGGCACCGTTGTTTATCCCGAGGCGCGACTGGAGATTGAAAATGGATTGCATCAACTAGAGACCCTTCTCGAGGCTACCGTCGACAAGGCATTCGATAAATTTGAGATTATCGTGCTGCGAAACACATTCAGGGTTGAGGATGACCTTCTGGGGTGGATTCGGTTGAATCATTATCAGGTACGGGGTTCGGCTGCGATTTTCACACGACCGCGCTCGATGCTAATATGCGCTGTTTTATTATGCAGAATCTTGACCTCAACCCCCCTCCAAACACGCCAACTCCCGAGACAATCCAGGCTCAGCGCAAAAAGCTCCAGGAGACTAAGAAACTTAACCGGTCAATGAAAGAAGAGTGCGCCCGAAATGATGCGATTATCTCTCAGCTACGGTCTATTTTGTCGACTGTGGGCTTGACCCAGGCGGCAAGTTCGACAAAGGTGGAGGGCGAGCCAGAAATGCCTGCGCCGTCTAGCAGCAAAGACTTGGATCTGTCGTTCTTGACAGCTAGCCCCGCTGCTCAGCAACTGCGGGTCGGTGTGGCAGGTTCTAACACCCAACATACGCCCCTCACGACGAATACGACTTTCATCGTTTCTCAACTCCCTGCGCTCAAGACGATGCTTGCACAGCTCCGGCCCAAGTTGGCCGCGCTGCCGAAATCGGTGGATCTTGCGAAGGAGTCTAAGGCTGATGAGAGAAGGGAATACATTGAAAGCCGGATTAGACTGCACCTGGAGCGAGCCGGGCAGCTTGCCGTGGGCAGTGACGGCAACCCGGTGATCGCAGGACGAAAGATGAGCATTACAGAAGCACAGGCACTTGAGGCCGTGACAGGCTTGCTAAGCCAGGGCGACAAAAAGTCCGACTAACAGTCGTTGCCGCCGTGCCAATCACTGGAGGATGGCCAAACATCGTCAACTTTTCTTATTCCATCTGAAGCGACAGTGATTGACATAAATGTCACTAGGAAACTATGTGGACCAGGTTACGCTCCACGTCTGCTGGTTCCTTCTGAACGGAACCACGTCCACCTTTCCTGACTGGAGGATATCTGCAATCTTCTCTTCTTTCTTCTCGAGGACCAGGAATTCCTTCTGCTCCTCTCCAAGGCCGTAAAAGTTACGGCCGAATTTACTCATGAAACCCTCAACGATTTCGGGGGTAATGTCCTCATCTTTCAGAACGCCATTCTGAACGGCCTGTTCGAAGGCGTCGATGACGAGCTGGGTGGTGTATGGCTGGGTGAAAACACCGGCGGCAATCTTGTCTCCTCCTCGCTTGGAGGCTGCGGGGTGCGGCGCACTGTCGGAGCCAAAGAAGAATTTGGGGTTGCCAGATGCCGCAGCTCGCAGAAGGGCATCGCGATCGGCAGGCGTTTTGGCGACAGGCTTGCAGAAGCAGAAGGGGTCTCCCGCCCAGTGGTCGACAACGATAGCCAAGTGATGGGCAGTGAGTGTGGCAGCCACCGAGGGTCCGCACTTCTTAACAGCCTCTACTGCAGCCGCGGTCGTGCAATGTTCTAGGATGATCCGGAGCTTGGGGAAGCGCTCGTGTAGCTGCAACAACGTGGGAAGGAAACGCTCTTCTGCCGAAAGGACGGTCACGTCGCCCGTCGAAGGGACTTCACCGTGGAGGTTCAAGACCATGTCCTGACGTTCCATCTCTTCGAACACGGGATAGAACTGGGTATAGTCCACTACGCCAGAGGAGGAGTTGGTCGTCACGCCTGCCGGGTAGCTCTTGACACCGGTGACGCCTCTTTTCTTGGCTTCGACGATGGTTTCAGGAGTCACCGTCTCGTGGAGGTACAAGGACATGAGATAATTTACGTTAGGCTCAATGGCCTGCAGGCGCTTTTTGTAGTCGAGAGCACGGTCGACGGTAGTGACGGGTGGCACAAGATTTGGCTAGAGAGACCATGTTATCTTAACAAGACCTTCAGAGTAGCAATTTATCGGACCGCTCCTTAGAAGCGAGCCCTTACCATGACAAAAACAGTGTTGACACCACCTTGTCTGATGGTGGGGGTCACCAGCTCCATCATATCGCCATCGCGAAGATGGACTTCACCGAATTGTTAGCGCGCAGTTCCATACGGCGGAATTGGTATGAATCGAATGCATTGACGGACTGCTACAGTGGCGCGACAATGTCTCAATGTCTCAACATACCATGGAAGTCCGCCGAGGCGGGGAGTTTGATGCCCTGCAGCTGCGACAACGGCATGACGGTAATCGACGGGGGACTAGAATCCCAGAGTCAAACAGAAAATGTAAGATATAAAGAAAATGAATCAACACTCCAACCAATCCTGAACGGGTCGAATGGAGTCAGCGATAGAGTGGCTGCTGAGTACAGAACAAGTCGATCGTCTTTTCCCCGCGGATATTTTTTTTTTATTATCGTGGGGTTTGAGCCAAATTGGACTGCTGATTGGTCACGCGGGGGAATGATGTCACGGGATCTGGTGTCTCTTCCCGCCGTCTTTTCGTGCTTTTTTGTCTTCTTCTCTTCTCTTCCTCATCTCTGGAGGTGCTCAATCTAAAGTTGCTCAAAGTGAAACCCTTCGACGCTTTTTATGTCTATAATTAAGCAGAATAGCCAGGACGATGAAATGCACTACTGTGACAAACACTTTTAGAACTACTCCAATGGACCATCTCCGATGAACAGCGACAGGTTTCAATCAGAATTGATCTTTCACTTGATTCAAACTGAATAAAGGACTGATAAAGACAGAATAATTGGCAGGAGTCTCTGATATCTTATTAGCTGAAGTCACCCACTTTGCTGGCCTAGACCCTCTCCGGGGTGCCGTGAGACGAGCTGACCACCACGCGCAACTTTGCGGAGATTAACGTGATCAATATGTGATGTTAATCAGACGGTCGGACTGATTCGCTCTGTGAAAGCGCCAGCCCCTGAATATAGGCGCCTGGATCGACAAGGTTCAGTCCAACCCGAAGAATAATTCTTCAGGAGACCTCGGCGCTTAGTCCATTAGCAGGGATTGGTGCGAACCAGCGCCCTGTACCCTGTGTGGCCTGCAGAATCAATGATTTCGCTGGAAAAAGGTTTTATTGGGTGTCTGAAAATACATCAAACTCGGTCTGTGTGCTTATGGCCTGACTATCGGCGACCTGAATGTTCTCCTGAGTGTTTGCTGTCTGTTCGAGTCTGTACTTTTTGGACCTCTATTTGCTATATCTTCCCCCTTCCCCCATTTTGCTCACTTGCTCACCATCCCATTCTTTCCACGGACATCAGTCCAAACTTGGCCCAGTATTTCCGGCAAGTACTGGCCCAAATACGTTCATTTGTCTGTGTTGCTACTGTTCGAGTGCCGTTGAACTGCCTTTGTGAATCTACAATCTCTCTCTTTTGTTTCTGATCACAACATTTGCCTGGTTCAGGAATGCGTCTTTCCGGCTTGTACAAAAACTCTTTTAACCCGACAATGGATTCTGTGTCTTCATTTGGAGGGTCTTACCATGCCTCCGTATCCTGTGCATCTGCCGAGGAGGAATCATCGTTTCTTAAGCGAGCTCGTTTCCTGCACTGGATTAGACTTGGGCTTTCTGCTGCGATATTCGGCGTTTCTGTTTCAATCATTGGCTGCGAAGCCGTCCCTCTACTGCATTATCGAAGAACATCCGCGTTCGAGAGGTCTTGGCTATTCCTGTGGCCTCTGAATTTCGATTTACGCCCGACAATTGCGTTGCTTTCTTGTGGGTGTGTGGTCGCATTCCAAACCATCCTGTACATCGTCACGACACTTCTACCCTCGGTAAGTTCAGCATTCTGCCCTGCAGATTCTCATATATTTGGTCTAACAATGCATGCAGCCCCGATCGCATATAAGACGTCTGAATTTATTTGCAGCCGTTGTCGCTATCTCCGGATTCATAGTGGCCTTGGTGGGAATTGTGCTCGCGATTCACTTGCCAAGCTCGTCGGCTCCCAAGGGGTTTGCTCGTCACGAGACTCTTCACTCTTGGACATGCAAATGGAAGAGCGTGCGAGGGACCCCTTCGATCAACCCCAATAACACCATCGCTACGCCGCCGTCCCATTTTGCCCGGGATTGTGCAACGACTAGGGCCGCCTTTATCATGATGGGACTGCTTGTTGGATTGGAAATCGCCATGGGGATTGCGGTAGGAGCTGGGATATGGTTTGAAAGGAATGTGTCGAAACAGCGAGGCCAGGATATGCCTCAAGCAGAGAAGGTGGAAATGGTGCCCAAGTATCCGGGCACTTGAGGAAGATATGTGCTGCTGAAGATGTACGAGCGACCGAGCCCTGGAGGTTATGGTCACAACTCCCTGTACCTATCTATCCCTCTGGCTAGTCTTGTTGAGAGGAGCGTGTATTCTCTTCTTTGTATTTGAAATGACGGGCCGAAGAACTCTGAGCAGTAACATAACATGCTGTACTAGTTTTATTAATGATAGTTTATTGGATATCTCTGCTTACATTTTTGACTTTTGGATACATCGTCGCCGGCAGTCCCGTCGGTCCTCGGCTTCCCCACAGATTAGTCGTGCCCGCCGACCACCCCGGATACAAATACTCACCACATCTCCCTGACGATCAATCTAGAACCACGCTATTAACCAGAATTCGGTCCACCGTCCACAAATTCGAAGATGGGCAAAAAGATCGAGTGCTATCTTGACTGTGGTAAGCGCTCTGACGTCATCGACAGCAGCGCCTCTTGTGAGATTACTGATGCTCAGTCTCGGCGTAAACAGTTTCACCGTACAGTTTCTATGCTTTCTCCTATTTACAGATGAATGCAGCTGCACTGGCGGATCTGGGTGTCGATATCGAGTATGCTTTTTGCCCTTTCCATACATCAAAAAGAGCATGTTGCTGATGTTTCATCTTTCAGGTACATTCCCGTCTTCTTAGGCGGCATTAACGTGGGCAGCGGTTCGTTTCTCCTTTCCTTTTGAATCAAACTAATCGATTGAAAGATGTTCGGGCTATGAGAATCTAATGCGGCGAATCAATTACATCAGGAAACAAACCCCCATGGACCCTACCTGCGAAAGCTGCTTATTCCAAGTTCGACGGCCAGCGAGCCCAGAAATACTTTGGACATAACTTCGAAGTACCATCATTCTTCCCGATTCTCTCGCTTTTGGTAGGTTTTATCCTCCCTACCCCAGAGTCCTACATGGCTAACAAAACCAGCCCCAACGCGCCCTCACCTACATCAAGCAAGCCCACCCCAAGGAGAAACTCGAATCAGCATTCCAATGCTGCTTCGACACGATGTGGAACGGCCATCTCGACATCTCCAAACCCGAAAACCTCGCCACGGCCCTGTCGAAGACATTCTCCTCGACCTCGGACGTTGAAGCCATTCTGTCCGCCGCCGCGAGTCCCGCGATCAAGGCGGAGTTGGCGGCGACGACGGAGCGTGTCGTAAAGGAGCAGGGCGCGTTCGGGTGTCCGTGGTTTTGGGTGGTGAATGGGGAAGGAAAGGGGGAGCCGTTCTTTGGGAGTGATCGGTTTCATTATATGTGGGATTTTTTGGACCTGCCGTTTCAGGATTTGAAGTTGAGGGCGAGTATTTAAAAGGTTATTGGATCTTGGGGTGCTACATACTGTCCATTACATTTAGTTGAGTCACCAAGGGTTATAATCCAACAAATAACATGAGTTGAGATCTAAACATTGTCCCGAATTTTCTTATCATCAAGTCACTCGTGATAACCAGATGGTTCGTCATACAATTTGCATTTGCAAAAGGCATTGGATACCATCGCACACCTCCTCTCCGTCTCACTTGCCTTTACCAGGCATTTGATTCCTCAACATCAAAGGAGCCTTCAGTCGTCTCCCGAAGCATTCGTTCTCCAACCTCGCAATCTGCAAGATCAAGCTGCGAAACAGCCTCAGCGATCTCAGACAAGGCGTCAATGTGTTGGGCAGCCCGCTGTGCCCTCGTGATCTCCAAACGACGGCGAACGAGTTTGCTGTGTCAACTCAGTCAGTTATCAGTGAGTTGGTCTAGCCTTCAGATGTCTATGGGCTCAACAGATAGTATCTGGAATCATGCTACTCACATGCCGGTTTCAGCAACATTTTTTTCCGAGCTGGAAATATCGGCCGCGAACAGTTTTTCGAAAAAGGCACTTTCGGCCTCAATGTAATGAATCTCGGCGGCATCATAGTCTTGCTGGTGGATTTCCGCTGCCGCCAATCCAACCCATCCCCTAAAGTTGCGTAGCATCATTAGCCCCGGAAGTGCCGTGAGTTCGCTGAACTTACAGGGCCAACATATTACAGCCGGAGGGTCCCTCGGATGCCAATTGAGGTATCAGGTTCAGGAACAATTCCTGCGCTTTGTTGAACTGGCGGAGACGCAACAAACAGTAGCCATACATCACGAGGTGCGGAGCCAAGCGACCGCGAGGTTCGTCCCCATCTTCTATCAACGACTGCCACCATGCTCCGGACAGCTCGTACCATCTCTCAGACTCCTCGTACTGGCATGCTTTGTAATGATAATGCCCCACTTTGCACACAGTGCCGTATACCTGTGCCTTCTTAAGCGGCGTTTCCTGCATCCGGATTGCACAGGCCACCTTGATGAGCTCGATTGCTTTGGTATGATCCCCAATAATATCAGCGAGCTTAGCCTGAGTGCTGAGAGTACAGGCCTGCAAGTTCAACTTTTCCGGCCCGTCCTCAAGTTGGTACAGCGTGCGCATGGTGACCTCACAAGACTGCTCAAGCAAGTCTCGACTCTTTGTCTTGCAAAACCAGCTATAAAATCGGAATTTAGGGACAGCCGGGTTTCAAAGACAACGACACTTACATTTGACAAGCCTTGAGAAAGGTATAAATCAGAGCTTCAGGAGCCGCAATCTCAAGAAGCCACTCGGCGTACAGTTCCATGGTGCTTGGATGAAACATGAATCCGTCGTCACTTGCAGGGTCCTGAAAAAGAATGATATTGATTTGCTGTGCGATACTGTCTTCAAGACTGTAGTAATTATCAGCCATACTGTTATATAGGCACAGTCAATGTGAAGAATATCGGCATAGAGGAGGGATACAACCCCCAAAGTGAGAACGAACAGACTATATACCTCACAACTCAACAAGTAGGCAGAATCACTCAGGAGAAACAGAAAACAAGCAAGCGAATATACCCCGGACATGTAACCCGCCCAATAACCACTCTGATCCTCCGCCACAGCAAAGCCCAAATGCAACGGTGAATGTCCTATGCTCCAGTAACAAGCCCTGTAAACGCACGCTTTCGTTTTCTTTGTTCTTGCTTGCGAGGCACTTCGTGGAGCTAGCCCGATCCAGTAATCATAGATGTATATCATAAACCGCGATGCTACCCAGATGACCATGGCATGACCTAGAATCAGGGGGCTCTGGAGTCTGGACATGGCGGATGGAAGTCCCAACCATGGTTCATCGGTACAACTCAAACCGATAATGCAGGGGTTTGGAACCCGATCCTGCTCAAGGGTGATTACTGCTGCTTCCAAACCCGTGGTTCCTCGCGTCAAATGGTGTCATTGGATGACTGATCCCAGCGCCTGTGACACCGAAGCTTGACTTTTAGTGGCAGTTTGTTCTGGCCAGACGCGCTAGCAGAAATGAGGACAGATGGAGCGGAAGATGTTTGAACGGATATTGGAAGCGGAGGGGATTGCTAGATGGTGATTGCTGGACGGATTCTGGTCTTGCGCTTGTGTACGGCCGCCTTGGACAGGGGTGAAGCTTTGATTCGGCCAGTCAGTTACAGGTTGCAATATGGCTTGATTTGCCGTATCGGGATGTAGAGAAGAGGCTGTAAGATGAACGGGAGAAACGAGGAAGAGAATATTCATAGAACATACATGATCCGGTGTGATTTATTCGACGACTTCTCGAACTTTAACAGGTTTTGACAGAAAGCTCGACCATAATTCTGTGGCCGATTGTTTGTTTCGAAGTTGACAGCTGTTAGGTGCGACAGATCGAGTTGGCTCATAGGTAAGGTACCTTAGTAGACGGTGCTATAGAGTAACACCGGCATCACTTGCTCGTGTCCGCCAATATTTCGGCAGTCTAGGCCCCCCCTTTTTTCTTGATCCCCGCACTTGAGCGAGAAATTAACAGCGCTGATATTAAGAACGCAGGATGCAAATAGGCTGCCAACATGAGGGGTTTCAGGTGGTGCCTATACTATACTATACCCACCGTATCCAGTTAGTCTGATTCCTCAATGTCACTGCTATCTATGATTGGTTCCTCTAAATGTTATAATCCACATAATTCTTTCGCGACCGCCCGGCAGAATATCTATCTTCAGTGACCCATCTTCTACCTTCCCTTGGCCAACCCCCCCCAACATCTTTTCAACTAGTCACGGAGCCAGCCTCTTTTCTCTGAGCTAAGCTCCCGAGCCAAAATGTTTGCAGACCCAGCGACCGTCCAAGACCTCGATCTCGAAGACGAGCACTATGACTCCGAAGAAGACGAGGACTTCGACGCCGCCGCCGCAGGCCAAGATGATGACGAAGGACTCTCATCATCCGATAGCGACGACGACGACGACGAGGCAAAGACCGACGAGCCGGCGACTAAGAAACGCAAGAAGGGGACGCGACAAGATATCGATGATGAGGAGTTAGGGTCCGGCGACGAGGCGACGATACGGAATGCGAAAGCGAAGAAACTGAAGAGTAAGGGGAAGAAGCAGAAGAACTCGAAAGGTGGTAGTGGTGGCGGTGCACAAGACGAGGATGATGACGATGACGATATGGATTTTGATGATGATGAGGAGGGTGGACCGGGGGGATTTGTTCGGACGAGAGCGATGAAGATGCGCACGTATGTATCCTCCGGCCTTCTCCTTTTCTTGCCTGGTTTGGGTTGATTCGCGATGAGCGAGTTACAAGTATATGGGTATTGACTTTGTGCGTGTTCAGACAGGAAGAAGAGCGAAAACCTCTCGCGAAGATCGACGGCGCGACAGTCGACGTGGACGCCCTATGGGCTAAAATGAACGCGCCAGATACACAATCCACAACACAACCTCCCGAGAATGAGACACAAGAGACAAAACCCCAAGCAGCAGATGGCGACGCGAACAAGACATCGACGCAAGCCCCCCAGACCGAAGAACCATCGACCGCGCAAACCAAATCCAAATACGCAGAGGAAATGGTCAAGATCAAACGGACCTACAAATTCGCCGGCGAAATGATCACCGAGGAGAAACTGGTTCCCAAGGATTCCGCCGAGGCCAAAATCTACCTCGCCAGCGGCAACGACGCGGAGACCGTGCCGGTGTCTGATCCAGACGCGGAACGGGAAAATGCGAAAGCGGCGCTGAACCTGCGGAGACCGCTTCGCAGAATTTCGCGCTTCGATCCGAACCCGACCGGAAGCATCAAGAAGAGCTGGGAGAAACAACCCGCTGCGACGGCACAGGCAGCCGGGACGGAAGAGAACGCCCGTGGTCCCAAGATCAACACCGTCGAGAAATCCCGGCTGGACTGGGCGGCGTATGTGGACCAGGCCGGCATCAAGGACGAGCTTACGGTACACAGCAAGGCCAAGGAAGGATTCCTGGGCCGGATGGACTTCTTGGACCGCGTGGGCGCCAATCGAGAAGAGGAGATGAGGAATGCGCGGTTGAAGGGGCGGTAATTCGTCACTCGTCATTATTTCTACTCGCTTTAAGCAGACTCACCGGGCTTGTGGGTCTGGTCGGCTGTACTTGTTGTCGATTATATATGGCCCTCAAACCCAACACGCTGTTGATGCAATCCTTGCACGCAGTAGAACCTCGACTTACGAGTGATATATAGGCCGCATTCGCACGGGTCCATTTTACTCTCAAGTGTGGTGAATCCAGGGCCTAGACCATACTATACCAATTGCTTTCGTGACGATCCAGCAGGAGTGTCGTTGCGATGAAATAACAAGCAATCCTGGGTTATCAACACATGCCAATCCCAGATACCCTGTGTCTCTATTACCGCTGTCAGGTATTCGAACACTCCTGTGATGGAAACATCGTCCTCATTTGTAGGCGATGCATCGATTCCTCAATCAATATTCATATATAGGGCGTCTCAGACCTCGCTCTGATCATAACATGTACATACATACATACATACCAACCAAATCATCATCAGAATCAAATCACACCTCATCTCTGTACACCATTTTGCCTTGTTGTTCACGAAAAAAATCCACGTCACTTTAGACCTAAACCAAACGAGCAGCCCGACCCACCCTCCTTCTCATCATCGCAGGGATCGAGGAATTGTTACTCTTAGGCTTAGCCAGGTACTTGATACCAGAGGACGGGCAGGTCGAATCGGAGACTACAACAAAATCAGCAAACCATGCTCTGAGCATCTAGTATCTACAGCAATCGAACTTGAAAAAAAGGAGAAGTGTGAAACTTACGCGGACCAGTAGGCTCGTAGTCACCGTCGATCGCATTGCCCCTGATGTTGAAGTAGTACCAGGCCTCGTTCAGGGCCCCGCTTCTGCAATTGACGGTGGGTTTGAAGCCGCCGTTGAGTTTGGCCAGGGCCGATTCGATCTCGTCTAGATCGTAGGTTTTGGAGCCGGGGGTGATGCCGGCGTCGGCGAGGGCCTGTTTTCCCTCTGGTTAGAGAAGAGAATCTCCCATTGGGTGAAATGGTGATGATTATGCGGGGATCGTTCGGTCATCTTATTTAACTATCTTACCTGGTAGGTGTCAAGACCCTTGAAGAGCTCGACGGCTTTGGCGAGATAGTCGCCGACTTCCTGCTGCGGGGTGTAGTCGGTGTAGCAGCTGGGTTCGATGGTGTTGATGCAGGTTCCTGTTTTATGGTATGGTTTAGACAGAAGGTCTCGGGACAAGATCTTGAACCTGAGTAAACGTGGGGTCTTAGCATACCGTGCTTGTTCCATTCATGCTCCCAGAAGGACTCGTCGTCGCCGTCATAGTCCTTCCAGTAGGTGTTCATGTAGGATAGCAGCTCGTCACGGCCCTGCTCCTTGAGGATAGCGGTGATATTGGAGAACTCTCGCGATGAGTCGCAGAACTCCTCGTAGCTGCCGTCACAGTTGTCGGGCCTGGACATGCATTAGTTCCCCTTGGCCTTTATCTGCTGGTACAATAGTATTATTCATCCTACCAAAGTCCGTGGATGGTCCAGGAATCAGAAGGTCCCGTCGCAGGGTCCGTATCCCAGAATTGAGTGAGCAGGAGGGTACCTCCAGGAGCATTGAAGCAGCAAGAATCCGACACGGCGGTCGAATTGTTGCAGCTGAGAGGGATATCATTGGGACAGGTCTGGAGATCAGCCAAGGCGCCGGAAGCAACCTGCATGGCACCGAGAGCCAGCATGCCCATTGTGGGGAACGATGAAGAAGGCATTATGAGGTCGGTCGGTTCACAGATGTAGGATTGGACCTGAGCAAGGGTGTGAAAGAAGAACAATTGAGAGAAAGACCGGGCAGACGACGAGCCCACTTATATATCACTTCGTGGAAAGGCTAGATGACCTAACTATTATCGAAATGGTCCCCAAACTGCCGAGGGCTAGGTACAATCTCGTTCTGCAGCCCACGATTGTTGATAGCGGCACATGTCTTGATAAGAGGCCGCTGATTTGACGGGAGATACGACGGCCGGGAGATCAAAGGAAGCTAACAGATCGGATAACGCCGTCGAGACCCGCCCGTCTCCTGATTCCGTTAGACACTAGGAGATGGCCAGGCACCGCGCCTGGCCAATTGCATGCCAGCGCCCGGGGTTGCACCAGTTACCAGGCGATGATCCCGTCGGGGGGCCTTCGGGGTAAGGCTCAAGGACAGGACGGCGGATGGTCAGCTTGAACATGATAATGAAGATCGCGGGCGAAGTTCTAGGCGCTAATTATCAGGACGTTGCATTGATCGGCCGGCTGATTCGTGTTTCCTCTTTCTTTCCGCCAACGCGAGGAAGGCAATCGCAGGCTTTCCCCGCAAGCCAGTTATCCACCTGATTGATTCGTGGATGGGTTGTGTGTTTTGTTAGGATTGACGCAGGTGATCAGAATCCTGCGGTCGGATCAACACTGGGCCGTATAATGCTAGAGGCGAAGAAATTTGAGTGCAGAATAGACATGATGAAGAAGGGCCAGTTCGGCATAGATTCATGTTGATTATACGTCGCTGCGCAGACGAAGACGGGCATGTTCTCTCGGTAGTTGCCCCAGAAAGACCGTTGCTCAAAGCGGGATCCCTATCACCAGGAATTGACTTCTCCGGAGCATTTCATCAAGAACACTAGAATTCTATAAAGAAATATTAGCAGGCGAATAAGAACAATCAATTAGCAAGATGGGAATTATCATCTACTGATAGTCAGAAGAGCGACGTACTATCAACCATCATCATCCAGCACAATAACCATGATAGGGCAGTCCCTTGTCAATTTGGAGCGTTGAATCATGCAAGACCTACCAACTAAAAACAAGCACCGAGACTATCGAGCCTCATATCAAGCTTAAGACAAACATGGATGACTTCAGGGGGATGAGGAAGAAGGAGAAACGGTTATCCACGGAAGAGAAGCTTATTGGCCTGATGGCCTGAGTCCACCATGGGACTTTCTGCCTCACGCCTTGTATGACACATCTCGTCCCAATGCCCTGGGTTCATGTCTGTTTACTCTGACTCCGATTCATGGGACCAATTCTACCAAAATACTATCTATCAGCCGGACCTGAACCCTGATTTACATACCATGCAACCAAGCAAACAACAATTCCAAATCACCTCCATCCAAAATGAAGAGCACATCTCCGCAGCCCGGGCCCTCTTCATAGCCTACACCGAATGGCTCAACGTCGACCTTACATTCCAAGACTTCGCGTCAGAGCTCCAATCTCTACCGGGCAAATACAGCCCCGCCCACGGAGGAGAGCTTTTACTTGCCTACAGCGCAGACGAAACAAAGACACCGCTAGGTTGCGTGGCTGTCCGACCTCTTCCCCTCCAACCAGACAGCCCGACGCACGATCAAGAGGTTCCCCAATCCCAGTCTGAAACGCAAAGAAGACAAAGGACGTGCTGCGAAATGAAGCGACTATACGTCTCTCCCGAAGCACGAGGAATGGGACTAGGGACGGCGTTGACCGATGCGGTTGTTCAGAAAGCGAAGGAGCTGGGGTATGCGGAGATGAGGCTGGATACGCTTCCTCATATGGCCGGGGCTATTCAGCTGTATCGACGATTGGGGTTTGTTGATATTCCGCCTTACTATGAGACTCCGCTGGAGGAGACGGTGTTTTTGGGTTTGGATTTGACCTGAGGAATGGGGGTAGACCGAACTCCGTGTGTTTAATAGAATAGAGGTAGAGTAGTCACAGCCCAGCAATGAGAAGGCAGGAAGTGCTGTAAGGCGGGTCCAGACTTGATCGTGAGGATAGTGATCTGTTTAACACAATCTGCAGAACCGTACATTCGAGGACATGATACTCCTAGTAGGGACAACTCTCGATAGTAGAGCCCCGTATTCAGATAGAAAACAGTTAAAATAAACAATTCCATTCTGATAATAAAACCGAGACGATGTTCTATCCTAATCACAACACACCAAAGTCCTCAAGAAAAATCGCCTCCTCAATAAACTCAGACTGTTGAGCTTGAAATTTTTGGAATAGCACTCATCGACAGGGATGTCCTGCATCATGCTAAAAGAAGGAGAGTCATCATAGTAATGAGCGAGGCGATTTTTCATCATTTCAAATCGAATTCCATTGCGGCGTGATCACGAACATGACCGTCGCAAACACCCTCAGCTTGCTACATGATCAAGTCAATGGATATATGTTCAATCAGATCTGGAACCGGATCTAAAAAAGACAACAGTCAGACCAGAGTCCGCAAAACGCACACATCAATGCATCTCCGCGTCCCCGTGAAAGCTGAACTGGATACGGGACAGTCAAAGTCGAAAGACACCGCAGATTTTGGACAGCTTTTTATTTTAGTGTGCTTATGTCAGCGCACTAGGCCGGAGGACCGAGTTATGCAGGGACACTGTTGGTAAGCCGATACATAATCCTGTCATTATAGTTATGCCAACCGGGTTGGTCAGGTGACCCAAACTCTAAAAAACCACAGATTTCAGGTGACTTTCTGGGCGTGGTTTTTTTGGAAAATAACAGAATTTGTATGCGCTCTGATTCTTACACGTCGCTAGCAACATCAAAAAACTGGTTCAACCTACAAATCTTTTGCATATTGCGAACATTTGAGCGCGCTATCTAGACCTCCTGTTAGATTTCGACTATCGTCTTTTTTGCGGCTGTGAGAGCCGATTGAAGTTCCCCAGAGCCATTTGTCGCATTTTGCTACGATCGAGCTTCTCGGGCAGTCGATCGCTCTGGGCCGTCGGCTTGGCGGCGGCTGATTCTGCCGACGAAGATGGCGGGTATGGAACAACCATTTGCCGGAGTGTGCTGAGGGCTCTCAATCACTCCACGCTATCGAGTATCATCACACGAAGTCTACTCTGTACTCTTGGAACAAGGCAGACCAGGAAGAGAAACTGAGAGACTACTGATCTCACTACTCAAGCGCTTTGACCAGAAGCCATCGTCGTCACCATTTGAAGTCCATCGTAATGTGATCGCATGACCTCGATCTCAACTCATCACAGCTCAGAACCTCTAGCTTGCGCTCGACCCTCAAAGAAAAGGGGAACCCAAATCGCGAGACAAAAGCAACCGGCCCACATGAGAGACAGAGCAAAAGCGAGCGAGAAGAAGACCGAAACTGGTGGGGGACCCAATCAATAAAAACTCTGCAGAACCCCGTCAGTCACGTTCAGCAATCAATCCCAGACGCTACTCCGTTAACTACCTACAGCTGTATCCTTAAAAAAGTAAACGTTATTGATCCTATGGCGCAGGAGATTCACTAATACCCTGTTCATGGTGATATCATTTTCTGGTCTGGATATATTTTCCGCCTCGTAATATTATCATATACAGGAGCATCCGTCCATCCATCGAGACCAGGTACGTATGATATCAGATCCCAAAAAAGGTTGGATCGACTTTCCACAGCCGTGTAACCAGCTCACCGGTACTCCATTTGCATTATAATTTGCTGCGGCCCTCATAGATCTGAAAAAAGTAGCAATGTGGATGATCGTGCGTTGTTTTGTTTTTTTTTTTTTTGGATTCTAGATTATTTGCGGTCGGTGGGACTTTGCAGGGATGGACGGACGGCAATCAAATCAAATTCACATGGTCTCTTGAGGGAGGAAGTCGGTGAGGGAATTTCCTTTCGTTTCTTTTTCCTAAGCACAGTACGGAGTAACTATCTCCTCCCCCTCCCCCTTTCTTGCTCTTACTTGCAGTGCTGCAGGATTTTGCTACTTGCTGTCTTGGTAGGTGGGTGTATGTACCCGGGCAGGCACCTATTGCTAGTTACATACTAAGGTGTCCTGACTGTTTCACCGTACCCAAGGAACTCAGTCGGTACAGTAGTCAGCTTCATTTCCACATCGTGCAGACCTCGTCGATCACAATCATACTTCGCGGTAGACATTTGCATTGCATCTCTGAGGTGTTCCTGTTTCCTATGAGCAGGGTTCAAACTCTAAGACGAGGAAGGTGGTATTGGGGGGAAGAGGAGGGTGGTAGATGAACAGGGAGGATATGCATTGCAACTGTTCGATGCAGGGTCCAGCCTAAGTGCGAACTTTGGGTGCTTTGGGGGCTGGAAGTTAGAATCTAAGACAGCCCACCGAGTACTACCTCACTAGGGACTGCTCCTGGTATAGTACCAACAGTAGGTAGGTAGGTACTTTGTTGTTGCGCGGAGAAGTACTGTAGTTGGTCACTTGGTTCAGTACTAATCCCAGCCCCATTCATCCAGAGATTCTTTCTTACTACTCCGTCTAGAACGGGCGATAGAAACGAGAAATACGAAATGAAAAAAAAAAGAACTACAGACCCGACATCCATTCAAGAGACAAAAGCAACTATTACATGATGCAAGAATGCAATAAAACGCTAAATTAGGGAATCCGTACGCAGTCCATAGTACCTGAGGTACCTATCTACCTCCACAGTTACATACAGATGAGAGATGAGGATCCGGAGCCAGAGAGCCGGCTCGATCTGGGGTTCCATTTCTGCTGGGTTGCATCGAAGCCTACCTACAGCCTAGCGGCTATGGGAAGTGGCAGGGCCGTGGTCGTGGGGACGGAGGATAAACAAAGCCACACTCTCTCGGACTCTCTGCCCCGTCAAGTATGACTTCTGCTATCCACCAATGGTCGGCGGCGTTGAAGGAAATCGAAAGGATCTGTCTATTTGATTCGACCAGACGCTCGATGCAGTCCAATAATTACATTCCGTACGTGCACCTTCTGTGCTATGTACAGTAGATTGTCAGCATAGATAGACGTAGCTAGTTGGTAGGTAGGTCTGAGTCCCCATCTCCATACCAGAGCCAGGTAGCAGCCCCGTTCGGTAGTCCACTAGCTTCAAACTCAACCACGCCGGTAGATTTGGTAAAGAAATAGGTAGGTATTCCGGCCGCAGATCGGCTACTGCTTATTGACGGTGACCCGGGTAGTAATGATGAGCAACGTACATCATGCTAACTACTGCTCCGTACTCGGTAGGCCACATACCGATGGCAACCAAGAATAATTGCCCGCTGAAATGCCGCCTCGGTATCTGCACATGCCTATACCCAGGCATCCGGGAGGAAGAGAAAAACATCGAGGCCGATCTGGTGAAGCAAGGTAGCTGAGCCGACAGCCCACGAGCGTCCCGGAAATGCCGTCCCAGCCGAGTCTCTTTTCCAGCGTTGTTTTCTTTTTTCTTTTTCTTAAACCTCTGGCAGAATCAACGTGAGACAAACATTGGCAGGAAAAACGTACTGCGTCAGAGGTATGTACCATAGTACGGAGTACTGAGTAAGTACTGTAATCCAACCCTCAAGCCAAGAGAGCCACCAGAAATAGTTCAGCCCCGCCCAGGTTGCAGATCAGCTGTGCCACCGCATAAGATTTTGGTTTCTTTTTTCCCTTGGTCGTGGGTTCCCTTCCCCTCAGAGCACAATGACGAGGAGCGACTAGTGATGTAGCACAGAAGGAAACACCAACACACAGACTGTGGAATGTACAACACCCGAAAGTCAAATCCTGTGGAACGCCCAAAGCACCTGAGAGGGTAATTTGTCCCCTTAGGGCTTGGATGATTGGCATCACGAACGGCGGCTCGACCCCCACCTGTGGCTGGAAGAATAGATTCTTGAATCTCAACTGCCACGCACGTCGCAACCTACCTTGTCACCACCATCCAGTTCATAGTAAATAGTACTGTGCATGTAGTCCACGGAGAATGCGCGGTGGGGGCAGAAACTGATGTGCTCGGTACGTACCTTCCGTCCACTGTGGAGACAGCCTCGTACCCATTGTTTCCCTCTTCCTTGCCCCCACCGTCAAGTCAACTATGGCCCAGTCCATGTCCCTGGACGATTGGAGTATTCACGATAGTTTCGAGTGGGGAGTCTGTGCGACGTTCGAGGAGCCGGCCAGAAACAGGGCATCCTTGGTCAGTCCACAATGTCATGTTTATTTACGAGCCTCGATTATTACTAGTTCGATCGTTAGGCTCAGACATAGAATCATGTCAAGCGATAATATTACCACTGAGACATACTCTTGAATGGCAGAACGACAGAAAGTTCGATCCAAAGACCGAGTCCGAGGGAAAAGCAGGTACGATGGACGACAGGGGAAAATAGCTAGCAACAAGCCATCGGGCCTTGGCATGTGGAACGATGGCCCGTTAAACTCAACTGGTATCCGGGTTTCTGGGATCCTTGGTTGAATTAGCGTGGGTGCCATAGTCCTTCGTAGTCGGTTGGTGGTGCCGCGGATCGATCAGGAGTAGCAGCGTTGACAGCTCACGGGCGGATGTCAACTAAGGCGTCTCCCTCGACTAGGGCTGGGCAAAGAATAAGGAAAAGGGGTCCGTCCTGAGGGGGGGATTGCCGTCCCTAGAATTTTGGGAGCCGTGGAGATGCGACCTCGCGACTGGGAAGTCAATCATCGTTCAACAAACTTCCCACCGCCAATAGCAGATTGTTCCCAGAGGATGTGACTGGAGACGAGGCATTCATGTCAACAGTCTGGCCCAGTCTTGGGGGAGGCCGTTCGTTCCGCCAATAGGGAGATTGCCGTGGAGCTGGAATGTGGACTTAGTGATTGATGCCAAATGGCACTCGGCGCCAGGTGGATCCAGATCGGCGGCGCGCTGAGCACCAGAGCGAACTGATGTACGGAATATGTATGGACTCCCACTTCGGGGGTACATATGCGACATCTTAACCTATCGAGGTACATGACATATCTGGGAGACGGGAGCCCATCGAGAGTAAGATGACGGGATGCAAGCCCTACAAGATCAGTCAAGTGTCCAGAATCTGTACGCAGCGAGGCTGAGGCAAGTCCGCCACGGAAAGGAGCCTACCATATGGTATGGCGACGCGATCTCCACGAAGTGATCGGCGTATGACCTCGAACCTTGTATATCTGCCATTCCACGCCAAGCCCCGATCTGACCAGAACAAACGGATGCATCAGAAATTTGTCAATCAAAAAGGTGAAGGACGCTTGGAATGCATTCAGCGGGTTTGATCCACTCCCAATAATAAGTCAGTGTTCTTCTTCCCATTCACTTTCGGGTCTCGATTTGATCTTCGACAAAAAAAAATATTATTTCATATAGTGTTGGGTAATCAACAGATCAATCAGATCAACGACACAAACATAGCGATACTCGATCGTACAAGGTCTCCAACCCATTTTTGGTCTCCCAAATTCCAAAGTATTATCCAACTTATAGTCCAAAATGCCTTTTCAAGAGGGCAATAAGAAAATGAAAGTATGCAAAAAAAAAAAAAAAAAAAGAGAATTCCAACGTTTGAGGGACGCAAAGGAAAGAATAGAAAAATGTTTTACAAAGAACGCCGCGAAGCACCGGCCGTGGTCTGTCCGGACCCAAATGTCTGTGCCCATCTAAATATAGAAGGAAAATTGGCGCACACCGTCGTGCCCAAGGGTATCATATCCCGATCCACCCAGATTATTGAGTCGTAATTCTTCAATCGTCCCAAGCATCCACACTCAATTCCCGAGCATCGATCAGAGGCTCCTCCAATTTCGATCCGTAGATTGGCCGACCGTCGGGTGTAAGTTGTCCGCGGAAATCAGGATCGTAGTCGGGACTAGTGTCATCCAAGGTCGCAACGTATCGATTGCGGCCTCCGCGCTTGCTGTGGGTCTTTGTGTAATGGGCATTGAGGTTATCGCTGCGGGAGAAGGCACGGTGGCAGCCGGGAACCCAACAGACATGAGGCTTCTCCTTGGAGTGACTCTTCATGTGTCGCTTCAGGTGCTCTTGTCTCTTGAACCGCCCCTTGCATCCAGGTTCTTTGCATTTAAACTGGACCTGCTTGATGATGGAGGGAAGATTTTCCAGCGAAAGGCTCTGCTTAGATGACTGCTTTCGGGCGACCTTCCGGGACATTGTGCGGTGCGGACGTTGTAGGCCGTCGTGGTAAACCGGTGACTGCTGGAAGTCTTCCAGGTAGTCACCAGGACCCGAAAGACGGCTCATTGGGGTATCTGTACCCGAGACCGTGCCGAGGGAGCCAGATCGAATCGGTGTCGTTGGAGTGTGTGACTTCAGGGTGTTAATGGACGCCGAGTAATCAGAGTACGAAGGGGGCGGCGTTACTGGACCGACTTGTGACGGAGCGATTGTCTGAGGAATAGACTCGGCGGGAGGCGCCATCCAAGGGATCATGTTGTTCATGGACATCGACGTCGGGACTCGCTCGGGCTGGTGGAAGATAGACCGGGATAGGCAGGGGTTGGTGGCAGATTCAGGCAGGTAGGATGCACTGTGATTACGGTAACCACTCCTGGCCATGGGAGGGTATTGGTGCATGACAGGCGGGTAGGGCAGCGAGTGTGTACTCGGTTCGTAAGTCTTTCCCGCATCGGACGGGATCCAGAACTGCTCAACATTCTCATCGTATCCTGAGAGAAAGTCCGGCATAGGCATTCGCTCCTGAGAATCCATACTCCCGTAAGACATGCCCATAGCCTCATTCGACGCCATGCCGGGGAGTCTGAATGCGCTTCGCATAGGTGCGGGGCCGGGGTTGCGGTCGTAGGCGTGCCCAGAGTACGGTCCGCTTTCTTGCCAACCGGGGGAGGCCAATGCGCCTTGACTGTATATACTTGTTGGAGTCGGCGTAGGAGAATCCAAAGGCGAGAAGCTGTTACTCATTGACGGGCACTCGTTGGAACCCAAGGAGGAACAATCGACTTCGACGGTAAGGCGATCAATGTTATGCTGAGATCTCATGTCTTCGCTTGACTCAGTAGTGTCGCGGTCTTTCCGAGGTGCTTCGACTTTTCCACCTGCTCACGAGCACTGTTTAGTATCCTTGCTTCTAGGCCAGACGATGGATGTGCCGATGTGGTTGTTGGTTTGTAATTTTGGAGTGGAGAGAGGGATATATGTAGATAAGGCAAGGAAAGTGCAGTATATGCGATATAGATTACGACACACAAGGAGAATATAGTTCAGGGAATGTGGCAAAAATAGATTCCAATGACGATGAAAGGACGAAGGGGCTCTGCAGTGAGTGACAGAGAGAGAGCCAGCGAGAGGAAAACAGGCAGAGGGAAAGACCGAGTTGGAGAAGGACAGTGGAAGAAAGAGTGTAGAGTGTGATTGGACAACGAGGGAAAGTGATGCAAGCACAATCAATGGGAAGAATGAAGGAAGGTGACCATGGGTGCCGGTTGGTTGTCGGAAAGGGAAGAGGAATAAAGAAGGATTGAGGGTGAGGTTGGGGAATGGAGGAGGGCAGGCGAGGTGAAATAAACAAAATCTCGAGGCCGTAGAAGGCGGAGGGGAGAGCAGGGTCGATCACACTTACAGGCAGAAGCCATCGCTAATCCTCCCAAAGGAGAGGCCGGTCGAGAGACAAGCGTTCAAAAAAAGAAGAGGCGCGTCGCGTGCCTTCGGAGACCCAAGCAAGGCCAGGAATGTAGACTATAGAGTTCCTGGAGTAACGAGCGGCAAATCCGGAGCGAGATGGGATGGAACTGGGTGGCCGGGATCAGGGACACCGTTTCCTAGGAGGCGCGAATGTCTCTGGATAAAAGACACGGACGAGTCTATCCAGCGGGTGGCGGAAGGTCGGGATCAGCGAGAGGGTGGGAAGGAAGTCGATAATCCGCCCTTCGACGCGAGTGGTCTGGGGTCCCTGCGGACGAAAAGAGGATGTGGATAGAAGATGGGGATGGTCTCAGGTGGGATCAGATAGGGATGTAGCTATCGAACAGGAACCGACCAGCAAGGGGACGGGACAATAGAAAGTCGAGGAGATGCAAGTGATGATGACAATGTCTTAGGATTATTCGAAAACCGACGAGGAAGTATAATCAACTCAGGCTTTTCATAGATTGGGACGAATTGAATGGAATTTATAACGGGACGATGCTTAGGATTTAAGGTGTTCGAAGGCCACGACAGATAAGATACTCGTTGGGTGTATGACCGTAAATCCCAACGGGGGTGCTGCGTTGTTCTGGATCGGGTCTGAGACTTGATGATTCCGAGGGGAGGGAAGAGGTTTTAAAATTATATTATATAACTGCCATCAAAACCATTACTCTTTTCGGGGGGGAAGGAAAGAGAGAAGATCAGAGAACGAAGCCAGCAAAACTAGGAAACCAGAGCTTGTTCCTACACTACAGAATGGAGGGGGGTAAGAAAAAAAAAGTAAATAAAATAAAATAAAAATGGAAGTAAAAAAGTAAAAAAGTGAAAATAATATTAATCGTAAATCTTTTTTTTAATTAAAAAAAAAGGGAAGGAAGAAAAAAAAGAAAAAAGAAAAAACCAAAATAAAAATGAAAAAGAAATACATTTCCCCGGGAGAAATAAAAAAAAAAAGGAAATTAAAAAAAGAATCCCCTTCCTCCTTCTGCCGCCCTACTCTTCCCCCTCACATCTTGTGTCTCTCGTTCTACTGGATTTCCCTCAGTCCTCAATTATCGTCTACTTTGAGTTGATCTTATTGGAGGCGATAACTTTCTACATGGGTCTCTTGATTCGAGGTCATGGTGGACGTAGATCGGCGTGAAACAGAATCGTAACACCTACTTCATACTAGAATGCCTTGGTAGAAACCGACCAATCTGAATAGTTCCTCTCTCGAAGAAAAAGTCACGAAAGGCTGCATGAACCGGACGGTAATGGAGGGGAGGGAACACCGACGTGGAATGTTCTAACGTCAGAAGTCAGTTTACTACGTAAGGTTGTGGAAGAGGTACCTCTGGTTTAGCGTTTATCCCTAGAGAGGGAGGGTACCTGCTAACGCCTCAGGCCGGAGGAATAAAAAGAGAACTAAAAAAATAGGATAAAATAGATTCCCAAAAAGCAAAACCTTCGGCGACGAGATCGACCAGATTCTCGGCTTCTTTCCCCGGTATCAGGATCTTTCGCTCAGCTCGAGATTGAGCCGGAGGGAATAGTGAAACGGCTGGTGAGATACCACTCTACGTTATCAGGCATCTTCCATCCACCGCTTGGCTGCCCTGCTCTGCTCCACAGGACCCTGAATGATCGGCGCCAGTAAATCTGCAGGTGGGGGGGAAAGCGCTTACAAGTCGGCATTGAGACATACTGCACATCATCCACTATTCAGGCCGTTGAGATGAGCAATATCACGACGCCAAACCCTGATGAAAGGGCCCTAGGGACTTACGAAGAGAAAGTGGTTCTGCACAATTCGAGGGCCAAACTAAAGGAGAATAAAGGGCAAGTATTGACGCAGATTATAGGAAGGCAATACAAATAGTAGTGTTGGTAGGGAGAAGTCTCAGGCCCAGACTAGTATAGTTCGTGGAAATAGGTACCTGTTCCGCTAATATTGCCTCCCCATTCATGATCTTCATCCGATCCTTGGTTCCTCTCCCGACGGCATGCTGGAGAAGTGGATGCACTGTTCAAGGCGCGCTGTATGTACATCCGGCCTTGACGCCACGACCAGCCCTGGTCAGGAGGGATCGTCTTCTGGCCCCAACGCCGTCGTCTAGACCTCTTTCATGTCTCTCCTCACGGACGGGCCACTCGGTATGTTGCTCTTGACGAGAAATACTCGGAGGGAACGGTAGCATCCATTCCCAACGCCGAAGGTTGAGATAAAAATAAAGAACCAAAATAGTCAAACCAACCCTAATTATTCAGAACACGAATGCCAATGGCAAGAACACGCTTGGTAGATGCAACGCTATTATTAACAGGTTAACCAAGAACAATAATGCTAAGTAAAAACAGACCGTCACCGAACCAATACATGGCTACTAGTTTAACCCTCGACGAAAGTCCCCGGATGTCCCAGCGTGGGGTTCTTTGCACCCTTCCATGGTTGGGATCCAATAGACCGCTATGATCGCCCACAGACCGATGTTCTTCTGCACCGAAGGCTGTATGCCGGTGGTTCAGAAAGGTAACCAGTCCACCCATTTCATCCGTCGGCTGCTTCGCCGCGGTAAAAGAACATTGTGTTTGCTAATCTGGACGAACCTGGTCCCGGCTGCAGAGTCATGATTGACGATGCAGGCCGAATGCCGGATCTGCTCATGGGGGAGTCCCGTTCCAATGTATGATCAATGATCGATCTGGTCGATTATTACCCGGTTATCGATAATGAATCTCGAGGAAATTGCCGCGGATCGTGGCCCTCTTGCCTGAGGCAGCCGAGACAAATAGCACAAACACGCTACAGGCACCTGACCGGTTGCCGTACTTCCTGGACGGTGGACCGAGTGGATTCAACTCACTTCCGCTTTCTCCCATGAGATCTGTTGCTCTCGTTTTCCGTTCCTCACTCCTACTCCGTACTCTCTAAATCATCATAATAATGATTAATGATTACCGGGCTGATGAGGGCTTTGTCTTTATTCAACTGTCTGCACATCCCTCTCCTCGAATGAGAACCAAACTGCCTCCATTGCGGATTAGACATGTTGCAACAGAGAGAAAACAGAAAGAAAGAGAGAGAAAAAAAAAAAAAACCAAAACGCGGTGGAGATATTTGGGCTGACGATCACTGCTCCTGACGCACATCATCCGCCAAGGTGCAATATGTCGGCCAACAATGGATCGACGAGTCATCGGCCGGGACGCTGCTTAGGTTCTGCAAGTTTGAAATTTGTTCTCCAATGCCGGCCACTCGTCGCACCTATCGCAAGCATTTCGGGTTTCCAACTTTGTCAGATACCCACAGCCACTCGGGCCTTCATCCAGGAACGCTCCGACTAGGCCTAGCCCACCGCAGCTTCATTGGAATGTGGAGCACCGGACGCTTCTCAATATGATAGGGTCCCGCAATGGTTTTTGCGTGTCCCGTACAAAGTAACCCCGTCGTCATTGGGGAAGCACGACCACCCAGAGTCACTCCCAGCCGTTGGGTTCCTCTTTTGCGCTGCAAGTGGCCAATCTGTTCTTGCATGGCCCATTCCCAACGGTCGCTGGCTCCGTGAGAGGATCATCACCGCATCGTCATTGCTCTGGCTGTGTTGACCATCGTTCCGGTGTCGATTGGTGAGACCTCGAAGTTTCTGATCTGTCACGCGTCAGTCGGCGCTTCAATGCCGGTTATGAGGGGACCACCATTCGTCATGCAAGAATGAGGCCTGGAGATTCGACCAGTCAACTGATTGGTCTTTCTAGAGTCTAGCATACTGAAATTGTACTACGGAGTACTCCGTAAACTCACGCAATTTGGACCATGTTGCCACTGAGATCAGCGGCGACTTCCCCCCCTATTGCTTGTATCTTCCGAGCATCGTGGGCAACTTGTAAGTGCAAGCATTTGCTTTCTCGCTGGCTTTCCACTGCACTCACCGGGCTCTAGCAGCTCATCCAACAGGCTTCAATTTTCCTGTACTCCGCATTTTATTTGTTTCTTACGAGATAGCGGGTTTTGGATCTTGCGTGTGCATGATCTTTGTAGCAATTCGACTAACACATCCTCCTTAATTGCCCCGGTCGGATCTCGCTTATGATGGGACTGATTTCTGAGAGCTGATCATCGCCTTTTTGTCACGTTCGAACTCATGATCTTCAGCACTCGAGGAATCGAAAATGCATGGAACGACCGGAGCGTCCTAGCGCGTGTCACATTGCAGCTAGACATACATGCGGTGTACGTTTGTTTTTGCTTTTCTTTCGTGGGCCTTTCTCTGGTGGGTGGTTCCCACAGAACCCAGAAACTCATTCCAATAGAATGCAAATTGGTCTCGTATCGACGTGGACCAAAGGGCAAAGTATCTCTTCCTCGGGAATTGAAGACTTGTGAGCTCTCGTTCGGATATCAAGTCTGCATGGCGGGTCGCTATGAGGTCTCTTACTAGCCAGCAAAGGCCGACAAAGTTTGTGCCTAGGGTGGCACTAATGAACGATCAATGTTTGGCCATTTTGACAGCTCCCCTGTTCAAACCTCGGAGTTTCATAACGTCAGGGTTTCACTACTTCATCTATACTTAGAGGCCGTGCATAAGGAAACTACAACGCATTCCAACAAATTCGATTACTCGGAGCCTACCACACCGGATTCATGGCCTATCTACGGTAGTCGACTCCCTGCTAGAATATGAGATCTTGGGTCCGCCCGAACGGATACACAGTGGATACATTCGTGAGATAAACGGATCCCAACTCATTTGGGAGAGATGTGTACTCACTCGGGGAAGCCGATTTACAGAGTATATCCAGCTGCAGAAACAGAATATCTCTCTGCCGCAAACGATGCCGACTTCGCCACAACGCGTGATGCTGAGCAGCCACATTCAAAGCAAAGCCACAAGTGACTGGTCAAGTCCCAGGGAGTCTTCCAGAAGCGTCAAACTCCCCTGCACTCAAACCTACAAAAAGTCCTAACCCCTTCCCTTTCTGGTGGTGATCGTTGCGATGATCCCGACGATACCCCTCGGGATTCATGAGCCACTTGCGTATTTGCTCACAACCCAATCTCGCACTAGTCCAATTCTCCTGACTTGCAGAAGGTGCAGTAACTACCCTGTAACTAGTCAGGGGCCGTGATTGGTAAGCGTTTGGCGCGTTCTAGTTATTCCGTGGAGGCGTGATATTCAATTCGATTTAATTAGTTACCATCAACACGAGCTTATTCTCTAGCTGCTCCTTCAAGAGTTCGATACGACCAAATCTGAACAAATTTTCGACTATGCAAATCAGCAAAGTTACGGGCTCTCCTCTCGCTGTGGTCAAACCCCGGATTTTCATCGATCCCCCTGATTTATCTCTGGGGAAGGTTTCAATAACAGGGTCAACCGCAAGAAGGGGAGAACTAGGTTATCACTAGTGTCCTGATAAATGTTCTTTTCTATTTGCCCCTCCTCTCCTTTGTCTCCTTTCTTCCCACGGAGAATAGTGCGCACTGACATTGTGCAAAGACCATCTCCAGGCTATAATGTCTCTCTAACCGAAATTGTCATGCACAGACCGAGTAATATTAGCGGTTGTCGAAGCTTGGAGTCAAAGAAAAAAGCGAAGAGATGATCATACTGGCGTCTGGAGCTGGTCTCCTCGGAGTCGCCTTCAAAGTCAATGAGCCTTTCAGATACAGACAAACTTGATCTCAAGAGAGCCCCTGCAGCACGGGCTTGGGCGCAGCAAGGGAATTGACCGGACATTTGGAACATCCCCAGATC